GCGCAAAGGAACCGCGCGCCGACACCCCGCGCCGCAACCGGCGCACGAGAACCAAAGCGATGAAGTCTGCATTCGCATGTGGCAGCCATTATTTGCTGCAGCTCTTTTTGTGCAGGTTTTCACACGGAATGCTAAACGCCGTTAGCCGAAACAGCCGTGTGAAAGGGTTTTCGCCACACAGCAGTGGTGTTATCGCTGTAATTTCTCCTAAAAGAAAAGAATTTTTTTCGTTAAGCAACAGAACCCACGATCATTCTAATGAAACCCAGCTGATTCATTGACACCCTTGTGGTTTCTTTGACTTTGCATTTTCATTGGTGCTTCAAACCGTTGTGCATGCGCAAAGCTGCTTTGAGAAAAGTGGCGTTGTGCCTTGCAGCGGTACTCGACAGGGACTGTAACTCGGCTTAACGTTTTGCTGTTCGTTTTGGTACATGTGCGCTTTTTTTAATACTGACGAAGAGATGATGAAATTCGAATGGTTCCGCGCTCTACACAAAAATGGAGTGTTTTTGTGTCCCGGAAGTGCTATGAATCCTTAAATCAACTGCTGCAATTAAAATCGAGCCCGACACATATATATTTGAGTCGAAGGGAAACTAAACCTATTTTTAAAAGTGCTCAATTTTTATCATATGTTCCACAACAGCTCTTTCTTGTTAGCGCTGTGCGGATCATTGAATTGACGCGTGATTAGCTTCAATACTGTAATGTTTTATTACTACAACCCTGTAGACATTTATATTCTCTGCTTCTAGCTTCTCTTGAATTCCCTCTCACTCTCTTACTTTACATTTGCTTATTATAACTATCTACCATCTTTTATTCGCTTTGTAACTACTGGTACGATGCACTGTTGATTTCGACAACGATTGGTTAGCAAAAACATATATAAAAAGAAAAAGCACCTCAAAGGAAAATGCGCGGAGGCTTTGGACGTGGAGGCGGTCGCGGCGGCGATCGCGGTGGTCGCGGTGGCTTTGGTGGTCGCGGCGGCGATCGCGGTGGTCGCGGTGGTTTTGGCGGTCGCGGCGGTGGTCGCGGCGGTGATCGCGGTGGTCGCGGTGGTTTTGGCGGTCGCGGCGGTGGTCGCGGCGGCGGTCGCGGCGGCCGCGGAGGCGGCGCCGGTGCCAAGGTCATTGTCGAACCTCACATGCTCCACCCTGGCGTCTTCATCTCCAAAGGTAAGGCTGACTCCCTGTGCACGCTGAATATGGTCCCTGGAATCTCCGTCTACGGCGAAAAGCGCATCGAACTCGGTGCCACGCAGGGCGGTGACGAAAAGAAGGAATACCGTCTGTGGAACCCCTATCGCTCGAAGTTGGCCTCCGCCATCTACGCCGGTGTGAGCAGCATCCACATGGGTCCCGGCTCCAAGGTTCTGTACCTCGGTGGCGCCACAGGTACGACTGTTAGCCACGTAAGCGACCTTGTCGGACCCGAGGGTATGGTTTATGCGGTAGAGTTCTCGCACCGCGTCGGTCGCGACTTAGTGGAAATGTCGAAGCGCCGTCCCAATATCGTGCCCATCATCGAAGATGCCCGTTACCCGATGAAGTACCGTATGCTGGTTCCTATGGTAGACTGCATTTTCATGGATGTGGCGCAGCCTGATCAGGCCCGCATCCTTGCTTTGAACGCACAGGCGTTCCTGCAGAACGGCGGGCATTACGTGATCTCCATCAAGGCCAACTGCATTGACTCTACCCTCGAGGCGCCGGTTGTGATTGCATCCGAATTGAACAAGCTGAAGAAGGATAAGTTGAAGCCTCTGGAACAGGTGTCGCTTGAGCCTTTTGAGCGCGACCACGCAGTAGTCGTGGGTATTTTCCGCCCTGTGAAGAAGTCTGCGAGCTAATTGTGCTTCATTATTTTTTTTCCGCAGCGAGAGTACTTTTCGAAACTTGCAAGAGTTTGGTGAATCAAGTAATGTAAGTGGAACAGACGCCACCAAATACAGGTGAAAAGCTGCTTTTCACCTGTATTTGTTTTCCAAGAATGAATCTGGTTTCGATGGAAAAGGTATTTTGATAATTGCGAAGTGAAAATAACATTTTTGAGACTGTGCAGTTGTTTGATACACAGTTTTTGTTTTGATCCTTTTGGAAGGTGCCGGAAGATTCTGTAGCGATGACGAAAATAATGCTTAAAAAAGCAGGAACACTGTCAATTTCAAGTTAAAGTTGTTTCTGTATGTGTTTGTGTGTGATGGAGGAGGAATGCAGCTTTTCTTGACAATATTTAAAAAAAGAAGACGAACTGTGAGCTTTCTCCTTGGAAGGAAAATTACGTTAATATTTTTGGTAGCCTTAAAAGATTTTGTTCCTGTTAAACGCTTTTGATAACTTATTAACTGCACAAAGCGCACACAAAAAAGGCCGTACGGACGATAAAATGGAGGATCAGTTGCAGGCGGCGATGCAATCTCAAATAAAAGCGTTTTCCTCGTTGGAAGGCTGCGCGTCACACGTGAGGATGAAATTGCTGTTTTGTTCCGCAGTTTACTCTGCTGTTGTTGCTTTCGGTTTAGACTGCTTCATGAGGTCTGCTTTGCTATTCCTTTTTCCTCTGCGGGAAGCGAATGGCGAAAAAAAGCAAAACCCGTCGCATTCTCGGAAAAAGACATGGTGAATGCTTTTTCGCCGAAGTGTTTTAAAACTCATTCCGTCTCGTTATTGTTATTATTGCTTCTCTGGTTTTCCCCTCCTCCTCATTGGTTTTTCGCGTTCTTTTTAAGGTGCTCTTCGCGGGAAAGCGAAGCACTTAGCAGTTAAGATAAGCATTTTCGAACGCTATTATTATTTCGAAAAAGAATGGCTATGTCAAGCGCCATTTCCAGCCGGAAGCGCGTGGCTGACCGTTCTTGTTTTCCGGAAAAGTGGGCAATTGTAGAAGAATCGGTTCGGTGTATTTTCAGAAAAGAGATTTGTAGTCATTCGTTTCAGCGCATACATCATTCCGTTTTTCAGATATGCCAGGCGCAATGCGGGACTCTGATTCTGGAGCAACTTAATGAGCAGTTTCGGTTACAAGTAGGAACCGTTCTGCAACGCATTAATGCGTCGGACAATTTTGCTGCGGATTTTCTACGCATGTGGCAAGATTACAACGATTCAGTGAACCAGATAAGCAACATTTTGCTATACTTCGATAAAAATTACATGTACGCATACCATCACTCTTCCATCGAGCAAACAGGGGAACGTATTTTTTGCACACAGACATTAAGCGACCCAGAAGTCTCCGCCAGACTTATCGCGTCCGTTAAACAATCCGTTGAAAACCCCGCTGCGGAGGTATTTATTCGTGACCTCGGCCAAGAACTATACACTGCGGAAGGTGGTAAATACTTTGCTTGCTGCATGGAGTTTCCCTTTGTGGAGGCGAAGATTGAAAAATACTACCTACTCGGGGAAGAGCAAAAGCAGCTTTTGGACCCGTGCCAATACTTGCAGTGGGTTCAAAATGTCGTTTACACGGAGCGCGACCGTTATACAGACACTTTTTTCTACATCGTTCTTGACAAGTTGACAAACGCGCTTTACACATCCCTTGTCCTCAACGATCCTGCCTATGTCCGACAAGTGCTACTGGGGCGCACCGGCCTGGAGCGCTTAACATCCACGTGGGAGATTGGCAGTATTGCCATATTTGTGCAAGTTTTTTGTGCAATGAGGAGAGAGAAAGACGTTGTTGACGTTATTGCTAATGCGGTAAAAGAGTGCGGTGAGAGAATTGTTGGAGATCGCAGCGCAAACACTTTTCCTTTCAGCGCTGTCGATGATATGTTGCAGCTTATTGCTAAGGCGAAGGAACTGGATAGCCTGTTTCCTGCCGAAGAAGGCCACTCGCACGCACCTTTTCTGCGCGTTGTCCGCAATGTCTTGGGTAGCAACACCCGCTTTATGGAGGTTCTTTCGCTCTACTACGACGCCGCCATTCGGCAGAACAAAGATGAAACGATGGAGTCGGTGGGTAACAACGTACTCACAATTCTACAGCTTACGCCGGATTTGGAGCCATTTGAAGTTGCTTTTCGTGGTCATTTAGCCGCGCGGCTTATTCACGCAAAACCACATGCAATTGATATGGAGTGCTTTTTTATCGACTGCTTGTCAAACATTTACGGCTCAAGCGTTGTAAATCGGTTTCAGAAAATGGTGGAAGACATCCGCAGCGCTATAACAGCTCAGCAGAAGATGGTGGCGGAAATGGCGATGAGGAAGAACTCGCCCCCAATTGAGTTTGACGTGCTCGTCCTCACCAGTGGTTTGTGGCCTCAGTACACGAACATTCCACTACACGTGCCGGAAAGCATGGAAACATGCAAGTCCATCTTTTATGAGTACTACCGTCGACGCCACAACGGCAGGAAGCTTGTTTTTCAGATGAGCCTCGGCTCGGTCGTGTTTCAGCTCCATCACGCCGGAAAAACGTACTCTGTCTCGGCACATACTCATTTTGTCAATAGCATTCTCGCGCTAAACTCGAATGAGGGTACGAGCGTGGCGGCTGTGGCGCAGAAAAGTGCTCTTGGACGTGACGAAGTTTTAGCTCAGTTCAACACGCTATGCAACACGAGCCTCGCCGTGCGCAACGGCAATGACTTCTGCTTCAATATGAAGTTTTACTCCCCCAAGCCGAAAGTAAAGGTAGGTGCTTCAGTGCAGAAGAACTCGGGTGATGGAATCGGGGCTTCGACTGTTCTGCGAAAAGCGGTGGAAAGGACTCGAACAATGAGCATCGACGCCATAATAGTGAAGCTTTTGAAGGAACACCAGAGTGTGAGCCACGAGAACCTGTGCAGCGCGATCGAGGACGACTTACGAGATGTGTACTCGCCAACAAGATCAGAGATAAAGCATCGCATAGAGGCTCTTATTGAAAAGGGTTTCATTGTTCGAGGTGAGTCCGCCAACTGCTACTTTTATTGCACTTGAACGGCTCTGCGAATGCCGCAATATCAAGTATTAATGTCAATTATGCGTTTCTATTGTTTTATTTTTTCTTAACTTTTGCTTTCATTTGATACTAAGAGTTTTCTCACACCAACACAAATACAAAACGAACGGGTTTTCGTCAGTGTCATCGTCACGTTCACAATCGTTATCTGTTAAGCAACGTGGTTTTACGGTACCGCAGCAACCGGCTTCGTTGGCACTCGTGCATCAACTAAAGCAACATCGAACTGTGGGAGGGTTGTTGATCATCTTCCTTTTAGCTGTCGCTACGATAATTACAAACAGACTACTCGTTTGTTACCGCCTTTATTTTCTTGTCCAAAGACTGGTCTCATTGTTTTTCTCTTCTTTTCCTGTCTCCTGAGTGTTCCAACCGTGTTGTTGAATTATACTTCTCCTGACTTGCTCAACTTTTGACGACATTGAGTTACATATTACTCACATAATTGAATAATTTACGTTTTTGTGGCAGTCTCGATAAGCAGTTGTTCTGCACGTGCTCTGAAAATGGGTCGCGCGATTCGTCGTTCTCTCTTTGACGAAGTCTCCGAGCGTCTTCATGTTTCGACCACAGCCCTGGTGGCCATCGTTGTCGGCGCAGTCACGTTGTATTTATTCTGTCGCCGAAAAGGAGCTCCGTCTCGCCCCTCGACTATCGTGAGACGGCCCTTAAATGCGCCGAAAACTGAAGGAGAGCAGTCGGACGTGATGACGCGAATCAAGCAGAGCGGCTTTGTCGGGAAAAAGGTCTGCATTGCCTGGGAAGTTCTGCACGACGGAAAGGCATGGAAAGCTGACGGAAAGGCTTTAAGTGTGCTTCAGTTTTATGCGTTCACCTCCGAGGTGTATCTGATGTGCTGCATTAGGAATGCAGACGACAAGAAACGCATTATTGGCCTTGTTAACGGCATTGACGGCATCGAGCGACACCGCGTTCTCTTCTGCACCACGCAAAAGGGGTACGAGGCGTTCACACGGCAGATCGACCCTAGTCTTCTCATCACGAATGATCCTGCGCAAGTCTCATTTTTGAAGCGTATCATTCAAACCTTAGTTCTTGTTGAGGGAAGTGGAGCGGTGGGAAACAACGTTTTGTGTGTCCCGTCAGTTGCGGCGCTTGCAGTTGACACGGAGTGATGCATCATCAAACTTCTCCCATTAGTTATTTTTTTTTTTTGCAGACAGCTGACCTAATGTGTGTTGAAAATCTTTCTTTGTGCCTGCCGTTTTCTCCTCTTCTATTCCCTTTGCGATCTTTCAAATGAGTAAGCAAACTGGAAGGCAATATCCGCTGCTTTCCTAATACTTGCCCGAAGAAGAAAAGAAAAAGAGAAGGTAGTCTATTAAGCACAAGACATTTCGAGGTGAAAAGGGGCGGAGGCTTTGGAGAGCACATGAAAATGACTACGTACAAAATAGTGTTGACTACTCTTTTATATACAATTGCTATTTTTTTTTTTGAGATCAGTCGTTATTGTTCAACCATCAAAATAGTTTGCCGTTCCTACGGGTGTTTGCTGCGACATCACACATTGTTGTGGTTGTTCTGAATGTGTTAGTGTGACTTCTCATTCATCTTGCCAATAACAACAACAACGAAAAAAAGCCGAGCTAAGTGACCGTTCCCCGTGTTTTGACTTTTATTTTGGAAGCCAGAGGTCGGTCGGGCTTGCTAAAATAATAATAAGGAAAAGGTGTGTTGATGTGTCGTCTTCTGCGTCTATCCTATTTTTCCCTTCTCCCATCTGCGCTTGCTACGGTTTACCAATCTCGTTTTCCATCCCCCACTTCTAATTGCGTGCAACGCACTTTACATGTACTTGTTACCTTTCAGCAGCCAAATCGATACCATGCCAGACGAACGCATTCTGCTCGTCACTGGAATTCCAGCGAAGCAGTGCACCGGGGAATACCTTTATTCGCTCTTCGGTGCCTATGGTGGGATTCAGCAAATCCGAGTAGGATCCTCCTCTATTACGAAAGGGTGTGCGGTTATTGTATACGAGCAATGCGAAGCGGCAAATAACGCCGTTGGGGCGTTAAACGAATACGCGCTCAGCAAAGATCGCGTCTTGCGAGTGTCGGTGTACGATGAGGAGCGAGATAGAAAGGCGCTCGAGCGGCGAAAGCGCAAACGAGAAGTACAGGCGGAGTACAAAAAGCACATTGCAGAGGCTGCCCATGCTGCGGAGGACACGAAACCGGCAGAGTAGCCTTTGCTTGCCGGCTTTTGCTCCATTCGTCCCTTTTTTTTCTGCTTTGGTTGGTTCATTTGTTTGACGTGTCTCCATTAATGTGTTGTGCGTGTTGTTGTGTCCACACACGGCGGGAAGCCTGTGAGGAAGCGTTCTGCATTACGGTTTTCCTGTCCGCGGTCAGTTGTACGTTGTAGAAAAGCATGCAAGAGAAGGCGCATTTCGCCCAGTCTCTCCTCTTTTCGCTCTCTCTTTTGCTTCTTGTCATTCTTTTGAAGATGCGCCCCACTCTTAAACGTCTCATTTTGACGGAGCTCATCTGGCTTTACGGAGGTAACTAACGTCCAAGTCGCAGCTACTTACTGGCGTCGGACTTCGTCGTCCCTATGAACTCCTTTTCCGTTGGATGGTAAGGCGATGCGGAGAACAAGCGATATGGTTGTGTACAACACATAAAACTTCGGCGCCTCTACTTCAAAAGTTTAGTTCCTTTTTCTCCCTTCCCCTTCTTCCTCTTCTTCCCACTCTCACTCTTTTCAAAATCGCTGAATTCTTGTCTTAATTCGTGTCGAGCTTTCTTTCCTTCTTCTAATTGCCAGTGTGCCACGAGGAAACCACCATTTTGGCCGGAATGATCTCAGTTTTGATGTTTCTGAACTCGCGCGGAGATGTGGTATTCTCCCGCTCCTTTCGCAACGGGTTCAATGTGCGTACACTTGCAGAGACGTTTCGCAACGAGCTAATCTCAAGCAAGCTAGTGGACCGCTGCCCCGTCAACTTTGTGAACCGCACCTGCTTTATTCACCTCAAGCTGACCGACCTGTACGTGGTGATGGTCTCCAACTCCAACGTTAACTGTCTCGTGTGTCTGCAGTACGGTGTGCGCCTGCTGCAATACATCCAATCCTACTTTGATGACCTCGATGAGAAAGCGGTCAAGGAAAACTTTGTAACGCTGCAGAGCATTATCGATGAGTCGATGGACTTTGGATACCCCATATTGACAGACATGGAGGCAATGACAGCGTTTGTCACGAACGACGGCGTGAAGCCAGAGGTGCTCAAGAATACCGTAGAGTCGGAGCGCATCGCTGATAGACTGACAGGTGTCACGCCGTGGCGGGTGGAAGGCTGCTTGTACCAAAACAACGAGATATTCGTTGACGTGTTTGAAAACGTCAACCTGCTTCTCGCGCAAACGGGGGAGGTTCTGCAAAGCAATGTCACTGGGCGCGTCGTCATGAACAACTTCCTCTCCGGGATGCCGGAGTGCGAGCTGCACTGGAACGCGAAGGTGATGAACCGCAATCAAACCGATCCTGTCTCCACCGACGGCACCGGCGAGGAGCTTATACCGCTCTCTGACATCTCCTTCCACAATTGCGTGCGCCTCACCGCGGACGGTGAGGAGGAGCGCCGACTGCTCTTTGTACCACCAGATGGCAAGTTCACGCTCATGACGTACCGCTCCAGCGTCAACGTACAGCCGCCGATGAAGGTCATCGCCGCCACAGCGAGGGAGCTGTCCCGCACGCGCACGGAACTGGAGTTCACGCTGAAGTCCGATGCTCCGCCGGGGCAGATTGTCACCGAGGTCGCTGTGACCGTTCCGTGCCCCGATAACACGGCCGCAGCGTCCATTAAGGTGCCACGCGGCAAGGCGACCTATGACGCGGTGAGCCACGGCATCGTGTGGAAACTGCCAAAGATGCGCAGCGGCGAGGAGATCCCCTTCTTCGCCGAAGTCCGCCAAATTGCGCCGACGGAAGCCACAGAGACGCTGTGGTCCAAGCCGCCCATCACGATCGCCTTCCAATGCGTTTCCTTGTCCCTGACTGGATTGCGCATCACTGAGCTAAAGGTGCACGAGCCGGTGTTTATGTACACCCCGAACAAGTGGATTCGTTACACGGTCATGGCTGGCGACTACCAATGCCGCCTATGAAGCTCTGCATCGTCAGCAACCTGCGCTTCGCCTCTTCTTCCAGCTTTTTTGCGTTAGTATTATGAAAAGAAAACTTTTTCCTCGCTTGCTCTTGTTGTTCACTTTATGCATGCGCTTGAGGCGAGTGTCGAGGAAGATAGACAAGACGCAACGTTTGGTAGCGTCATATATATATTTCCACTCATGATGTTGACGCGCGTTGTAGGCGGGGTCGTCCTTGTCTCAACGTGTGCGGCTGCAGGTGCGTTGTCGACTTTAAGCGTCTTCTTTTCCGTTTTCCTTCTCACTTTTCAACTACCACAGCTTGTTTCCTCGTTCCTTTCGTTTGCCTGTGTTTAACCGTGCCGGCCGTATCATTTTTCTAGTTCCGCTATTTTTACGTCACGCGTTCCTTTTTTTTTCCTATTTGCGTGTTGAAACTGTTTGCTGTTCCCTGTTGCATTCTATCGTTGGATTGGTGCGGTGTCGAAACGACCTTTCAAAGTGAAAAGAGGTTCTTTTAACGCCTCTTTGCGATCTCTGATCTCGTTTCCACTCGACGAATACATCTGCCAGTGAACGACCTGAGACGGCGTACTTTGAAATCTCTATCGAGGAGTTTCCTCTGCGCTAACCAAAGCTACGTCGCACATGACAGCTCTTTCGAAAGGGGAAAAGAGAAGAATAAAAAAAAAATGTATGAGGCGCCGTGATAGAGGTCGTTTTGCTCGTCGCCGACAGTACTCTTACGAAGTTGCCAAGCCCTCATTGTGCCTCCTGTGGCTTTTTCCCCACCGTTACTGCTACTCCGTCACTTTCGAATTTCTCCCCCTTTTTCAAGGAAAAAGACCGATGCCGTATTAGCATGTAAGTGGGGCACATTCGTCGTTTATGTGTTTTTTTCTCTTCTTCTCTGGGATGCAGCATCAAGTACAACCAGCAGAGAAAGGGCAAAACCTCTTGTTATTTGCTTCTACAATAGTGTTCGGGTCAACAGAACAAGTGCTCGAGAGTCTGCTGCTGTCGCGGAAATGGACGCTACCAATCCAGAAGAGGAAGAGGCTCGTGTGTTGAATCACCACAGCGTGCGAACTGAGCTGCTTGCCCTGCCAACTACCGAACTTCTTCACCGCTACAATGACGCGAAAGACCTCGCCCATTTTTTGATGAACCTTATCGCACAACGTCAGCAGGGCACCCTCGCCGACGTCTACGCTTTGCTGGATATCACCGCAGCGGAAACGCACAAATGAAGAGCAGGAGTTGTGGGGGGGGGGGGGTTCCCCTTCCATATTGAAGACGAACATGAGCGTGGACTCGGTGTTTTTCTTGTGCGTGCGTGTTTTGCTTTCTTGTTGTCAACCTGCTACGTCAACCGACAGCACCTGCAAGTAAATCAAAGATTCACCTGCCGGATGCGTTCTTACCTGCTACCATCATACATAAAGAAAAATTCTTTAAATTAACTGTTTATTACGGTTCACTTTCTTGCTACCGAAGCATCATCGAAGCGAATTTTCATCAATGATACCTTTTTCATCGCTTTTCCCACAATCTCCCTACCCCTCTTTGCCGTGTTCGCTCTACGTAATGATCTAATTAAACCTCCCCCTCCCCCAGATAATAATAAAAAGATTTGAACCAGGCAATCATACAGTAGAATAGCTATCGTAATGTCACGGCAGAAGGAGTACGTCAGCCCGGCTGGGCTTCGTCTTGATGGCCGTCGGCCTTTCGAGTCGCGGCGGATGGATATTTCTTTCGGCACTCTGTCCGGCTGCGACGGCAGCTGCGACATCTCCCTCGGCCGCTCGAAAGTGTGCGCCACCGTCTTCGGCCCCCGCGAATCCGTCCACAAGCAGGAAGCGAAGCATGACGAGGGAATCATTACTTGCGAGGTGGCCGTGGCCGCCTTTGCCGGTGAAAGCCGACGCAACCCGCAGCGGCGGGGGCGACTGTCGGAGGATATTAGCGCCGCTGTCGTTCAGGTAGCACGCTCCGTCGTGCTTCTTTCGCAATACCCCAACTCCCAAATCCACCTTTACGTGGAAGTCCTCCAGCAGGACGGGAACGAGAAAATTGCGTGCATTAACGCGGCTTGTCTCGCGCTCGTGGATGCGAATGTCGCTATGCGAGACGCTGTCTGCTGCACAAACGTTGGATTGCTAGATGACCACATGTTGGTAGACTTGACAAACGATGAACTGCGCTCACAATGTCCTGTGATCGCTGCCGCTTTTACCGGTCACGATACGCGGAACATTATCTGGCTAGAAACGACTTCACGCCTTCCGCCAGAGTCGGCGCTTCGCCTGTTGAAAAAGGCCGAGGAAAGCGCGAAGGAGCTCTTCGAAACTACAATGCGCAGAGCGCTGGAAGCGCACGCGATGCAGATCTTGGCACTCCAGAATTAAGACGTCAAACCGCGCTTTTTACCTCCCCGTCTGCCAGTTGTTGCAGCGCCGCGCTCTTCGTTTTGTCTTGTATTCAAAAAGACACCTTAATGTACGCTTGCCTTTTCCTTTTGGTGTTGAGTAAATGTGATCGAGTAACCACAGCGAGTGGATAAGTCCCGTGAATTCTTTTCCCTCCGTGTGCTTTCTTTCTTTTTGGTCTTCATGTTTTCCGCACGCAACGGCCAACGAAGCTGTAAGAGGATCATTGCTTTGTTTTCCTTACACCGGCTACTTCACGCCGCATCAGCCGTCAAGTTGCTCTTGCGTACTGAGAAGCGCGTGTGCGCAGCACCTCTGACTTCGTTTGTGTGGCTCTTAACTCCCTTCGCTTCAGATCACTTTCCTCCGCTCTTCTTCATTTGGCCCCTTCGTATTCGCTTTTATTATTATTATTGTTATTTTACGTGGTCTGCGCCACAAAAGCTGGCAGAAACCACTCACAGTAGCAACCTTTCAACGTTCAGGACAACAGCAAAAGGAAGAAGAAACAAGTTTTTAAAAGTCGAAACCAGGAGGAATGCAATGACGTCCATATTTGTCTTCAGTGCGACCCAGGAAGGCAAGACGATCTTGCTTCACAAGTACACCGGCTACGTAACACTCATCGTGAACGTAGCTTCTCGATGCAGCTTCACCCCGGCGAACCTCGCAATGCTCAACGAAGTACAACAGACGTACGCAAATCGCAATTTCAGCGTCCTCGGCTTCCCGTGCTCGCAATTTGCGAACCAAGAACCCCTCAACAACGCCGAGATCGCGCAGTGGAAGATGAGCGTGCCGGTCCTCTTTCCCGTCTTTGACAAGATCAACGTGAAGGGCGCGCATGCAGACCCGCTTTTTCAAATGCTGCGCGCTCAACAAGGCGCACCGCTGTGGAACTATACAAAGTACCTCTGCGATCGCAACGGTGTCCCGTGTCGCAAACTAGAGCCTGGATGCTCGTTGGATTCACTCAAGCAGGCAGTTGAGTGTGTTCTGTGAGAAGACGTGTGGGGGGAGGGGTGGTTGCGTGTGTTGTGCTGCTTGGCGTTGATTATTGCGCTCTTGCTGCATCATGGCGAGCTTCGATGTTGTTGTTTCCCCCCTGTTGCTATGGTGTTTCTCGATCACATTCATTCTCTCACTCAGCTCTATTGATGGTCACCTGCTATCGTGAACAACTCGATCTAATGCGCACAAAGAAAAAGCAAACTTGAATAGACAACATCTACTCGCGGCTCTCCTTTGTAGATGAGCAGTCTTCGTCTGTTGGTAATGGTTCGATAATAATTACTCGCATTCCATCTCCCCTATACTGTTCTTCTTCAACAAAGCGTTCTGCATACACCATCGATGCATCTCTTCCCGCATGTAGCCCGTAACGCGGCTTCTTTTCATTGAGAAGCTCGGGCCAAAGCTCGACAATTAACGCATAGAGTTCGCGGTGCACAAGGTCTGATAGCACAAAAACAACGGGAAGAGCAAGTACTCGTCCGACGTGACGGGCTGCTCTCCGGAAAGGAGACGCTTCTGCAGCCGCCGCGCATCTGACTCGGTCATGCGCGGCAAAGTCGCACAGGGCAGCACCGTGCCCTGCGGAAGGTACCTCTCGAAAATCGTATCGAGATCCACGTTCGACGTCTTACCCTCCACAAAGTCACCGCCTTCAATGGCAGTGTACTCGGGGTGCGTCGTCACGCGGGTGGCACCGTGCAGGGGTTCGAGCGATACAGCATCGCTTCCCTGCAGTGTGGGACGAATGTTTAGAGAGCAATTGTGTCCCGCTTGCTCTGCACTGCTTTTTGGCGCCGTCAGCGCCGCAACGACCTGGCTGTTCTGAGTCCTTTCTCTCAAAACAGGTCCTTCCCGTTTTTTGGCAGCTGGCCCGCCATCTCCTGGCCCTCGCTGCCACCAACGTACACCCAGCCGCCGCGTCCCCCAGCTCCGCGGGTTGTTTTGGTTACTGCTTTTGTGCCGCGAAATGCACAGAGGAAGTTTTATGTGTAGAGCCAAAGTCCATGTGGCACGTTTGTACAACACTGGTTGTTTCAGGATGCACTTTCGCGATGTGTTCCAATTGTAACGCGCGAAACAACACCTCTGCCATCCTGTCGGAATGCACCGACACGTGCTCGAGATCACTTGTGACTGCTCTTCTTACTGCTTCTCCTGCTTCTCTTTTGATCCTCACGATCTCTTCTCTTATGTATCGTGATTGCTGAAGCATTCGCCCTTCCCGCCAAAAGCATTCCGCAGCCGTCAAAGTTTAAAAAGTTTGAAAGCTTTTTCCTCTCCCTTTTTTCGCACCAAGTTCCCCTCCACACAAGATGTCCGTTCCACGCGCGTCCGTCCCGCGAACGGTGGTCTCCGATGGAGACTTCCGGGAGAGGATGCAGAAGGCGGTTGGCCAGGCCCACCGGGTCATCGACCAGGCGCAGGAAGCTGGCCTCACCTCCTTCACCGCCGCGGAGTTGGAGGCGCAGAAGAAGGCCGCCACGGAGACGGTCCTGCAGCGCCTCCAGTTTGCGGAGCCTGTGGAACAGGCCGGATCCTCCCTCCAGCAAGTTCTGGAGTCGCAGGGAGAGCGAAATCTCCACCCCTGGAAGGCGGCACAGCGCCGCTCGCGCGAGTTTTGGGAGTCGATCCCGCGCGAGTACGACGAGGAGCAGCTGCGTCTTTTTATGAAGACGTATGCGGAGCTCGCGCGCGATGGGCGCCTTACGCCCACGCGGGTGTTGGTGGGCCAGTACCTTTGGCCCACAGAAACAAGCACCCTGGAGGAGCGCTCGTTGGAGCTCTTCCACCTCCTCTTCATGGCGCTGGCCACAAACCGCGTCATGCACCATAACTGGGCTGTGTTCGGGCAGCTGCCGTCCTCCACTCAACTTGAGTGGGGAGCTCTGGTGGAAACACTGGAGTATCCGCTTTTCCCGGCGGATATGTCTTCCCTGAACGGGAAGATATTCGAGGCGGCGAAGCTGTCCAAGAGCGGGGCAGCGACGGAGCGGCGCGCCGCCATGGCGAAGGTGTTCGACCTCTCGAAAGAGGTCGGGATGGAGGGTGGCTCGTACTACGAGCCTATCGTGAACGCGGAGGGCCAGCAGATTTCTGCCCTCCAAATGGAGAACACGGATGCGCGCCTGACGCATCTGCACCACATGCTGGAAAGCATCCAGCAAACGATCGGGCAGGTGTCGGCGGCGCAGAAGGCGTCCGCAAAGACTGTGGCTCGTCCGAGCCAGCCCTACGTGGCGCAGCGTGGGCGTGGAGGGAGTGTTGGTCGTGGGAATCAAGAAAAGAGAGCAAACCTCACGCCAACCACAACCAAAAGATCAGATAAATACATAAGTGGCCCGCTCTTTCTTCCGAGTGCGAAACGCCATCATAGCAGCTTGGAGGAAAAAGGCGCTGGGAAGTATTTATCTTTCTTTTTTTGCTGAACATAATTTCTGTTTCTCTTCCTTTCTTCCTCTTTCTTCTTTTACTTGCCCGTTGTATACCATCTTCGGAAGCACTGCCGTGTAAAACAAATATAGTAGGATTCCTTTCGTGCTGATATTGCTGCCTTTTGCTAGCCGTTTTTCTGTCTCTCAGCAATGTCCGACAGGCGAGACGGAGAGCCGGCCGCGAAGCGCGTGCGACGCGAGGTGGACCCGGCCATTGAGTTCCCATACGAATTGGACACGTTCCAGAAGACGAGTATCGACGCCCTGGAAGACGGCGACAGCGTCCTCGTGTCGGCACACACCTCAGCTGGCAAGACGACCGTGGCCCTCTACGCCATCGCAAAGGCGCTGCGTGAAAAGAAGCGTGTCATTTACACCTCGCCCATCAAGGCCCTTAGCAACCAAAAGTTTCGTGAATTTTCCGAGAAGTTCGACTCCGTCGGCCTCATGACCGGCGACACGACCATCAAAGCGGACTCGGACTGCCTCGTCATGACGACGGAGATTCTGCGGAGTATGCTCTACCGCGGCACGGAGATGCTGCGTGAGGTGGGCTGCGTCGTCTTCGACGAGGTCCACTACATGCGTGACAAGTCGCGCGGCGTGGTGTGGGAGGAGACGATTAGCCTGCTGCCGGAGGGGTGTCAGTACGTCTTCCTCTCCGCCACTATTCCCAACGCGCGGGAGTTCGCGGACTGGGTGGAGAGCATTCACCCGGCGACGAAGGTGCACGTCATCCACACCGACTACCGCCCTGTCCCGCTGCAGCACTACCTGTACCCGGCAGGCGCAGATGGCATTTTTCTCATTGTGGATGAAAAGGGAAAGTTTCGCGACGACAACTTCGGCAAGGCGATGACGTCGATGGGCGTCGAAGGCGGCAGCAACGGTAATGCGGGTGGCAGTGGTGGTGGTGCTGGCGGTGGTGCTGGCGGTGGTGCTCGTGGAAACCAAAAAGGCGGTGGCCGCAGCCGTGGCGGGTCGTCGCAGTCGATGATGGAAATTGTGAAGTTGGTGATGGACCGCAACATGTACCCCGTTATCGTCTTCTCCTTTGCCAAGGCGGAGTGCGAGCGCAATGCGCTAGCCCTCTCACGACTCAATTTCAACAACACCGAGGAGGACGCGCTCGTGACGGAGGTCTTCAACAACGCGATGGAGTCACTGGCCGAGGAGGACCGCAAGCTGCCCGCGATTGAGCACCTCCTGCCTCTCCTGAAGCGCGGCGTCGGCATTCACCACTCCGGTCTCCTTCCCATTCTGAAGGAGGTGGTGGAGATCCTCTTTCAGGCCGGCCTTGTGAAGGTGCTCTTCTCGACGGAGACCTTCTCCATGGGTCTGAACATGCCCGCTCGCACGGTCGTGTTCACCTCGGTCAAGAAGTTCGACGGCGAGAAGAACCGCTACCTCACCGGCGGCGAGTACATCCAAATGTCGGGGCGCGCCGGCCGCCGTGGCCTTGACCGCGTTGGCGTCGTCATCGCCATGGTGGACGAGGCGGTCGAGCCGGACACGCTGAAGCAGCTGACCGGCGGCGGCGCCGATGTGCTCCTCAGCAGCTTCCATCTGACCTACAACATGGTGCTCAACCTGCTCCGTGTGGAGGACATCGACCCCGAATTCATGATGAAGCGCAGCTTTGCCCAGTTCCAGCGTCTGCGCGACAAGCCAGCGCTCGAAGAGAAGAGTGCCGCGCTGCGTACGTCCATTGAGGGTATCCGCGTCGAGCACGAGAGCGCATTCCGCCAATACACGATCTGCGAGGGTATGATCGTCAAGAAGAAGGCAGAGGTGGACACCATCCTGCGGCAGCCCAAGTTCCTGAAGAACTGGGTGCAGGCCGGCCGCTTCGTGCACATCACCCGTGCGTCCGACCGGGTGGACTTTGGTTGGGGTGTCTGCCGCGCCTTCGCAGCAAAGAGCGCCAGCCCGGACTTCAGCGACCCGAGCTCCTTCTCCATCACGGTCTCCGTCATCTGCATGAAGGCGGACGTCTCCAACCCGGCGGCGCTGACGCCGTGCCCGGTGGCGGCGTACACTTCCGAGAAGGCCGACCTTTACACGGTCACCTTCGACTTCGCCGATGTCGAGAGTCTCTCCACGCTCAAGACGAACCTGCCGGCGCAGCCCGACGCGGAACAGGGCCGCGCACAGGTGGTGCAAATTTTGTCGCGGCTGCAGCGCGAGTTCGCCGGCAACGTGCCGCTGTTGACGTCGGCGCAGATGGGCGCCGAGGACGCGCTGCTCGCGAAGCTGCAGACGCAAGTGGCGAACCTGCAGAAGCAGCTGGACAGCAACATCCTCGTTCAGTCCCCCTCGCCCGCACTGCAAGAAGAGTTTGAACAGTACAAGAAGAAGGAGCGGTTGGAGTCGCAGCTGGAGCAGGTGAAAGGGGAATTAGCCGGCATGGGCAAGGCCGTCTTCTCCGAGGAGCTGAAGCAGATGATGCGTGTGCTGCGCCGCCTGGACTACATCGACAAGGACAACATCATCCTCCGCAAGGCCCGCGTCGCGTGCGAGATCACCACCACCGACGAGAACGAGATCCTCCTTACCGAACTGCTCTTCAAAGGTGTGCTGAACTCGATGGAGACGGAGATGATTGTGGCCCTGCTGTCCTGCCTCGTGAACGTCCACCGCACTCCCGACGGCTTCTCGCTGCCGCAGGAGTTTGAGCAGCCGCTGAAGGACCTCAACGAAATTGTCACCCGCATCGCCACTGTCAGTGCGGAGAGCGGATTGATGCAGGAGAGCAGCTCGGTTGAAAAGGTACTGCCGTCGCTGATGGAGGTGACGTATCTGTGGGCGAAGGGTGCGAAGTTCGTGGACCTTGTCAGTAAGACGAACGCGTACGAGGGAGAGATTGTGCGCATGATGCGGAGATTGGAGGAGATGCTTCGGCAGCTGGCCTCGGCTGCTCGCTCCCCCGCCATTGGCAGCATTGAGCTGCACGACAAGTTCCTGAAGGGAATTCAGCTCATTAAGCGTGACATTGTCTTCGCCTCCTCATTGTACCTGTAATGTAGCAGCTTCAGAGAGCTGCACCTCGCCTTCTTTTGTTCCTCACGTATGTGGGTAGGTGTATGTTTTGGTGGAGAACGAGAAAGGTAAGGAGATGACTTGGAAAAGGTACGCTCTTTCCCCAAGTCTCGGTTTCCTCCTTAACAGTGCTTTCTTCGTGTTTGCGGTGCAACGTGTGCTGGACTTTGTGTTTGTGCGTGTGTAAATTGCGTTTCATTCATAACGGAGGACCCTAACGTCGTTTAACGACTTCGCATAACATTGAATGACTAACAAATGCACTTTAACCCCTCAAAAAGACCTATGAGAGAAACGAATCAAGAGGATGTGTTTCCAACACGTTATGAATTATAGTAATACGATCTTCAGTAAGCAGTTTTGGAGTCGGATTCCTTGTTTTTGCTCTCTTTGTGTTGACACAAATGGCAGTCGCCAACCCGTTGGTGTTAAACAAGTCGATCATGCACGGAACGGGTGCTCATGAGGCAAGCGGACGTTATGCAACCACATGTGAAACCTCGGCAAAGAGCGGTGCATTGCCGAGTTTAATACGTATATGGACTTTGCTCCTGTATTGGATAGAGCAGATGTAATTCGAAGATTTCAATAGTCTTTTCTTTCTGTCTGCTCCTCAATTTTACGCGCATTGTGGCTGTTTTGTCGTGCCGCGACTATTTTTATGAATGGCTTATATTTATGTGCAGAGTCGTCGGTGAAGCTTAACAGGAAACTTGCTTCTCTCTGACTCTCTTTACTTGTTGTTGCAACACACACACGCACACACGCGCGCGCGCAAATGCTGCGGTGTACGCGGTGCACATGGCGAGCGAAGCACCGCTTTGTAGACCGGGTCAAGGTACTGATCTGCAGCGGGGCGGGTGGGGACGGTGCGAGTATCATGGCCCACGTACACGGCAACGAGCTTGCCGGTCCGGGTGGCGGTAACGGCGGCAACGGTGGAAACGTGATGCTGCGCTGTGTCAAGTCGTGCACCGACCTCAGCGAGATTGAGGGCATGGGCAGCCAGATATCCGCCGGTACCGGCTGCTGCGGCTTTTCGCGTGAGGCGCACGGCAAGCGTGGACAGGACCTGTGGTTGCAGCTACCTGTCGGGACGCAGGTAATCGACATGGACACGAACGAGGTGCAGTACGACCTCGATGAGGCGGGTGTGGAAATGATTCTACTTGAGGGTGGCCAAGGAGGCAAGGGCAACGCCGCCTTCGCCAACAAGTACCACCACTCCCCCATTGAGTCAACGAAGGGGTTGCCGGGGAATACGATGCTGGCGCAGATTGAGCTGAAAACCATCGCCGACTGCGGACTGGTGGGCTACCCCAACGCAGGCAAGTCGTCGTTGCTATCTGCCATCAGCGCCAGCAAGCCCACCATCGCTCCCTACGCCTTCACCACGCTGCGCCCCTACGTCGGCGTGCTGCACGACCTGTACGGCAATGTGTGTCGCGTGGCGGACATACCCGGGCTCATCGAAGGCGCGTACGAAAACCGCGGTCTCGGCCACCAGTTCCTGCGCCACGTGGAGCGGACGAAGTGTCTGGCACTCGTGGTCGACATGTGCGACACGTACATCCCCACCAACAGCACGCAGGCGGTGTTGCAGCCGTGGGACGTCGTGGACCTTCTGCTGCAGGAGCTGGACTACTACCTCGCTGGCATGAGCGAGCGCGTCATCATGATCTTCGCAAACAAGATGGACGTAGAGAAGGACAGCTCGGGAAGCCCTACGAGGCAGAAGCTGGAGGAGCTGCAGCGGCGCGTGTCGCTTCCAGTGTTCCCGATTTCAGCAGCCCTCGGCATTGAGCTGGGGCCGCAGCACGCCAGCACCGGACTGGCACCTGCCCTGCAGTTCATGTGCAACGAGGTCTTCTCACGACAGTCGCAGGAGCGGCAGGTACGCCAGTTCCGCTATTCTCAGGAGCGGGAACAGCTCGAGCGTGCCTTCCGCGCCAAGAACAATGGTGTTTTTTTGCCGAGCATTCCTTCCATGGAGTCGTTTGACGCTGCGTCGTTGTCGCCATCTGCGGGGAGCGAAGGTGGGGGCGGGGAAGACGGGTCGGTGGCCTCCCTCGTTGACCAGCAGTTTGACTTTATTGGCAACAGCGGCCTTGGGGTGGACTTCGACGCGTATGCGAACTCTGCCGCGCGCGGCCAGCTGCACCGCTACCGCGACCTGACCATGAAAGGCAAGTACTGGAACCTGACGCGGGAGGATGGGGAAGTGCTGAAGGGTGAACGCTGGAAATAGAAAAGCACCGGTGTTTTCTAGTGGCGGGCCGCTTCTTGCAGCGAAGCAACATCATGGACGATCACCGGATCATGCCTCTCATCACCATTATCATCACACATACTTCGTATTGTAATTGTAGTTCTCGAGCTCTTTTACTGCTTCCTATCACAAATGTGCACTGCCGTGCACGTGAGAGGCGTTGAAACAAACAAACAAAAAAAGCGAGCAGCTTCCGGTCGAAAGCACCCCCCTATGATTCTGCTTACAGTTTCTGTCGCAGGTAACATGGAAGACGAAACACACATGAAGGGGACAACAAGCCGCTGTGCAAGTCGGCCCTTTCAAAGTTACGAACCGTATCTAGCTGAAACGAACACAATAATAGTTTTCTGGTGACTGCAGTGTTCCTCGACGGAAAGCACATGCTTTTGAGGAATGACTTTCTTCTATTCGCGCTGCTCGTTTTCTTTTCTCCTTACCCTTGTGATCTCCATCCTCGTCCTCTGCGAATTGAGTTTCCTCGTCACAACACGAACTGAGCACAGCGACACAACCGTGCACACATACACAAACATAGACTGCCACGCCTTCAGCTCTGTCATCATGGATGGTGCGAAGCGCCCACGAGAGACCGCCAGCTTTCACAAGCAGCAATGTCTTTCCTTTGCGCAGAAGCTGTGGGAGGCCGATACGCTCGCGATGTTCCACCACCCCGTCAGCGCCACGGAGGTGCCGGAGTACTACGACGTGATTGCGGAGCCGATGGATCTGTCCACCATTCGGCAAAAAATTGCGGAGGACAAATACAGCACCGACTCCGAGGTAGAGGACGACGTGGCGTTGATGTTGTCAAACGCGCTGGACTTCAACGCAAAGGGCTCGCCGTGGCACGACCTGGCGAAGAAAATTAAAAATGCCTATCCTGCCATGGCTCAGCAGTCCGGGCTCGCCTTCGACGACGATCAGGTGTTCATTCCGACAAAGAAGGAGCACGATGACGAGTCGACGCTGCGCAAGGAGGAGAGGAAAGGCGACGAGAAGCTTGACGAGGTGCTCAAGACAATGGAGAAGGAAAAAGAGATCCCTTTAGATGAACTTCGGCTGATGTATGCGCGTCGCAAGGCAGAGGCAGAGCAGCACAGCGGTAGCGGCAGCGATACCTCTTCCCCGCCAGAAGACGAGGGTGAAGAGGAAGAAGAGTCGGAAGAGGACGACAGCGATAGTGGTGACGAGGAAGACTCATCATCCAACTCAGACAGCGAAGCGGATGAAGAGGACGAGGACTAGATGTATTCCTGTATCGCTATTTTTTTTTTTCGCTGTGGTTGGTTCGAGGAGTGGGATTGCGGTTTTGATCAGCGAAACGCAAAAAACTATGCATTCATTTTTCTGCCATTGTACGAGGTGATGCCTCGGAAGCGCAAAGACGCACGGCAAAAGAAAGTAAGAGGAAGGAACGCATCGCTGTACGGAAGGTTGAAGATTGATGTGCTGAGATTTTAGATAATACAATCAAGGATTTAATTAGGTGTGCGTTGTTGCACTTCGTCGCACAAACTCACTCAGAAAACTTCACCCTCGTGCACCGAAGTCAACAGTGCATCTCTCCACGTTCTTGCTTTTTTTCTCTCCTCCTCTTTCATCTCAAGCCTCGCTCTACGACGCTGAGATTTCTCCACAATGTTTTGTTTTTGTGTAGAATAAGGTTTCATGTTTAGGGCAAAACAACAGGGCTAACTCCTCTGTTTGTGTGACACCCCTGTTTCATTTGTTTACTTTAACGTTTCTAGGGTCGCACGTGTGTGAGGTGAAGGTCGAACCAGCATGTTGACCATCCGCACCCCGGACATCTTTCAGAGCTACTGCCTTGCTGCCGTCGCGTTTGAGCTCCCCGTCATCGTTCAGCTGCTGCGTGGGGACTGGCGGCTGCCGGATGCAAGCACATGGTTTGAAGATGAGGTCTACTACCGCAACAACATCGCGCTGACCTATGTCTTCGTCGCCTTCCTCTCCGTTCTGGTCATCGCACGCGCCATGGCGTTCTTTCTGCCCAACATGCGCCTACTCATCATCTACAATCTCGTATTGCATCTTATCGAGCTCGTCGTCTTTGTGTACTGCTTTTCTCACAAGAAGGGTGCGTCGAGCGCTTCTGCGCGTTCCACCGCGGCTTTGGTTGTAGCAAACGTGTCCGTCTTTGCTGCTCGGTTCCTCTACTTGAAGGGAAAGGAGCAGGAAGCGGAGGTGGCGAACACCAAATGGAGGCGGGAGCAGCTTGCGATTATTCGCCAGAAGCGCGCGGCTTATGCGAAAGAAAAGGGAGACAAGAAAAACAATTAGTTGTAACTGTTTTCTTTTCACTCTGTGTATGTGAGCGCTGCCACCGTCTGCTTTCTTTTTTACTCTGAAACGGTGGAGAACACTATTTCTTTCTCACCGCTGTTGTTACTGTTCTCACGCTACCTCGAGAGCACGTGGAGAAGTTGTCGAAAGGTTGCGGTTTGGACATTAGGTTCGTACTGTAGGGGCTGCTTGTTGGTTCCCCGGGGGGGGGGGGGTTGTGAAGGTGCACGTATTTGCATCGGAAGGGAAAAGTAAGCGTGGAGGTAATTAGAAAACAAGAAAGGTCGACACGCACCTGCTAATGTTAGGACACCCCAACGGCGATAAAATAAAAGGTGGGAAAGGGTTCGTTAGACGTTTCAAATAGCACTATAATTCACTCCTGCTTTTTTCCCCTGCCCTTTCTATTTCTCTGTTGAGCAGAGCGGCCGATCTCTGGTCGTTGCTTTTGGTGCTCTCTCTCTTTGTTTCAAGTTCCTTGGTCCTCTTTTTTGGGGGCGTTCTAACTTGAATCACCTTTTATCCTTTTTCTTTCAAGTCTGTGCTGTTCAACGACGGACAACGTCGCGGAACTCTTATTGTTATTTTAGGTGAATTCCTTTCCTACTTTCATCTGCAAGTGCTTCGCTCGTTAGTCACGATGATGCTGGTGCAGTGGTACACCGGGGCACTTCTGTGCGTTGACGCGTACGAGCTCTATCGCCTCTGGACCGCCTCGCCGCGCATGCTGTCCAACGGTGCCTGCTGGTTCGACGCAAGCTCCAACGCACCGATGGCCCTTGCTCTCTACACCGCGCTTCTCCTGTGTCTGATGCTCGCTCGCCTATTCGTTCTCATCGAGCCGCTTAGTCGCTGGATGCTGATGCTCGAGACGATTCATGATGGCATTCGCGTGCTGCTCTACTCGGCCCTATTCACCGCAAAGAAAGACGCGTCGCAGGCGAACACGATGCTAATCGCTTTTGCGGTGTGGAACACCTTCTTCTATGGGCGAGCTTACTATACCACCATGGTAATGCTGCGTGAGCACAGTAAGTAGGTCGAGTACAACCTCGGTAGTTACCTGGTCTCATTAGTGAGTAGATCATGCGGAGAGGCTCAAATGCCCCCCCCCCCTCCGTTGGTTCTTCTCCTCACACGGAACGTACTTTTTTTTCTGCTTTTTCTGTTTTCCTCGCCGTTTTCTACTTTTTGGGGGAGAGGGCGATGGATACGTGCAACACACCAAAACCTGCTCTCTCCCTTTCCCTCTTGATCTCTATCTGTCTCGGTTAGACGAGTATCTCCTGTTTTTTTTATTTCTCTCTTTCTCCTGGTGCATCCTGTCCAGCAACGTTTTCTCCATCACCCTCTGTGAGCAGCTTTACGACCTCCTCCCCTCACTTCCGAAAGGCGGAGATCAAGTTTGAAAGCAACAACAAAAGATTAAAGGAGTATCGACGTTTCAATCCATCGAGCGGAGCAGCGATTCAGTTTTTCGTGCGAGAAACGGAGAATACGAGAGCCCGCAAAGCGGCAAGCTTCAAGGACTCTGTCTCATCTTTATCGCGGCCAACAACATGAAAAAAAAGCCCGAAAAATCTTGTCGCTCCGTCAAGTGCTCGTGTCGCCATGTTTCTCCGTGAATCCAATAAGTATCTTCTCCACCTCATCCACAAATATCAACGCACACTTTACTTTTTTTGCTGCTGCACGCTTTCTTCTTTTCCGTTCTCCTTCGCACGGAAGGACATACACACAAGTTATTCTACTCGCGTAGACTATATTATTCCAAGGAATTCCTTTCTTGTTTCTCACCTAAGTAACCTTCACCTCTTTTATTAATATTATTGTTTCTTTTTCGTTTTCAACTTGTTAGCGAAATCAAAAAAACAAACATACACACCATGCTCCGCTTCGGTCGTCTGTGCACCCCCAAGGCTGCTGGTATGCAGCGCCGCTTCCTGAACATCCACGAGTTCCAGTCGAAGCAGATCCTCAAGGAGAACGGCGGTAAGGTGGAGTTCGGTATTGCGTGTAAGACGATTGAGGAGGTCGAGGCGGCGTGCGCCAAGATCAAGACAGAGAAGAAGGTGGTCAAGTCGCAGATTCTGGCCGGTGGCCGCGGCAAGGGCACCTTCAAGGACGGCTACAAGGGCGGTGTGCATGTGTGCGATAACGCCGCGGCTGCCGTGGAGGCGGCGAAGCACATGCTCGGCAACACCCTCATCACGAAGCAGAGCGGCGCCAAAGGCCAACTCGTCAGCACCCTCTACGTGACCGAGGCCGTCTCCGGCATTAAGCGCGAGCTGTACCTCTCCCTCATCCTGGATCGCAAGAGCGCCTCCCCGATGTTCATTGGGAGCGCGGAGGGTGGCATGGGCATCGAGGAGCTCGCCAAATCCCACCCGGAGAAGATTAAGACGATGCGGGTGAACATCGCCGAGGGCGTCGACCACGACGCCGCTGTCGCGTACGCGAAGGAGCTCGGCTTCGCGGGTGAGACGGCGGAGCGCGCGGCGGAGCAGCTGAAGGTTTTGTACAACATCGGCAAGTCGGACGACTGCACCATGGTGGAGATCAACCCCTTCGTGGAGCTGGAGAACGGCGACGTGATGGAGATCGACGCGAAGCTCAGCTTCGACGACAACGCTATGTTCCGCCAAAAGAAGATCTTCGCCCTCGAGGACAAGACCCAGATCGACAGCAAGGAAGTGCTCGCCAAGAAGTACGACCTGAACTACATTGCACTGGAGGGCAACGTCGGCTGCCTCGTGAACGGCGCCGGTCTCGCCATGGCCACGATGGACCTCATCTCGCTGCATGGCGGCAGCCCGGCCAACTTCCTTGACGTCGGCGGTAGCGCCTCCGAGGAGCAGATTGTGGCCGCCTTCAAGATCATCACGGGTGACCCGAACGTGAAGAGCATCCTGGTCAACATCTTCGGTGGTATCATGCACTGCGACGTCATCGCCGAGGGTGTCGTGAACGCCTCTAAGACGCTGAACACGAAGGTGCCGATTGTGGTGCGTCTCAGCGGCACCAACGAGCAGCTTGGCAAGGATATCATCCGCAAGAGCGGCCTCGCGATCCACCCTGCTGACGACTTCGAGTCTGCCGCGCTTAAGGCGGTCGAGTTGGCCAAGAGCCACTGAGCAGAGGAACCTGAAAGGTGTTGCGCAGGTTGGGCAAGGGACTGCAGCGTCACAGCTCTCTCTCTCTTTCATGACCAATACGTTTTTTTTTCTTTCTTCCTGTTCTCCTCCTGCAATCTTTCAGTGTGCCTCTCTTGATTTACGTGCTTTATTATTATTATTTAGTTCTCTGATTTTGTTTGTTTGTTTCTATCCCTCTCCAACGAGTGTGCGTTCATTTGTGCTAACTACTTTGTATTTCAAAACAGTTCTTTCCACCTATGGAGTGCATTGCCTTGCAGCTCTTTGGGTTGTTTCGCTGTTGTTGCTGGTGTTTTCCTTCTGTTGATGATGGTGTCAATAATTTTGTAAAGGATTTTTTTTTCTTCGTGCTATGCTGTTTACGATTTTCTGTTTTATATTATTATTATTTTCATTTTCTCTTTCTTTGTGGTTGAAGTCTTTCTCTGAGATGGAAAGAAAAGAGGGCAGAGGAAAGCACTATGGAGGAGAACGGCACTTCCAAAAAAAGAAAGAAAAAACTGTGGAAGCTGTTTCATTTCGCCGGGAGAAAAATACTGTTTTCTTATTGTTATTATATATATATATATATATACTTTTTCACTTGGTAGCTAAGACAAGCACCACTCGTGGAAACTCTTGATCCGCCGTTGTCTCTCTCTCTCTCTCGCACACACACGCATGTACACTCCATACATTCTTTCAGCTCCGCCCATTCTTTTCTCCCCTTCTGCCAAATCCTGTCAGGGCTGGGCCACAGAAAAAGCGGTGAGTGGAGGGAGGGGGTCACATAGCGAACCGGGGAGGAGAGAACGAAGCGGAATGTTTTTTTTTTTGCTGTGGATTTTTCCTACGAGGTCTTTCTTTCCTGTCCGAATGTGCATCGAATGTAGATCCTCTGAAGAGGCGCGGGGATGTTCTCGCTTCTCCTCCGCAGAGAACCAAAAGAGAAGATAGTGAAAGACACGTGTGAGGGCGAAGAGGGAGGAGGGGTAACAAATAGTAGTGGAAGAGAAAAATACGAAGAGAGAGGCGAAGGAAAATTGGAAGGTAGAGGGGAGTGTAATACCGACGCACAAGGAGAAAAGAACATCAGCTGAGCCGCGCGTACATGGAGGAGTGCGAAGGAGAATCTTCTTTGTTGCTGCTCGTGCATCGCGCCGTCCTTGCTTTAACGCTCTAAATGATTTTTTTTTCTGCCTTTCCTTCCCCCCCCCCCCCCCACCGCGATCATGATTGGTGATATGACCAAAAGAGAAAATACGTGCATGCTCATGTTAGCTTCTTCTTCTTCTTTTATGCCTCTTGCTCCTGTGGGATTGAACTTAAAGTGGGTGATTACGAGACGGCTGTTTGTTTTTCTTTCCTTCTTCAACCCCTTCGCAGCACCAAACGGACGCAATCGAGAAGAAGAAGAAACGACAGAAAGGGGGGGGGGGAAAGGTGGTGCAGTTAGTCTTGCTCATTTGCATAGCGGAGGATGTCAGTCAAAGGCGAAACGAAAAACAATAATCTAGAAAAGCGCCTGCGGTACCGATATATACCTGTAAGCGTTCTTTTTTACTTTTAATGTTCTCCTTTTAAGTTTTTTTTTTTCCTACGCGCTATCTTCCACTAGGAAACTGACTGTACGCTGCTTCTGTGCGTTGTTGTTGCTCGCCAGAAGCTTCCTTTCGACACCCCTTTCTTTTCTTTTTCTTCGCTTTTCATTTCGGCATATTCGGTGGCCTCTTCCGTGTTTGAGCGTCTCATTAATATCAAAGAATAACTACGTTTTGTTTGTGTGTTTTAAAATATAAAGAACTATCAAAAGAAAATAGCAGCACCAATTTTCATCCGTCAATATCAACCAAGTAAGTACAAGGGAATTTTGCTTCATGCAACAGCACCCTTTCTCATACACTTTTCTTCTGAGTGTGATATGAGGGCGTAAGGAAATTAATTAATCAGTATCCCCGCTAGCAGCTCTTTCCTTTGGTTGCGTTGCATCCCACCGTTCTTTGAGAGCTGCTACGCGTATTGGCGCAACCGAGCACGCACGCGTGCGTGTATCCTTGCCGGTTAACGCTTCTCGAAACTACGTACATGTCAGTTCTCAAAGTCGTGCTTTGTGGGTGTTTTCTCACCATTCATGTGAAATGAGAACTGTGCAGCAGTGTCGTTTGATGTCGATCTCGCGCTTCGACTTTCCTTCGTCATTTTTTCCCTATGTGCTAACAATGCCGCGGAAGGAGAGTCCTTCTTGCGTCAAACTCTCTCTCTTTCTTACGACAAACGCAAAGCGCCAGAACAGACATACGCGCCTCCGCGCACATACGCACACTTGGACAAAGAAGCACCAACTCCTTGTGCTCTGCTCGCCAAAATAAAATTATAATAATACAAAACACGCGCATCACCGACGGAAGAAAGTCTGTGTGGTCAGTAGCACGCAAAACACGAGGTGTGTGTGTGTGTGTTTCCCTTTCCGTTGTGTCTTCCGGCGCATACGTGTCACTGCCAAAAAGAAGAAAATCGACTTTATAAAGAAAAGCAGCAGCTGTCTTCGTCACAAATCAACTTTTCTTTCTTTCTTTCCCTTTCACCCCAAAGGCTCATAGCGCCGTTCGTTTTTATTGTTGTCTTTGTTATTACCCCACCGTGTGCTCCGTCATGCACATCGCCGTTCCCATCTTCGCCGTCGGACCCTATTCCCTTGCGTTCGTGGTGGGGCTCCTGCTCTACTGGAATGCCTCCCTCATCATCTCGCGGTGCTTGACCGCGTTCTTGGCGACGATGATCGCCACGAGACTGGACTTGGCTTTTCACCTCCTCTACGCGTGCCTACACCACGTGGTGGCGAGCGTATTTCGTCTGCGCGTGACCTGGGATCTGCAGGACGTGCTTCAACACTTTCAGTTCCACTCGCAACTGTACGTCATCGCAGACGTCGCCAGTATTTCGCTGCTTGTTGGCAACACCCTGCAGTTCTGGGCCGCCGCACTGATTACCCGGATCGCCCTCTCCGCGCTCGCCTCCCGCACTGAAATCTGGATGCGCTGGTGGGAGTCGCAGTCCGTCGTCGATCACGTTCTCGCCACCGTGGGATGCCTTGTGTGCGTGGTGGGCTGCGCGCTTCAGTGGGCGTATTATGTACTGCTGCCGCAGGCGGAAAGGGAGGAGGGCGGCTTTGCGTCCCTGTTGATGTGGTACACATCTACCGTGTACATCGTCGCGGTAGGCGTGCGTGCGGCGTGCAACCTGACCACGGCCCTCATGCGCCTGTGTGGGTACCGCCTTATGCAGTGTCTTGCCAACAAGGTGGACCGAGTCGCCGCGCGAGCTCTGGAGGATTCTGGGTTGAACCCTCACTCGGAGGTCCATCAGCTGTACATGGCGTATCTGTACGCCGTGGTGTGCGCCGTGACGGCGTGGTACTACTCTCCGTCGTCGTTGCCCATGTGGATGCAGTGCTTCGTTCTCCTGCGCCTCTACCTCATCGCAAGCGCATCGTGGAAGTTGCAGCACTACAAGCAGGTGCTCGACCGGTTTCCCTCCGTCACGGCCGATCCCTCGAAGGCGTGTGCGATCTGCCGCGACGACTTCCTCCCTGGTGAGCACGTCACCTGCCTCCCCTGCGGGCACACCTTTCACGGCGCGTGTGTGCGGTCGTGGTTGGTGCGAGCGGCGACGTGTCCGACGTGTCGGCAACCCGTGGCAGACGCGGCGTGGCGAACCGGCCAGCCGCGACGCGGCGCCGTGCGAGGTGTCGCAGTGGGTCGATTCACCGGCTCCATACAGCCCCTCGCCCCTCGCCTGCCGGCTGCCGCGCCACACACACGGGACACACGGAACACACCGCGCACCCTCCCGACCACCGCCACAGCTGCTGGTGCCGCGCACTCCTCTTCCCTCCCCTCATCCCGCCTCTCGTCTTCCACAGCCCACGCGTTTGTGGTGGCACACGCACCGCTGCCACACCTCGCCGAGCTGCAGCGCATTGAGGCGGAGCGCCGCGCACTGGCGCAGCATCGACAGGATCTCCTCTCTCAGTCAAGCTCCCCTGTCACCTCTCCTGTGGCGGCTCCTGCGCGTTCTGCCAGTGAGGCCAGCATCCGAGAAGTTGAGCGAGGGCAGGTGGAGGAGAACGGAGTCGACCCGCTTCTCTTCACCGATACGCCACTGGCCCCGGCAGAGTCGCCGGCGGAGGAGAGGCAGAGCGGCGACAGGTTTTCTGCGGCGCCGCACCGCAAACGCCAGCGTGCCGATGCCGCCACGGCGGGTGGCGAAAGTGCCACAGGCGAGGAAGCCTCGCCTCGACGGAGACGAGAATAAGTGGTGAGAGAGGGAGCGAGACAGACAAAGTGTCAAACCGAGTTGCTAGGTGCATACATGTACGTCCGGGTGATTGTTTTGATAGTGACGGATGGAGATACAAATGGAGGGCGTGCACGTCTTGTCTATACGCGGCTGTTGTTTTGGTTTTCGTGCACAGGCCGTAGAGAAGTTTGGGAGGTACAGGAAAGAGAAGCAAGCAAACAAAATGTTGCGCTCAGGCAGCTAAAATGCCGCTTTCATAACTTGCAAGTTTCTTTTTGACTTTTCTACGGCATGAGGTTGTGCGTACCTCTTGTCCCTTTTGCCGTCTGCCTTTCCTCTTCGAGTACCTTCTTTTCCTTCTTGATTTTCTTTCCCGCTCGTCTTGATTTTGATTTTTTTTTTTTTGGTCTCCGCTTGTTTGCTTCAGGCTTGTTTTATTTTCGACTCCGCTGTCATTTGTTGCTACTCTCTTTTGTTTTTTGCTTCTTTCTCCCTCAGGTAAACACGAACGTGAGCGTGACGAACGTAGAGGCCTAACGGTAAAGAGAAATTGGTGTCACAGATCTGGTACTGTTTTCTGATTCATGTCTTCTTAATAGAAAGAAGGCTTTTGTCATCTGCTGCTGCTGCTGTAGAGCACCGGCGGTAAAGTAAAAGAGAATTGCTTGTCTCTGCGTACTCACACTGTCGTGTGGTTTCCTCCTCTCCCTTGTCGTATCACTGGGTCGAGCAAGTGGATCATCGCTCTCTTCGCGTCTCCCCTCTTCTCTTCTTTTCATCCCACTATTTTTGTCGAACTGCAATGCGAAAGGTCAATAAGGGGACGTCTGGGCGTGGCTGCACACACTTGAAAGAACCGAATTAAAGTCATTCTCTTTCTTTCCCATCGGTGTGTTTGTGTGTGTGTGTCTTCTCACTGAATTATGAAAGGAAGCGTACGTTCATTTAGGCGTCTCTGAACAGGTAACGAAATAAACAACAACATAGGATTGCGTTATCGCAAAAAGTAGAAAAGATGCTACGCCATTCAAAGGATCTCCAAATGTGCCGCAAGACTGCCGGCACGGCAATCGGCTACGTATGCCGCCTGCACGAAGGCCGCTGTGTTATCTGCGATCTGCAATTCGACGAAATTGTGGACACGATGCGCGAAGTCCACCTATGCGAGGACTGCAGCATCATGGCCACGGAAGGCGAGGAGGCGTGCATCATGTGTGGCTCTCGCCGGGTGACGGATGTCGCCTATTACTGCCCGTACTGCGTAGCGCTAGAGAAGGACAGAGATGGGTGCCCGCGTGTGCTGAACCAGACTCGTCAACAGCGCATGGCTGCCCTGCGAGCTGCCGTGTCGAAGTAAGTGAATGACCACGCAGGGTCCTACGTGTCATCGTGTTCTCTTCATTTACCAAAAACGGTAGTATAGAAGAGGAGGTTTTTCGTGCTGCGTTAAAGCCTTTTTTTTTGGTGTTCTGATGTTATTTTTTGTTTTACTGCCGATCTGCTCAAGAGGTGACCCCTTTTTTTCTTCTGGTGGTACCGTTGTGTCTGTTTGTGGTCATGCTGCGGGTGGTCGAGTGAGCCGATTCCCCCGCTAATTTAAAAGAGGCGCACTTCTCAGATGCCTCACGAAACGATCCTCTAAAGGCACCGCAATTTTTTTTTCTGGCGGAGTAGTATTGCAATAAGAAGCCGCCGTTGTGACTAGGGCGCGATAGCCAACATTATTCTGATGACGGCTTCACGGAACCACGCCCCTTGGCACCGTGTAAACGAGGATACTTAAACTCTGTGTGTAGCTCTCATCATCCATTGCTTGTGCTTCTCCATGCCACAATTCCTGCCCTTTTTCTTTAATTAAAGCACGTCTCGTTTTCTCGACCTCCGCTTCTCAACTCCCTATTGGTCTACGAACACCCACTCTTCGGCTGAAGTACCAGAAGGGGAGCGCATTTCCGCGTTGTCTCTTGCTGCGCTTCACCCCCCCCCCTCCTTTTCTGTTGCACGGTTGTGTTGTTGTAGACAAACAAGAACCAAAAGAGAGAAAAATAAACGAAGCGCTACAAAGTTAGCAAAGATGAAGTCGTTTTCTGTATGCAGCCGTGCTGGCGCTGTGTCGGCCACGTGGGCGGCCTCTCGTGCGTTTGTGGCGCAGCCCACCGCCCTTCTCCGCGGCTTGGAGCAGCTGCAGGACGTACCAAGCTCTACCGACCGCAAGCCCACCGGTATGCACCGCGGTCCAGGGAAGCGCCAGACCGCCCCGAAGGAGGCGGCGCAATACCAATTTATCAAAAAGTGGGACCTTCAAATGCGCGAGTCGTGGGACGACCTAGAGCCCTTCAAAGGACTCGCCAAGCCAAAGGCTCAGTTTGGCAACGAGGCGGCGGAGGTTATCTGGCCATACGCGCTGCTTCTCGAGCACGTGATTAAGGTCCACCCCTACACCAAGTCCATCTACGTCTATTATAGTCAGCGCCAGAGCTCCGCGCAGGGCCAGCTGGCGGCGAATGCGGCGAAGCGGGTCGCGCAGGAGTACCTGATCCCCATCACCTTCCATAACTCCCATGTGTACGTGGAGACGGAGATGCTGCTCGAGTACAGCGAGACGCCGTGGGTGGTTGTGAACTGCCTCGACGGCTCGCACCAGGTGATCCCTATCAAGCCACAGGAGGGCCAATCCGTTAAAGAAGGGGCGGAAGAGGTGCTCCACGCCATCGTGCAGGCCTGCAACGCCATGGGAAATGCCGTCAAGAACCCGAAAGAAGTCATGCGTGTCCTGAGCGAGCGCCCACTGCAGAATCAATACGTTCGGGTGAACTACCAGTGGTACGGCGACACCCCGGAGGAGCGGATGAGCCATCTGGTAAAGTGGGACTTTGAGCCGGAGAACGTCGCGCCACAGCTGCACAACCGCACAATGCACGTCCTCGATTGGATGAACTACGATGGCAATTTGCCAACGCACAACTCCGTGCGGATTAACGTGCGCCGCGAGGCCGCCCGCATGCGCAAGCCGAACATCGCGCCGGGACCTCGCACCTTCTTCAACTCTGCCGGCGCCCGTGCCAACGCACGCACTGCGCGCTTTAATAATTCTCGCTCACCGCAGTAGAGCTTCTTTTGACAGAGAAAACGAAGCTGGTGTTGCCTCCGTTTTCTTTTGGGGGGGGGGGTGTTGCCTGGGCATCACTTGAAAGGGGTGTTCTGCCTTCCTTTTTCAGTCCCCCACCTGATGTGGTTTTTGTTGTTGTTTGTGTGATGTGGTTGGTTGACTGTGCAGTTTTCTGCGGTCCTGTTGAGTTGTTGTCGTTTGCTATCTGGTTTCACATACGTGTCATTATGTGCCATCTGCGTACGCGCATACACACACCTTTTACTCGAGTCTCTTTCCGGAGCTGCGTCTGCATCGGGGTTTTTTTTTCGGCGCATCTATCTTGCTTCGCCTTCTTTTTCTTCCTGAACCAACGACTTCGGTAGAGGGCCGACGAGGACGTCGGCCCTCTACTGCAAAACCCTGGCGCTGCTTCAGCACGGTTTTTCTTTTACTATTATTATTGTGGGTGCTTTTTTTCTTCCTGTTTCTTCGTCGTTACCGCGCCTGCACAAGGTTCGCAGCTGTCAACGTTCACCGCTTCTCTCCCTCCTCCTCTTTCCTGCTGTCCTTTGTTGTTTTCCTCTTCTTCTTTTTTCTTCATCTGTTGTGCTCGATCCCCTAGCACGTTTTGTATTTCTACTGGACTTTATTCCTCTTTCTTTTATTAGAGTTGGTCAAACTCCGTTGCCCGAGCTGTTCCCCCTCTCTCTTTGCTGATCTCACCTACTTCCACATGGAAGACGCGGCTGTTGTGCACAGCAACGCCGCTAACTTGGCCAATGGGTCGAAGGAAGACCACGACCTCACAATGGCGTCGCGTGAGAGCGCGCAGCGCGAAACCAGCATTCAGAACGAAGCCTACCGCCAGGCGCTGAGCGAGTTGGCGGGTGAGCTCTACGTCGAGGCGTACAAGAGCACGTTGCAGCAAACGCTTGAGAAGCAGCGCAAACACTGGAGTATCAGTGGCGAGTAAAGGATTGCCGCTCAATGCGTCGTCGTGATGTTCTCGCTGTTTGCTTCCGTCAACGATCATCAGCAGCACACCTGCTTGTACGAAATCTCAATTGAGTCGTTGCAGTCAATTGGCTTCTAGCCGTGGCTGTTTCAGCACGTACATGAAAATGAGCTGCCCTTATTAATTTCCATGGTAGCTTTCCTCACATCGGCAAACGCTGTTTTAACTTTGCGTCTCAACTGTTCGGAAAGGAAAAAGAAGCAACGAAACTATTGCTCGTGCCGCAGCACTCTGTGCAGGTCGAAAGTTATAAAAAGGACGAATCAATTCTTCCAACTTTTCATTAAATATGGAGCCGCATTGTTGATCTTTAAGCGGTGTAATCGCAGCCAACCAACCCCCTATGCTTTTCTTTGGGCTTGCCCTTGTTCTTCACGTAACCCCTTCTCTTTTCTTTTTTTCTGCAGACACAACAAGGCTTTTTTCAGCATGAGATCCTCCACAGCAAATCCATGTACGCTGGACACTGTGCGCTCCTGCGTTGCGTGGCTCGACTACGTTAGCGCCGCGCTCAACCCGGAGCGGACTCCACATCATTCTTGCCTCGTGCACGACATGCACGCCCTCATGCGCAGTACCGCCCCTCCACCGCCCGCCCTGCAGGAACAGTGGAGCACGCAGGTGTGGGCGATGCCGGGTGAACCCTACGAAGTGTACCTCCTCCGCTGTCTCGCCCGCCAGAGTGGCGTCACACTCCTCTCCCCGCACTTCTCTTTTGATTCTCCGGCAGTGGAAACGGTCGATCCGCAGATGGGTGCTGCTGGAGCCCAAGCTTTGTATGCCGAGACGTGCGTTGTCGTCGGCCTGCGGGTCGAGCCGACCGCGAAGAACCTCCTGCAGACGGGCTGGGACACCCAACCCTGTCCGTACTGTCCCAGTGCCGACCCCGCAACGACTGCCGGCTTTCATCCAGTTCTGCCGTTGCTGTACGGCGGCGACACGTGTGGACGCTGCGGCCGCGCCTTCCCGATGGTGCCGGCCTGGACACGCACGGTGTACCTGGTCTTGCAGCACGGCGATCGCACGCGGGCCGCGGCGGTAGCTTACGGCGATGGTGCGCTCCGGCACCTCTCGCTGGGCGCCTCTATCAACGCCCTGCTCTATCGCTCGCAGACGGAGCAGCAGGAGCCGTTGCTGGTGGTTCACGCCGCGCAGCCTTCTGTCGTGCTTTCATTACCCGCAGCTCTCCTCACCACCTTGAATCCGAGTAGCACCGAAGCGTCTACGCCAACCGAGCAGCGTAACTTTTTCCGCACCTTCTACGATCAAATGCAGTCGAGCTTCGCGGCACAGAAGTGGTCCGGGCCGTTGCGATCGCTTGACGATGTGGCGAGATACATGGCACCGAAGCTGTTGGGGCAAACGCAAGCGAAGAAAGTTGTCCTCTTGGTGGTGATGTACACGCTGTACTGCTCGCAGCACTTCCTCAAAGATGCCACCCGTCGCCCACTGCACTTACTCCTCCTCGGTCCGGCAAAAACAGGGAAAAGCGCGTTGTTGTGCGGCGTGCAGTCTCTCATGGGTGCCCAAGCTGACGTGCTGGACTCCACCGTTGTTCGATGCGCGGGTCGCGGCGAGGTGACGCGGACAAGCGATGGGGCGTCCTTTCTGTCAGCTCTTCCGTCGCGCCGTCGTGATCTTCTGATGGCCGGTCCCGGCATGACCGCCACGACGCTGGTGCTCGATCATCTCCCCGCCTCGTCCTCCGCCGCCGTCGTGGCACCATTGAAGGACGCCTTGGAGCGCCAGAGTGGTTGTGTGGCGGACATGGAGGGTTTGGAAAGCTCCGTCGCGATGGGTCTCCCTGTGCACATCATCGCAGCGGCTGAGGAGGAGAGCGGGAGTGCGGTGCACTTGGCTCCCTTCTTCCCCCTGGTGACATCCCTGATCCCTACCAGCTCCCTCGGCGAGTCCGCTTTGATCAGTCAAGATGTGGTGGCCGCGTCGCGGGCGCGGGCCTCCACTAGTCGGTCTACCTCCCGCGGCGCCTCCACTTCCTCTTCCTCTTCCATTACGCAGCGCTCCGCGTCCCTCATGCGGGGACCAGGTGCCAGTGCGCTTCCCGAACGCCTTACCGCGGACGATGTGGAGTATCTGCTACGCCGCGCTGCCGACCCTGCTCTGCTGAACGCCACAATGGACTCTGCTGTGTGCTACGCTTCGTACATGCCAAAGCTGGTGGCTGCGGCGGGTCTTGTGGAGGAGGCACAACCTCCCACCTGCACTTTTCTCCCTCCGCCCTCTGCCTGTCGTGGGTCGCGACAGATGGATTCACGTTTAGCGTCAGGTGCTGTGGACGAAAGTCTCTCCGCAAGCCCGCTGTGCTTTGAATCGCACCTACGCGTTTTGCGCTGTCTTTCGCAGGCACGCCTCCTACTCGAGACGGCCGAGGAGGTGCGAGCGGTGGGGTGGACGGTGGAGATGCGCGACGAGGTGTGGCAGCTCTACGAACACCACCTTGTCACGCTGGGCGATCTCCTGCATCAGCGCAGCGGCACGCAACGCGCTGAGAATGCACGAGCAGCAGCGGCAGCTCGCGCGATGTCCGCGACCATACCCGGCACCAGTGACGCCGGAGCGTGGGCACCGTGGCCGTCGAGCGGAGGTGTCGGACGGGATGGCAACCGGATGGGAAAAATGTCGAAGAAAAAGCGGCGTCTTCTCTTCGTCGAGCAGCTGCGCCGCTGTCAGTCGCTCCTCGGTGATGAACGAGACGTGATCCTGCCCGCAGAGGCAGCGCACATATACGCACAGATGGGCGACAGCGCTGCTTTCGGTGACTTGCTGGACGTAGTGATGAGTCGGCTGCAGGAAGAAAGCTTGGTGATTCGCCGCCCCGGTGGATGGCGGGCCCTTTAAACTTAAAAAAGAAACAACGCTCAACGACGAGATACAGCGTTTCGATGTGCACTCCCTCTACTCAGTTTTTTTTTTTGATCCTCTTGTATTTTGTTTGTTGTACACCGCAAATCTGCGCAAGTCCGTTTGCGGTTGTGCCGCTGCTTCTTTCCTGCTACGAGACACAACGTTAGGTTTCATTTGTTTTTCACAGAATATTCGATTCAGTATTAATGGAACTGTTTTGCGCTTCAGTTGCCAACTAGATGCGGAGTTCAGGCAACGAAGTACCATTCCGCGCGAGCAACTACGTTGAAGCTTTTCCGACTGTTGGCTCCATTTACCGTCGATGCGTTGTGGGCCGCACCTGTGTGGAGTGGTGTTGTGCACATACGCTTGCAATGGCGCGTTACGGCGGGTTTCCATCTCTACCCCTTTCAATTTTCCTCTTTTCGTTTCCCTTGTCTTCCCTTTGCTCACCGCAATTGCGGTGTATTTCACCGTTTCTTTTTTCTTCTTTTTAATTCTCAGCAGGTACGTCCGGACCATTCCGTATTCCTAACTACTACTCTCTCTCTCTTGCTGAATATATGTTTATATCGTCACTTCGTGCGGCGCTTCCCTGCTCTTTCTCATGCCGTCTCCTGCGCCGCCGTCCGATCGCGCAGAAGCGGGGTTGCTCGTGAGCTCCTCGTCTCCGGAGACCTCTTCGTCGCCGCTGCCCTCAACGCACCGCAAGACCGTCCTCACGTGGGAAAACGTCAGCTACACCGTTGGCACTGCCGAGGCGTCCAACGAACACACGTTGCTGCGGCACGTCTCTGGCTACGTGCGGAGTGGTGAAATGCTCGCCGTTCTCGGTCCCTCCGGCGCCGGTAAGACGACGCTGCTTGACATCCTGGCACAGCGAAAAACATCCAAGATGGGCCGGCGCTCTGGCGAGATCTGCGTGAATGGCGCGCCCATCGACCCGATCCGCTTCCGTCGCGAAAGCGGCTACGTGCAACAGGACGACCTCACCCATAGCTACGTCACCGTCGAGGAGGCCGTGCGCTTCTCTGCGACGCTGCGCACACCGCCCACTGTCTCGCCGGACGAGCTGGACGAACGCGTCACGCGCGTGCTGAAGCAGCTGGGCATCTACAACGTGCGTCACCGCTGCATCGGCAGTGCGTTGGTGCGCGGCGTCAGCGGTGGCGAGCGGAAGCGGTGCGCCGTCGCGGCTGAGATGGTGACCTCGCCCGCCATCCTTTTCCTCGACGAGCCTACGACCGGCCTCGACACCTTCACCGCGATGCACCTCCTTTTGCTGCTGCGCTCCCTCGCCCAGACTGGGGTGGCGGTGATCTTCTCCATCCACCAGCCACGCTCACGCATCTATGAGGTGTTTGACCGCGTGCTGCTCTTGAACAGCGTGGGCGAAGTGGCCTTCTTCGGGCCCGCCGCGCAGGCTCTTTCCTTCTTTGTCGAGATCGGACTGCCGTGCACCTACCCAAGCAACCCGGCCGACTACCTCCTCGATGCCGTGTCGACGCCACCCGCCGACGAGGAGCAGTGGCCGCTGCGTGACAGCGAAGTAGCGGTCGCCGAGCACCACAGCAACAGCGGCGGCACCCAACACCTCAGCCCGCCCGTGGCGCCTGGCGAAAAAGGGCGATGGGCGAACGTCGTCAGCTCCAGCCCCACGCAAGGCCGCGACATCGCCGCCGCCTTCGCGTCGCTGCGGCTGCCTGGCGTGCTCCAGCAGATTCGAGAGCTGCAGTGTGAATTTCGCGTGGTGGTGCCGCCGCGCATCTCCTCCGCCACTGTCGAGAACGAAAAGGCCGGAGCATATTTCCGCGGTTGGGGGACGCAGGTGCGGTGTATCGCGCTGCGTTATCTGCGCAATCGGCGGCGCGACCCCGTCGCCACTTACGTCTCCATCTCGTCCGCCATCATCTTTGCCTTCCTCACTGGCACCATCTACTATCAAGTAGGCACCACACAAGATAGCATTCGGAGTCGCATGGGTGTACTCTTCTTCATTATGATGATCAGCACCTTCTCGTCCCTCGGCAGCCTCGAGATGTTTCTCGTCGATCGCGCCATCTACGCACGGGAGCACCGCAGCGGCATGTACAGCACCTCCGCGTACTACGTGGGGAAGGTGATACAGGATGTACCCGTCGGCATCGCCGTCAACGCCGCCTTCGTGGTCATCGTCTATTTCCTGGTGGGACTGCAACTCTCGCTTATAAAGTTTCTCGTTTTCTACGGGGTCTGTTCGCTTGTCATGCTGAATGGGTACGCGCTCTGTCTACTCATGTCGAACGTGTCCACCAACTACGCCACGGCGAACATCATTACCTCGCTGCTCCTTGTCTTATACCTACTCCCCACCGGCGGCATGCTGGTGAGTCTCAACAGCATCCCGTTTGTGTGGCGATGGATCAAATACGTTTCCTTCGTCCGCTACGCCTTCTCTACCCTCGTCGCCAGCGAGTTCGATGGGCTGACGTTGGTGTGCGACACGAATTCGTCGGCGTTGACACCGTGCATTACCTCAGGCACCGCCTACACCGAGTCGCAGGGAATGTATCCGAGGGATATCGTGCCTCACACCCTCTTTGTGGTGTGCAGCATGTTTGTCTACCTCCTCCTCGGCTATTTCGCGCTTCGGTGTTGGCGGTCTGCGGAGGGGAAGTGAGCGCTCTTTATACTCTTCTGTTTTGGTTTTCTCATCTTCTCGCGGTGGTGCACACATGTAACCTATAAACGTGATACAACTATTCCCGCGTCGCTGGAGCACACACTCTTTTTTTTCCCCAACGGCGCATGAGGCATCTTGTTTCTACTGGGTATGAACTCTTCGTGTGTGTTCGCGGCTGCCTGAATGTCGAGCCAATCCCTCCCTCCTGATCGGCTGGCTGGTGAATTTCTTCGTCTCATCCGTATCAACCTACCTGGGTAGTGTGCTCGTTCTTCTGCTCTTATCACATGATATTTCTCTCGCCCTCTTCTTCTGGCTGCCAATCGACAAAAAATAGAAATTTAAAAGGGTAATAATATATATATATATATATGTATTTAGAAAGCAGTCTTTTGCTGTTGCGAAACGAGTTTGCTTTTGGAATGAAACTGTGCCGTCGGCGTATGTTTTGCGCAAGGAGATCTTCTCTCTTTCTCTGTCCTCCCTCTTGCAAATGACCTTCCTCACTTTCTTTGCCTTCTCGACGCGTGCTGCTCACTCACCTGTGGACCCATAACAACTAAACCCCTCTTCTTCTTGTTTCTGATCCTAATGAGCAGCGAGGGAAAGGAACGGAAAAGAGAAATTTCTCTCTTGTAAAGCAGAGATTAATCGCAAAGAGTATTCCAAGATTACGTGTGGTGCCGTGACGCGTTACGCGTCTAATTTGCGTTCTTCCAAAATAATACACTTACACAGCAGAAAAGAGAAACAACGCTGTTGTCTTTGTTGTTGCGTCATGACGGAGCGGTCGAAAATGAAGGAGCGTCGTGGCGAGCGTCAGCACGCGTTGGGCATCGACTGTGTTGATCGGCTGATCTGGAAAGAATGGACCCCTGGCTGCGAATACACTCGTAAAATCCTGGTGAAGAACGTCGACCGCGCATCCCAAACCATTAAGATTTCGCTGCCGGTGCACAGGAAGATCCTGCTGACGTCGTTTCCAGAGCCCGTCACGCTGAGCAGCGGCGTCTCGCACGAGATCAGCATTACCTTTAAACCGGCGGAGCTGGTGGAGCTGCACGATGCCATCACCATCACGGTGGAAGGCAGGGGATCCTTTCAAGTTCTCCTTGACTGCCTGACGCCCTACGCGAAGTTGTCCATGCCATCCAGCTACGATTTCGATTACTGCGCGATTGGCTCTACGGGTCACGCAGAGGTGCAGCTGCGCAACAGCGGGACGGCACCTGTAGAGTTTACCTGGGAAGCTCCCGCGCCGTTTTGCATTCTCCCGAAGCACGCCGTACTGGATCAAGGCGAGGTAATGCATCTCACTCTCCTCTTCACGCCAACGGACGCGTGCACGATGGTGGGGCAGGCGGTCTGTCGACTCACCGGTATGGACGAGGTGATCGCCACCCTCAAGGTGTCCGGCGTCGGCAAGTATCCTTTTATTTGTTTTCAAGATCAGGACGAGCAGAATGACGGCGGCAGCAACGATACCTTGATCGTGAAGATGGAAGGCAAGATGAATGGATCGGTGTCCACGAAAGAGGTCCGCCTGTGCAACCCATCCGCGGTGCCCGCCACGGTGCGGCTGCGACGCTCTGACGACGGCATCGCCTCAGCTTTTTTTGTTACAGTGGAAGGCGCGGCAGACGGCGTGACCAGATCCGGCGAGCCGTTTGTCGTTCCCCGTGGCGCGACGCAAACCTTACGCATTCACTACACCCCCGGCAGCGCTGGCGTGCTGCAGTCGAGCGTGTTTCAGATCGACTGTCTCGAGGGCAACACGCTTCAATTAGAGCTCAGCGGCACCACCAGCGGTCCGCGCGTCACGACATCGCTGAGCAGCGTCGACTTTGGCGCGGTGGACTTAGAGCACCTTCCCACGAAAAAGCAACGGACGCGACACATCACGCTGCGCAACACATCGGCGATCGACGCGTCATTTGCCTGGGTGAACACGTCGCCTGGAGCGGCATTTCTGGTGCAGCCGCAGCACGGCACGGTGCCCGCGCAGTCGATGACGCAGGTGGCCGTGACCTTTCAGCCGTCGCACCCTATTCTGTATTACCGCCGTCTGCACCTCCTCGTCGAGGGCGCCACGGACGTCGCGGGCGTAGACGTGTTCGGTGGGGCCTACAATAGCACCGTACGCCCACCGGCGCTGCATCTTGCTGACGTGGAGGCGGCGCTGCTGCGGGCAGAGCGAGGACTCGGTCTTCTGACCCCGACGGAGCTGGAGAACATCGCCGCCGTAGCAGCCGCAGAGGACGACAGCGACGGCAACGGCGGCAACGACGTTTCAGAGAATGTGGCACTTCGATCGCGGCCAACACCGCATCGGCCCGTGGCGGCGACAACGCTGGAGGCGTGGCGGCGCGTGGAAGAAGACGTGCGTGGTACGAGTGTTGTTATGCGCGGGGCGAAGCACAAATGCCGCAGCCCACTCAACACGCTGGAGGCCATCAACGGGCACGTGGCGGTCAACAACCCTTTCGGGCTCGACGCCCACCAGCTGTACACCTTTACGCCGAGGCACAACAGCAACGTTCAACGTGGCAGCACGAACGACGGCCGAGGACAGATAGTCACCGTCATGAATACATCTGATGTGTCGGCCGTAGCGACGTGGAGCGTGCCGGGGCCCTCCTGTCCGTATTCGGTGACACCCGCGCAGCAGGTGATTGACCCCAACAGCTCCGCCACTTTTCAGCTGCAATGCAACCTCAGCAGCGCGGATGATTACGCCGCACTCTGTACGCTGGAATGTTACGTGAATTTCGAATCAATGTCCGCTTTTTACCTCGCCCCCGACAACTGTGTCGTTCCGCCATGCTGTTTTACAGTGACGTGCACGACATCCAGCGGTGTCGCTTCCAGTCTTCCAAAACAGGCGCAGGCAACCGTTGCATCGCAGATTCGCGCAGCCCAGCAAGTGTGCCTGCCAGCGTGTCGCCTCGGTGGGTCTTCTTATCAGGTCATCACGTTGCACAACAAAGGGGCGACGGCCGCGCGGTATGAAGTGAACGCGCTGCAGTTGAAGCAGGTGAGTGCGGTGGTGCTGCCGCCAGACACCACTCTGATGGACCCGCCGGCATCTCAGCAGGACACCGACGTGGACGGCACCGCGTTTTCAGTGTTTCCGCCGGTCGGGGTGGTGCCGCCACGCGCGCGTCAGCTTCTCGTCGTGAAGTTTCGCCCCAGTGAGGCGGCCCGCTACGAGGCAGCCGCGACGCTGTCGTGGAACTCAAGTACGCGAGCCACCGAGGCGGCCGCCAGCCCCACACCTGGCGATGCCACCGCCATCACCTTGTTCGGTGAAGTTTGTCTGCCACAGCTGCAGTGGCGAAACGCGTGCGACACAGCCGCCTCGGAAGTGGTGTTTCCGCCCAGCTGCATCACCGGCGAAGCGCAGCAGCAGGCGTGGGTGCGCAACACCACGGCGCTGCCCGTCTCCTTCCGCTTCGACACCTCCGTCGGCCTTTTAGGGGTGCTGCGCATGGAGCCGGAGTGGGCGGTGGTGCCGGGCGGAGCGCGGCTGCCCGTCACGCTCTTCTTCAGCCCCCAGCACCCACGCGTCTTCTCCGGCTTTCTCCAGCTCTACCTGGAGGACGGCGCGACCGACGCGGTGAATCGTCAACTTTACCGGCAAAAGCTGCCCTTTTACGGCGAGGGCGCGTACGCGGACGTGGAGGTCGAGCCGCGCGTCATCGACGTCGGCGAGGCCCCGGACACACAGGAACAGCAGGCAACCCTCACCCTGTACAACAGCGGCATCTGCGACGTGCAGTACGACGTGCGTGCGATGCGCATCGATGCCGCTGCCTCGCAGCAGTCTGTCATTGTGCCACGCCTGCACAACAGTCGGGGAGTGTTGCCGGCGCGCACGCACACGACGGTGCTCGCGGCAGGGCAGCCGACGCCTGGCCTCACCGAGTTTGTCCTCTACGCAGTGATCAGCGGACTCTCCACCGACCTGGGTGAGGTGCCGGACGCAGAGTCCGTCGCAGAGGCCGAGCGACATCCGCACTGTCGCTGGAGTCTGCGTGCCGCACACCCGGCGGTGCAGGTTGTGAATGTGAAATTCCCTGGCGTGGCGCGGCCGCTCGCGTGGCAGCAGCTGAACCTCAACGCGGTCAACGCCCAACTTGCCGCGGTCAACGACGCTGACGCCGGCGCCGACGTCTTCTCCTTCCAGCACTACGTGAGTGGTCTGGTGCCTCTCACGATGGACCTCGGCGTGGCCCACGAGATGACGCCTGCCGTCTGCCTGACCGTCACCCTGCAGAACACCGGCGACTGCCCTTCCCCCTTCTCCCTCATGTTTCCCACGCAGCACGACGCCAACACCGAGCATTGGTGCCTCGAGAACACCGAGTTGGCGGACCTGCAGTACATCGTGGACCGCGGCATCATCGCCGTCACGCCCTCGCAGGGCGTCATTAATGTCGGCGGCACGGTGCAGCTGCAAATCGCCTACACGCACGAGGAGGTCGGTGTGCACCGCCTGCCGATGCTCCTACGTGTCGGTGCGGGGGAGCGTCGTGTCGCCGTGGTGTTGGAGGGCCGTACGCTGCCGCCGGAGGTACAGGTGCTCAACTTCCACCACGAAAAGGTCTACGAGCTGCTGCCCGTCGCCCTGGGCGATATGGAGCCGCCGCTGCAGTACGTCACCGTGTCGAACCCGTGTGACGAGCCGGTGGAGTACACGGTGGATGTGACGGCGCTGCAGGCACACGCGAAGAGCAACTACGGCTTCCCCGTGTTTCAGTGCGCCGACCCGCATGGATGTGTGCCCCCGCACACGACCGCCAGCATCGGCTTTTACTTTCGACCGCTTGAAGCACGGCACTACCAGATCACCGTGCTGGTGCAGACGGCGCAGGGCGAGGGCTACTACGTGGATCTTGTCGGCACCGGCTACAACACACGGGTGGCGCCAAAGACTTCCGTCGTGCAGTGGGTGGAGGACTCCCTGATGCACGTCCCTGTCGTCCCACCCCTCATCCCTCATGCGAGTTCGCTTCGACTCGTGGAAGACGTGTGCACGCTGGGTGCCGTCGCGTACTACACGCTGTGCCGGCGCATCTGCACGTTACAGCTGGCGGCGGAGGCGCAGAGTGCGGTGCGGTACGCATGGCAGCTCGAACAGCCCCGCCACGGCGACGCCCAACTCGTCATCCACCCTGCCGAGGGCGTCTTACAGCCGGGAGAGCAGCAGACCGTCCAGGTGTCCTTTTACGCTGGAAGTACCAGCCAGGTGCTAGAGCATCTTGTCAGCTGCCTGGTCGCGCCGTGCACGTCGGCGGCAGCCCCACTGAGGGACGAACGCACTCTGCAGGCAAGTAGCCACCTGGAGCGTCGCCCTCGGTCCCCCCGGCAGAAGCCTAGCAGCGCTTCGCTCCGCAGCGCAGAGTCTCTCGGGCTTTTAGTGCAAGCACGCGTCATGCCGCGCGACGACTACGAGCTGCTCTACGGAAAGGCGCGACTTGCCGCGGCGTACATGCCCGCCCTGTACCGCTCCCACGTCGACCCCATGTCACCCGCAGCGGTGCCGTCGGCTGCGGAGGTGTCCGTCAAGGGTGGAGTCGCCAAGGAAGAGGCCCGTTTTGTGACGGCGTTGGTGGATGAGCTCATCCGCACCGTTGTGGCCTCGCCGAGCGTGCAGGAATCTTTCACGACCCTGTGCCCGCCGCGCTTTGCCTCCTACGCAAAGATGCGTGTGCTTCACGCCACCGCTGCGGGCAGTGGTCCCTCCAAGAAGGGAGCGAAGGCGGAAAAGTCCAACGCTGCTGCCGCGTCAACTGCGGCTCCCGCAGCGAAGGGAGGGAACTTTACCGCGGCTGTTCTCACCGAAGGAGTCTTGGAAGAACTTCTTCGCAACCTACTCAGCGAAGGTGTTGCCGCCGCGTAGGCCACTACGGCCAGATGGAGAGCTTTGTTTTTTGCTTTTCGGTTTACCACGACTTCATTACGCGACACTGAAAAAAAAAAACCGCCAAGAAGATCGTCTAGCTGGAAGAATGCTTTCTCTCTCTCTCTCTCTTTCTTTTGCTGATCTCATGTAATTAATCACACATGTACAGTGCAACACAGCAAATACTGTTCTTCTCTTCCTGCCAAGCCATCTTTTCTTTGGTGATGCGCGGAATTAAAAGAAAAAAGGCACAGTTGGCGATGACGGATTTCTCTAAGCTTCAAGGCAACCGTGGCAAGGTCTCGCCTTTAGAGGAAAACGGATAATGCACACAGCACGCGTCATCGAAAAAATACGCATATGTCGGTCGCACGAGTGTTCAAACTATCTCTGTGTGGCTCATATCTCATGAATGTTGTTGAACTTTTGGCGGTGCGTGACAAGTAATCTAAGCCCAGAAGGTGGCGGACACGAGTGGAAACGGTGGAGCTCGCGTTCGCGGGGTGAGGTGCTGTAGCTCGCAGCCTTTGGGTGCCGTTCGATTGAAAATGCCGGATGCGTCTGCACCTCTTCGCTTTGCATACGCTTCTCTCCCGCTTCCTCTCTTTCCTCTTTTTCTTTGCTTCATTTTGCACGCGCAACAATGTCGACTTATTCTTCCTCTGTGCGCTTCCAACTCTTCCCATTATCGGCACAACTACAGGAATCGACGGAATCATGGTCTTTCAGAAGAAGAAGTCTGAGGTGTCCATCCGCACCTCCCAGTTCAAGGTGAACAAGCTGCTTAACCGCAAGCAGTTCATCGTGGAGGTGAACCACCCGCAGTGGTGCGGTACGGTGCCGACGAAGGTTATCCGCAAGAAGCTGGCCACCCTGTACAAGGTTCCGGATGAGAACCAGGTGTCCGTCTTCGGCTTCAAGACGAAGTTCGGCGGCGGCAAGACCACCGGCTTCGGTCTGATCTACGACGACCTCGCGTCCTTGAAGCGCTACGAGCCGAACTACCGCAAGACCCGCATGGGCTTCGGCAAGGCTCGCCTGCCGGCCCGCAAGTCGGTGAAGGAACGCCGCAACCGCAACAAGAAGCTGCGCGGCAAGGCGAAGGGCAAGCAGGCCGCCAAGAAGAAGTAAGTCATTTTTGTTCTTTACGCATTCAGTTGGCCGGCATTGCGGACTGGCGGTGTTGCACGCATCACGGCTTTGTTCCCTGTCTGGCTCTTCCGTGTTGTGAAGTGCATTGTGCGCTTTGAGTCGCTTGGCTCCATGCAGAGGCTTCTCTGACGTGTATCTCCCCGATTTCAGCTTATTTCTTCGTGATGCTCATGGAGAAAAACAATGTTTTTCTACTCTTATTTTTACTCTTCTTTCATGAAACAAACAAAAACTAGAACCTGGAGCGCATCACTGCGGTAGTAGCGCCTGCTCCTCGTATTTCTCTACGCGCTGTTTTTTCTCGCTGCACGTAGAGGAATGAGGAAAAGAGGGCACATCATGGTGTTCCCCAAGTGTGAAGCGCTGCTGCTTCACGGCTCTTCCTTTCCCTGTGGCAAGCTGCCGCTGTCAACCGATTGAACTGATCGGGAAGTGGTGTCTGCAAACTCTTGTGTGACTCCGATGCTCGTTCGCAAAGTAGACCTACGATGCTGGCCAAGAGATTATGTTGGACCTTTTTGCCAATGAGAATGTAGTGGTTGCTCTTCTCGTCTCCTCCCCGTATTCTCCTGTTCTGCGCACGCCCCCATTTGTTAATGCATTTTGTTTTTCCTTTAACAATACATCTCCGCCGTGTTCACAATTTTCCGCTACACATTTCGAATACCGAATGCACATTTGTAATGCTATAAAGGGGATTACGACAACCATGGTCTTTCAGAAGAAGAAGTCTGAGGTGTCCATCCGCACCTCCCAGTTCAAGGTGAACAAGCTGCTTAACCGCAAGCAGTTCATCGTGGAGGTGAACCACCCGCAGTGGTGCGGTACGGTGCCGACGAAGGTTATCCGCAAGAAGCTGGCCACCCTGTACAAGGTTCCGGATGAGAACCAGGTGTCCGTCTTCGGCTTCAAGACGAAGTTCGGCGGCGGCAAGACCACCGGCTTCGGTCTGATCTACGACGACCTCGCGTCCTTGAAGCGCTACGAGCCGAACTACCGCAAGACCCGCATGGGCTTCGGCAAGGCTCGCCTGCCGGCCCGCAAGTCGGTGAAGGAACGCCGCAACCGCAACAAGAAGCTGCGCGGCAAGGCGAAGGGCAAGCAGGCCGCCAAGAAGAAGTAAGTCCTTCTATTGTCACTTTGTACGCGCTTGTTTCCACACCTTCGCAGCCACCGTCGTCTCTGCACTTTATCAAGAGTGTTTTTGCGAGGTGTGCAAGGTGGCTGCGAGAGGTGGAACGCGGTGGTACACATCCCAATGCGAGACTTTTTTTAGTTTTCCTTTACCATAATTATTTGGGCACAACCTCCTGAGATTGGCTCCAGTAGTTTCATTTCCGAAGCAAAACGCTGAAAGAAAAAATCGAAGTGCTACGGCGTGTGTCGCAAAGGTGATACGAACAACTTTTTGTTGAAGCAAATGTTGTTTATCGACGTCAAAATCACTTGCGCCGCTGTCAATCGTTAAAGCGCAGCAGCTGCACATGTTTGGCTGCCAAAACACCAGTAGAGTCAAAAACTCCCCCTCATCCATACAAGGAGACTTCGGGATGTACTCCAGAGGCTCTGTTAAAGCGACTCCTATCCGGTCACATGCATTTCCTCATAAAATCATCACTCCTCTACACATTTGCTCTTGCCTCGCTTTCATTCGTATTGCGTGTTCTATTCGTTTATGATGATATTATGTATGTATATTAATTTGGACAGCAGGTATCTTGTGAAAGACCTCGTTTCCTCTCTGCTACTTTCCCGCGTATTTCTCCGCAGCTCATTGATAGTGCGGAGTCCGCATACGCTGTCTTTTTTTTTTTTGTTTCCTCTCTCCCTTTTCGCTGCTCCGTTACCAACCAGAAAGCCAACAACACCAATCATAAAAGTCGGTGAGTCGGTGGCAGTCGTTTCGTGCCAGGAGCTATTTACCTTCTTGCTTTTCTCTCTCTTTCTTTCCTTACTGCCCGTGGTCAATTCTGTACTCACACTCGCAGCATTCTTATTCAAAAGCTTCCCTTTTTCAGAGTCTCCTTGTACCTTCTGCATTGTCATGTCCGCCCTCGCGAACCGCACCGATCAGCGCAGCAGCTTCGATCGGCGCACCAGCCTCGCACGTCGCTCCACCGTCCGGGACGTCGTCGCTTCCATCGCCTACGTCCCTGCGACGGCAGAGTCGGTCAAAAGCGTTACATTCGAGTGGGCCCGCGCCTGCTCCATCTACACCATCCAAGGCGCAAACGTTTGGCACCAAGGTGGTGGGGAGCTGCCCTACCGCCCCGTGCTGGGCAGCCTGGCGATGCAACCAAACACCGGCAAACACTTCTTCTCCTATCGTATCAACACCGATAACAGTCGGGCCGGCTTCTGCACCTCGACGGTGTACAACACACCTGAGTCGTTTCGAGAAAACGAGTTTGGCAAGACCTTGGGGGCGGATTTGGATGATAGCGCATCGTGTGCGGAGGACACGGACGAGGTCCCTCAGCCAAGCTTTCTTCAAACCATCGGAGCCGTCCCTATTCGGCCCAGTTCGCCGTGGGAGGCCTACATCGACCTACAAACCTCCAAGGTTTACGTGAACGGGCGGTGTGTGAAGCACTTGTGGCGTTTGTTTGTCCCTACGTGCGGTGGTGTCCTCTCCTTCGTCGTGGACACGGAACTCGGTGCGGTGCAGCTCTTTGTGGACGGCAAATACGAAGGCATGATGCTGGACGAGAGCACTGGTCTGAAGGGGAAAACGGTGTACCCATGCATAGGGATATCCGGTCAGGATGTATCAAATCGCAGCATTGGAACCGGTTACATGGGCGCCTTCGTGGAGCCATCACACCCCTTCAACTGCATTTACTGATTTTTTTTTAAACTGTACAAAAAAATGTATCAACATCGCAAAGCCCCCTCACTCTGCAGCAAGGCCTCAGCGTCTCGTCTCGTTCGATGAATTGTTTTCTTTAGTGATGATGTATAGCTATCCCTGCTCTCTGACTTTGCCGGCCTTTGTACACACGTACGAAGCTTTCTTCTCCTTTTTTCTTCTATTCACTTTGCTCCGTGTTCTAAGTCGTTTTTTAATGCTAATGTTTTTTTGATTTTTTTGAAAATGCTTTTCGTGTTTGTCACCTGTGAATCGAAGAAGAAGAAAAAAGGTGGTAAACTCCTATAATGCGTGTTCTTACACAACGCTGCAGGATGCGCTCTATTTGTGCCAAGATTACTGTTTTTCATGTACAGTTGCAACACTAGGTTGTAACAGGTGAAGGCCGACGTGGGTGGCACGTCCCCTTCAACTCCGCTTAGCCCCCTATAACTGTTTATTATTATTATTATTATTATTATTATTATTATAAATTTGGAATGTCTGTCTCTTTTCTTTTGTGAATACTTTCCCCGCCTTTATTTTGTGAAGATGTTTTAAGTCCAAAAAAAGACCCGAAAAGCTTCATGATAGATGTTTGCTTTTACGTACCTGTCGCCTCTCCCTTCTCCCCTCTCTTTCTGCTGCTGCTTGGGAGCTCCCCTTCCATCGCAGCAAGAAAGGAAGGGAAATGACTGCCTTCAGCTCTCTTTTCTTTTTCCCTTTTTCGTACGTGGGCGACGCTCCTCGCTCGCAAGGCGCTGGAGCTGCGGGGCACGTACTACTACTATTGCTATCTTCTTGTGACGTTGTTTCCTCCAGCTTTTCTCTCAGCTCTTCCATGCTGACTTCTCAACCTTCCTCAACCCTTTCTCGGCTCTGCGACAGCTCTATTTGCTGCTTTATTCGTACGCACATGCGCACACCCAAGTCTTGGCGGTCTTCATTCAACGCGCCAGCAAAACGAAGTGGGCATCGTAAGTCACCCAAGATGGCTCCTGCTTCTTTTCTTTGAACGCAAAATCAGAAAAGTAGAGTAGTAGACACTGCTCCGCCCCACAGCGTAGTCACATGCAAAAGCACGCAATGCCCAAAGGAGAGGTCACTGCACGTACCTGCACGACTGAATTTGCAAAGAGAGTAACGCCTGAGGTTCTTAATCCAGTTCATTTTTTTAGTATTTGGTTCTCTGCTTTCGGGTTTGCAGCGCTCCTCTTCGACTCCTCTTGTCGGTAACTCTATACTATTCTTGTCGATTTGTGGTGTTCGCACCTCCCTACCTTTGATGAGCAACGATACGCTTAGGACACCTTTAGATCTCCTGCACGCCAGGACAAGTGAAAACAGAATCGATCAATAGTCTCGATTCAACTGACGGTAAGCGTGTGGGGGGAAAAATAGCCGCGGGCTGCAGCCGCACGTGAAGATCACATTTCCAAGCAAATAGGTTTTGTTTCTTTACCTACGGCGCCAAGTGCAGTGATCTGAGATGCTTGCGTGTGTGCCGCACACATCGGCCCCAATGTCTGTGCGGTGCTTAGTGGGTTTTTTGCTCTCGTTGCGTGTTTGCTGTGGGAAAAGGAGCGCTGCTTGTTCTAGTTTGTTTTTGGTAGTGAGCTGATGTTTGGATACTTGCAATGCAGTGAGCCGTACCGCGTCTACCCCGCTGCCTCCCTGAATGATGAGCAACGATACGCTTAGGACACCTTTAGATCTCCTGCACGCCAGGACAAGTGAAAACAGAATCGATCAATAGTCTCGATTCAACTGACAGGTGGAAGAGACGACAAGGAAAGTACTCGACGAGAGGGCGCAAGGAAGAGCAAACTCGCATACGTGTGTGTGCGTGTGTGTGTGGTCCTTTATGCTTTACTTGATAAGGTGCCAAAGTCTATTCGCTTTTACGCGGCGTGAGTCCGCCATCATCGAGTGTGCAAAGTCCATCAAAAGGCTCTTGCAGTTTTTCTTCCCACTAGATAACAAAAAGCGCGTGAAAATAGAATTTTTTTTCGTTTGCAAAATGAATAAAGAGACGCACGGAATGCTGACGTTTTCAGGACAAGGGCACAAGCTGACCATTTTACTCGTCATGATAAATTCCTCCCTTCTTCGTTCTTCTTTTTTGTTACTTCCCGTGTGTTATACGTTCCCCATTGTCGTGGTAGAGCACCACGCCACGGTTTTTTTGTTTCCCTGCTCTGTCCGCTAGAAAGGAACAAGAGGAGAGCTGCTCAACGCGTGCTTTCATCCGACTCTCGGCAGAAATCGGCACACACACACACACACACACAAAATTGCACTCAAGTCGCATGAGCACAGTGCAAGAACTTCAGGCGCAGCTGGATGCGCTGCGAGTGCAGCACGTCAGCGACATCGAGACTGCACAAGCAGCGTTATCAAAGCTGCAGGAAGACTTAAACAACGTCCAAGCCGACACGGACAACCTCAAGCAGGAAGAAGCGGAATTGAATCAGCAGTTTGGTGAAAGCAAAGATACCACTGCGTCGTCACAGCAGAGCCCATATAAAGATATTGTTGTGCAGGTCCTGCACGGCTTAGTGCATTGCGATGAAAGCAAGTGTAGCAGCTCATAAGCCTTGTCTTCAGGGAGCTAGCTACTTTCAAGAACGTGTGTGTCAACAGCTGTTCTTACGCTGCTTTTCTTTTCAATCTAGTGAATAGACACAAAGTGTGTGGGTTTTTTTTTTACACTACTCTGCTCAACTCTCACGATTTTAAATACCTACGGTAGTGATACTTTAGTGTTCCCCCTAGCGTCCGTTTCATGATGTGCAACGAGAGCGCATGCTAAACTCTTGCTCTGTTGCCATTTGCTCTTTTCTTTGCAAGAGCTGCTTCGAAGCTGCTACGACAAAGCGGTCACACACACGCGTCTCTTCTTCGTGGAAGGCGGTGAGTCGTTCTTGTGACTATCTTTCATTCTTCAAGCATCACTTTCATGTGCTCCAGCTCATTACTTTCGTTTCTTTCTTCTCCTTTCTCTCTGCCTCTCCTATTACCGTATTTGACTCTACTGGCTCATCCATGTATGATACCTGTTTGTTTGTTTGGTTTGAACCCCTCACGTATATGTGTCACGTCATTACGCTGCTTCAACCCCCTTCAACACCTCGTTTCGGAGGCAGTGTTGCTGGAAAACATTAAATACACAACAGGGGAGAAAGAAAAATCCTGAAGATTACTGTCGTCAGAAACACATCGCTATATATATGTGTGTATGCGTTGCGTTGCTTAATCAATACACACAACTAAAACAAAAACATTGTTACTAAGGCAAGATGGGTAGTGGACCTTCAGTGCAGGAACACCTGCAGAAGTGGGAGACTGCGCTGAGCGAGCTCGATCAGCTCTCCTCCGCCAATCGCCGCCTCATTGATCAGGACCGCATTTACGGCAGCGGTGCGATGCCCAGCAATGACGTCGCGAGAAGCGGTGATGACGAAGGTGCGTCAGACAGAGGCGGCGGCGGCGGTGGCGGTGCACGGCGGCCGTCCTCACTCGTTTCCTTTAATCCCACCACGACCGCGGCTCCCCCCGAGGCTGGGATGGGGGTGAGCATCGGCAGCATCCACCGACAGCAGCGTTGCGGGGCCAACGGGACACCAAGCGCAGAGTACCGCACTGGTTTTGGCTTTGTCGGGCACAACAGCGCTCCCGGCATCAATGCGGCAACGAACCTCAACCCAGTAAACGGCGTAACGGCGCCTGCGGGGACGACGGCGAACGACACGACGAACCGCAGCGCCGGCTCTACCTCGGTCGGGCAGCAGCAGCCCAGACACTCCCGCCAGCAGATGCTGGAGATCCGAAAAGGACGCATGAACTTCTTCCGCAGCTACGAGGTCGAGAATCCCGATTCTCTCGCGGATATCATGCAATGCGACCACTTTGGCGCGGCGGCCGCCGGGCTGTCTTATTTGCTTGGAGGCGATAAAGACTGCAAAGACCGCCGGCGCCGCGTGACGCTAGAGGACATCTTCTTTGCCACGCAGCTGCCTCTACACATGCTGCACTCCGGCCCGCCTCACCTGCCCATCATGGCCGATATCATTCGCGAATTCCTCGACGTGGACAACCGCTTTAAGGGCGACTACAGCCTGGAGGAGGTGCACCTGGATGTTTCGCCGACGATGGGTCAGGTGGAGCTAGGTCCGAACGAGGTGGGGGACCGCCAGACGCGCATGCAGCTTCCGGAGTTCCAGCGCCTCGTCACGCAGGACTGCGAAGAAGAGACGCAGGCGATTCGGATTGTGAACTTCGACCCCTACGTCCTCGAGCAGGCGATGCTGGTCGACGCGTACGAGGACGAGGATGAGCTGAACTCGCCGTTGGCAACCTCCGTCTTGGGGCCGAGTCCTCGTCACCTGGAGCGGCACTACGCCCCACGCAACGACGGCGCGTATGCGGTCATCGTGGACGTGCGCAACGCGGTGCAGCTGATGGTGACCATCGCCGAGGGCGTCGCCAACGACGCGCTGCACGTGAAACTGAAAGAGGTGCCGGCGGCGTCGCTCTTCAAGGCGATGATGGTCGCCGAGGAGAGCCACCGCGCCCGCGGCTTCATCCGCATCTTCAAGAAGGAACTTCATCCTGAGTTTACCACGGATGAGATAAAGATATTTTGGACGCCAGAGCTGGCCAGTGGTAAGGTGTTGGGTACCACACAGATGGGCACGCAGTCGATGGCCGTCTCGCACCACATCAGCCCCCACACCGTGGCCGTCGCGTGGGCGATGCACCTGCTCAGCGGTGTCCGCCCCGGCACGCACGGCTACGGCAACGGTCTGCCCGTGTCGGATATCATTCGAACCATGAAGCTGCCCGCCGAGGTCTTTCTGGACGGCGTGCTGCCTCTCGAGCGGGTGTACGAGTACGCCGCCGACTACCTGAAACTCTCGAAGCGGGATATGGAGGTGCACCTCTATCCCGTGCTGACCAAGATCTCTCGAGAGGACGCGGTGCCGACCATCTCCGTTTTCGACCTTGAATCGATCTTGATCGATGTGAAGGACGCGAACAGAGACCCCGAGGCGCCGGAGCACGTCATGGTGATTATGTACAACGCCTGCGTCGCGCACAACGTGCTCTACATCGTCGAGGAGCCGCAGTGGTGCATCCTAGCCGGCTACGATCAGGAGACGCAGACGGCGGTGCTCATCGACGCGCACCCCAAGACCTTTTCACGTACGTGGTCCTGTCCGTTGGATCGCCTGCACAAGTCCATGACGGGCAGCGGCTACCTCGTCTTCTCGAAGTGCGGCGGGGCAGGTGGGGTACCGCGGCGCGTCGGCGCTCCGAAGATGCTCGCGCCGATGGTGGAAAGCCGTCTCGAGTTGGTGGACCGTCAGCACGAACTGGACAGTGCATGGAGAAAGGAAACGCAGACGCTGCTGACCCACCCCTTCACCTTCCCGTCGCTACCGATAATGCCGACGATGGTGGCCATGACCTGCACCCGCCTCGGTATCATGACCACCTTCGACGACGTGATACAGCGCCTGCCTTTCGCGATCTCCGCGCTGGTCATTCGCTCCCACACCCTCGAGTCCTTGCACGTGTGTCTCACGCAGTACCTGCAGGTGGCAAACTTGAATGAGAACATCGAGGTGACCGCCTACCACGGTGATAGCAACGCGGACGGTGTACTCAAGCTGCAACTGCCGCAACTGGAGCAACTCATCCAAACCTCGCTGGACGGCAGCCACGTGCTGCTCCTGCACTTTGACCCAAGCCGCCTGCTCGTGAACGGTGCTCTCCACCCGTTTGGCAGTCTGGGCATGGTGGTGGGCTACGACGAGGAGCTCGGGAGCGTGCGGGTGCTCGACACCAACCCCAACAGCTTTCTGCGCGAGTGGTCTGCCCCTCTACTGGAAGTGTACGAGTCCGTGCTTGACAACGAGGTCACCCGCAAGCACCGCACGCGAGGTGTGCTGCTCGTTTCCCGTGTCGCCGAAGGCTCGAAGGAGCACATCTTTGCCGCGAACGAGGAGCGCAACTTCCGGCTGGAGCTGCTTCCTGTGCAGAACGTCTTCCTTGTGAGCCCGAGCCCACACTTTCAGTGCTTGTCCTTCGCCTTCTCGCAGATGGGGTACTTCTTCAGTCCGGAAGAGATCTTCTACGAGGCCTACCTCAAGACGATGGACGACCAACGCCGCCGTGGCAGCCAGGCCTTTGCCTGGCGCGATGTGGAGGTGTCGCTGTCCGTCATCAACAAGAAGATCGACGCCTCTTTTATGGCGGAGGTGTGCAGGAAATTTCTCGAGTCCCGCAACCCGCACCAAAGCGGTGCTGCCGCGTGCGTCTCCGTGCAGGTGCTCGAAGACATCGACGTGGACGAAGAGCTGGACGAGCTGCTCGAGAAATCAACGCAGTCCACGGAGACCGTGCTGCTGGTGAATTACGACGTCCTGCGCACCCATCAGCTACCGAACCTCGGCCGCAGTGTGGCGCTGGTGAAGGCCTACAGCAAAGAGAAGCAGCTTGTCGAACTCTGGGATGCGGAGTACGCCGTGTTTGGTCTTTGTTTTGTGGTTACGAAGCAGAAGCTAATTGAGATGGGCGACCTAGAGAACGTGGGTACGAGTCCGTACGGTCTCGTACAGTTCATGCGCACCTCGGGCTCTGCCGCACCGAAGAAGAAGCTGGGCCTTATGTCGGAGCCGTTGACCTTGGAGGATGAAGCGGAGTAGGACGCTGCCGTCAGCGGCTATCGGCGATCACCTTCGGATTTGAATTGCGAGGAAAACAACGAGTCTGAGTGGCAGTGAAATGTTGAAAGGGAAAATGAAAGCTCTGAGGCAGAAGGGAGAGCGAAAGTAAAAAAAAAAATCGAGCTGCTATTTTTTGTTTTGCTCTCTCTCTTCTTATGATGATGATGATGAATGTTTGGGTTTACTACTCATGAGCCTTGCCTTCTTGCGCTGTCGGTTGAGTCTGTCGATACCACTTTGGTTGTGTTTATCGTTGTTTCCGTGTCTTGTTCTTGCCAGGAGAGATGTGTATTTTTTAATGAGGGAAATGCTGGGTGCGTTCTCCGACTCTTTCCTCCGGTGTGGTACTTTAGATTGCAGAGTCTGTCTGCCTCTCTTTTTCCGTTGCTGTTTTGGTTTGGTGGTCATTGTGTACTTGATGGGCGCTTGTCGCGACACCATTTCATCTGTATCCCTATGTACGTACTAGTTAGGGTGTTCTTGTTATCTTTTGTATTGCTGTTGGTAGCGATGGTGGATAGCATGCCGTCCCCACATCACAAACATTCTCTTTTTTTTCCTTCTCGTTTTTTTTTTGCTATCTTTCGTTGACTGAACAGCGCTACACCAACTTTAGCATCTACGTCACCGCAGAAGTACTCGCAGCATCCTGTAAGTTGGCCTGGTGTGTATAGAAGGCCGAATTAAAAAATCATTTAACATCGTTTCACGGTTTTCAGTCGTGCTGATGCTACCCACTTCATGTGGAGCGGTCGAGCCTCGTCTTTTCACTGCGATAGATTCCTTTGGTGCTCTCCTTGAGCGTGTGTGTGTGTATGACAAATGTGGTACTGCATGGCGCCCAAAGCTCTTCTGTCGTCATGCATCGCCTTCTCAGCATGTTCCTCTCTCAAGCAAAGGTGCACCTTTTCGCTTTGTCATCCTTGTCTTCTGCTCCTCTTCCCCTCCCCCTTCCTTCTCGCTCTTTTTTTTTCCTGCTGGTTTTATTGAAGTGTCGGAAACTGCGGCCATATATGTTGGTCGCGTTTTGTTGTTGCTGTTGTTCATAGTTCCAACAGAGGAAAGGGCAATCGCAGAAGTACACCTTCACGCATTTATTGCCATTGCATTATTCCGTTGTTGTTGTTGTTTTTCCTAGCTGTATTCTGTCTCGATTTCTCTCTCCCTCCCCCCTCCCCCTGTGTATTGCGCCTTGCAATGGACGTTGGCGGCACAAACAGTCCAGTGGACGCGACGGGCGAAGACGACGCCGCTGCAGAGCGGCAAAACTTGTCCATTCTCATGAAGCTGCAAGAGCTGTACTGCAAGTCTGTCCTGTATGAGCAGCTGGAGTGCGTGATGGGCCACCCGGCCACCCAAGAAGAGAGCGACGGCTACCTGGACGATGTGGAGGGTCTGGTGGATTTATACTGTGGCGAGAAGGCCGCAGTGGCGAAGCAGATGGACGCAGCGGACGGGAGCGCGGAGGCGACGGCGCAGCGGGAGAGTGCCACGAAAGAGCGCGTGCTCGCCTCTCTGTCTGCCGCCATCAACGGTGGGGCGGAGGAGGTGGAAGCGGAAATGAATGCCGGCGAGCCGGCAGAGGCAGCGATTTCAGTGACCAGCATCGAGCAACTCTACGACACGTTGCACGACTGCCTCTCGACCGACACCGTCATCACTGGCCTCGCCGTCGGCTCCCTTCTCCTCGCCGAAGATGCGAAGCGCGGGGCGGAGGAGGCCGCCCACCTCGCTCAGCAGCAGCGGCAGCGGCAGGACGGCGTGGACCTGTCCAGCATGTCCACCTCCACCGCGGAGCGCAGAAACGCCATGAAAGTGTCGCCAGAGGAGATGTTCCGACTGGCCCAACACGTCCGCAGCGGCCTGGCGGATGAAGCAGACCTCCTGAAGCTCAAGTCGGAGGACACCGGCGACGAGGGAGGGGCAGATGTGGAGCTGAACGAGACGGAGCCGCGGTTTCTGCGCAACTTGGGCTTCTCCTCCACGCTGCACCGTCGCATCAACTACCGGGCCCTCCTCCCCTCGCAGATGCTGCAAAACGCAAACTCCCCACAGCACCGGCAGGCCATCCTGGACCGGCTGGCGCAGAAGCAGCAGGGTGACTCGTCAAAGCTGACGAGTATGGAGAGGACGGCGCAGATGCAGGAGAAGATCAACATGGAGCGCCGCGTCATCGCGCGCAAGGCGCAGCGGCAGCAGCAACAGCAGCGGTTTAACGAAGACGAAAATGAAGCAGCGGCTGCAACCGGAGGTGGAGGCGCACGAAGAAACGCGGCTGCAGCGGATGGGGAAGAGTTCACCATGCATCCCACTCTGCTGCACTCGGAGCTGGATGCGCCACCGGAGGAGGGCGGCTTTCGCCCACAGGATCTGCCCAGCAAGCTCCCACCGTGGATGAAGCACAGCTTTGGCCGCAAGCCGCGCTTTGGCTTGCCGGAGACGACGCAGTCGCTTCAAGAGCAGCGCGCCTCTCTTCCCATCTACGCCAAGCGCGACGCCCTCATGAAGTTCGTCGACTCCCACCGCGTGACGGTCTTGGTGGGCGAGACAGGCAGCGGTAAGACAACGCAGATTCCGCAGTACTTGGTCGAGCACGGCTATGCAGATCACGGCATCGTGGCGTGCACGCAGCCGCGCCGTGTTGCGGCTGAGACGCTCGCCATGCGCGTAGCCGAGGAGTATGGCTGCCGCCTCGGCGAGGAGGTTGGCTACACCGTGCGCTTTCGCGACGTTACCTCGTCGCTGACGAAGATCAAGTACATGACGGACGGTATGCTGCTCCGCGAAGCCCTTCTCGACGACAGCTTTCAGCGCTACAGCGTCATCATTCTCGACGAGGCGCACGAGCGCTCCATTAACACGGATCTGCTCTTCGCCATTGTTCGCCAGGCCTTGCGCAAGCACGAAGGTCTCAAGGTGATGATCACGTCCGCCACGCTGGACACGAACAAGTTTTGTGCCTACTTTGGCGCGGAGGAGCCGTTTCGAATTGAGGGACGCACCTTCCCGGTGGAGACCTACTACCTCACCGACCCCGCGAACGACTATGTCCGTGCGGCGCTGCAGACGGTGATGATGATCCACCTGCAGGAGCCACCCGGCGATGTCCTCGTCTTCTTGACCGGACAGGAAGAAATCGAGCTGGGTGGCGAGCAGCTCTTCCGCTGGATGGAGATGCTGCGTCAGCAGGTGACCACCCCGTTGCCGGACTTAATGGTGCTGCCGCTGACCGCCACGATGCCGCAGGAGGTGCAGTCGAAGGTGTTTGAGGCGACGCCGCCTGGATGCCGCAAGGTCGTGCTCGCCACCAACGTCGCCGAGACGTCCATCACCATTACGAACCTCTACTACGTGGTGGACAGCGGCTACTGCAAGCAAAACATCTTCGATGCGAAGCACGGGATTGATCAGCTCAAGGTGGTGCCGGTATCGCAGGCACAGGCGAAGCAGCGCTCGGGTCGTGCGGGGCGTATCGGCCCTGGCAAGTGCTATCGCATGTACACAGAGCAGCAATTCACGGAGGAGATGGTGCCAGAGACGATTCCGGACATTATGCGCACAAGCCTCTTCCATGTCACCCTGCAGCTAAAGGCGATGGGGCTCGACTTGCTGAACTTGGAGCTCATGGACTGTCCGCCGAAGGAAGTCATCGTGTCCGCGCTGGAGAAGCTGCGCTACCTCGAGGCCCTCGACGACGAAGGGCTCCTCACCCCGCTGGGCAGTCGCATGGCCCAGCTGTCCATTGACCCCTCTCAGAGCAAGACGCTGCTCACCGCCGTCGACCTCGGCTGCAGTGAGCCGGTGCTCACCATTGTGTCGATGCTCGCGGTGCAGAAGCGCGGTGTCTTCTACCGCCCACGAGATCAGCAAGAGGCCGCCGATGCGGCACGCCGTCAGTTCATGCAGCCGGAAGGCGACCAGCTCACGCTGATGGCGGTGTACGACGCGTGGGTCGAGGCCGGCATGTCAGAGGAGTGGAGCAAGCGCAATTTTCTGAAGCACCGCATGCTCGTGGAAGCCCGCGACACACGCGATCAGCTCAAGGACATGCTGGCCCGCCGCAATCAGCACATCTCGCACGAGAACGACACCAACTTAGACCAAGTCCGCAAGTCCATCACCGCCGGGTACTTCTTCCACGCCGCACGCCGCGTCGACTCGCACACGCGCTCGTACGTCACCTTGTCTGACCGGCGAGAGGTCTACGTGCACCCGTCTTCGGTGCTCATCGACGATCCGCCCAAGTATGTGCTGTACGACGACCTGCGCATGACGAAACGGGAGTACATGACGGAGCTGCTGGCGATTGAGCCGAAGTGGCTGGTAGAGCTGGCACCCGCCTTTTACGCAAAGCCGAAGGAGGGGCGGCTCACGAAGGAGCAGGCGGCGGAGCGTTTCACACCCATCTTGAAGTCGTGGGAAACCGGCAGCTCATGGCGCATATCGCGTTTGAAGAAGCAACGCCGCTAAGGATGATGCGAGCCCCCTCCCCAAAAAGAAGAATCGAGAAAACTCTGTGCGATGGATTTACTTGTTGGTGTTTTGGAGGAAGGGAGGGATGAAGTACTCTGTGAATTGTACGTCGACGTACAGCGTTATGAACGTGATTCCTTGTTTGCCTAACAAGGGAGACGTGGTTCAGATATTTGAGGAGCTCGTCCACCGTGTTCTTGCTTTCTTTCTTTCTTTTTTTTTTCTGACGCTTTCGCAACGCACTTGAACGCAGTTCAGTATTGAAAATATATATATAGAGAAGGTCAGCAGCTGGTTGCTGCATTGACGCCTTCTCATGCGCTGTACACGTGGGGTCTTTGAACGTCTATTTTCAGCCAATTTTGGGTTGGAAGCGCTTCCGTTTCTGCGCGTGTTTGTGTCTCTTCTGTCTTCCACTTGAATCTTACTCTCTTACGAATTGCCTTTTATGGTTTGGTTCCTTTTTCCACGTACCAACACGGCACGCCAACTTCGTTCTCCCTTTGAGACGTGATCCTTCGATTCGTCAGTAGAACACAATTACACATGAATATTCGAGAAGGGAAAAGAGCCCTTTTCTCCCTACTCCGTTCCATTGTGTACGAAACTCGACAACAAAGGTACGTTCTATATACATATTAGAAGAGGAAGCGGCAAGAGCTTTTTGTGTGTTTCACAGCATCGCGCTTTCTTTGCACTTCACTGCCTGTACCAGCTGATTCCCCAAATATACATCTTTCTATAACTAGAGTGCCAAACTGAACTACAAGAACAAAACGTGCGCTGAATTCAGGTTAGCTCCGTCCACGTCTGTTCTCTTCAGCTTCTTTTTATTTTAGTATTCTTTTTAACCATCGGAGGCGACAAATATACGGCTTCTCGCCCTTTGGGAGACCTACTCGTTCTGTTCCTTTTACGATGTTCTTCATTTACCCAACACCACAGTATCCACGCAGGAAGCTGGAGTACGTGTTCAAGAGTCTGTACCTGATCGCCAATCTAGTCCACGTTACCAGTTTAGTCGTTCTCATGTCGGACTTCTACACCCGGCTGAGCAACTCCATGCCGGAGTACTACCGACAGACCGACCTCGTCATCTCTGACTCCATCACGTTAGTTATGCAGAACTGCGTGTACAATGGCTCAATCCACCTCGGCAACGTGCGAGGCTCCGTCCAGGTGACCATCGGCAACATCGGCTACGGTCTCATGACGACAGCGCAGTACGTCACGGGTCTCTTTGTGCTAGAGTTTCTTCTGCTTGTGAACAATTGCTTTGTTGCGTTGAACTACTCCAAAGGAAACCGCCACCTCCGCCTGTTTGGCGTGCACGTCCCCCTTTACCACATCACGGTGATGATGACCCAGGTGTACTGTATCGCGATTTGCGTGGTGATGTGGTCCTTCGACGGCAACCGCCGCTTCTTCCAGAGTGCGCTGAAGTACTGTGCGGCAGAGATGCGCCGGAGCAACTACGAGCAGCTGCTCTCCTCAGAGTTTGACGATTACACCATCTTCTCCACCGCGGTCTATTGGCCCTTTGCCGCAACGTGTGTGTCGGAGATGATCTACTTCAGCGCCGCCATCGTCCTCTGCTGGTTCTCCGAGGACGATGCAATTATTTTGCTCTCCGAGGCAGACGCGCCGTGGGAGTCGCGCGGCGTCCTGTGCAACACGTATAAGCCGCTGCTGAAGCTGCACACTGCCCAACGCAACGCCATCATCGAAGACGCTCGCAACGCGATTAAAGAGGGCCAGAAGGTGCGCATTGTCCGCTCCTATCAACTGATGACCGAGGAGGACTTCGAGGCCCTGGTGCAAGCGATGCGAGAGCAGGTAGCGAAGGCTCTCAAAGAGAAGCAGTTTGAGAAGCTGAAGGAGAACTTCGGCGACCACGAATCACAGATCGACAACATGGGTTTTGCATGGAGGGAAAACATGATGGTACCGCCACCGGTCGACGAGGAAGACGGGGTGCTCGGCAGCGGCCAAGACGGCGGTCCAGCGGATCAGTTCTTCGACGTGCCTTTTGACGAATACTTCACTGACAATGAGATGAACGAAAACGCACGGGATCAGCTCGGCGGCGGAGGCGGGAACGGACCCGACACCGTCTACAACGACGACCAACTGCTGTTCGACCCGGCTTACGGTCCGGATGGCAACGGCGGCGGCTATTACAACGACAATGCCGGCTACGGGTTTGACGGCGACGACGCGGTTGGCACGCAGGACGCCTGGACACCGCAGGAGGGCGAGTACCCCGTGATGGACGGTCAGGCAGAGCCAAACAACGAAGTCTACGACCCCGAGCCGGCCTCGCGCATCTCGCACAGCCACCATCGCCGTCGCCATCGACACAGCCGCACCCGCGACGATGTCAATGCGCGCGACGCAGAGGACGACTACGGAATGGAGCCGGATCCACGCCTGCCCCCGCCGGGACAGCGCGGGTACGATGACGGGAACCTCGACGCTAGTGGCGGCGGTGGCGCTTTCAACAGCGGCCCCGCGTATTACGACACGAATGATGACATGATGATGTACGGCGGTGGCGGCGGTGCTAGCAGGGGCGGCTACAACCCTAGAAGTCAAGGAGGTGGAGGGGGGGACAGACCAAACTACGGCACAAATGGGCAAGAAGGCCAACGACAGCGCTCCAACCGTGGTAGACAGGCCGGTGTGGAGCAGAACGACGAAGAGGCAGACGAACTCTCGGACGCCTTCGGCCACTAAGAAAAGGAAGTTATGAAGAAAGAACGGAAGTGGATACGTGATGTCTTTCTTCGGAGAGCTTTTTCTTTGTGTAAATATATATATTGAGATGGGTCTGTTGCGATTTTGTCCCAGCGAATTCGTTCTTGGTCACAGCTGTCCGTGTTTCGTCGCCTCCGTTTGCGTAGTCTATGGGCCTCGTCAACGTAGCTGTGTAAGTGTCTGAGGGTGTATGGCGGAGCGACTTTCCCACACGCGTCTTGTTTTTCTCTCCTTTGCTTTCCTTCCCTCACTTGTGCAAAATTTTTTGTTGCTGTTTTACGATTCCGTGACCTTCATGGTTGTGTCTGTACCAGTTTTTTGCCTACCTCTACTTTATATTTTTCTACATATATATATGTCTATATATATGTGTGTGCTAGACTTCACGCTTTTTATTTTTCTTCTTGTTTTATTAGACCTGTTTTCGGTTCTTTCCGTCGTTGTTGTTGCTGTGGTTCACGCACGTGCTTTTTATCAAACTGCAATCTAACGAAAGGAAAAGCTGTACGTTCGTGGTTCGGTTAGCTGGGCATCCTTACGTGACAAGTCGCGTTGAGGGGTGGAGCCACTGTTGTACAAGCCCCCGAAGCCCTTAAAGGCCGGCAGGCTTGCGTTGTTCTGCCTTGACGGTTCAATGAAACTGTGCCTTTGATTCCTTAAGTACTGTGCAACTCTCTCCCTGTCTCGGCCTTACTCTTCTATTCCCATCTGTTTAGGATGTGTGTAGATATTCATATTTTGTTTGTTTGTTTCTGTTGCCGGCATTCAACTCGGCGCACATCGAACATATTCTTAGTTTTCTGAGAACGGGTCTACCACACCGAGAAACAGTTGTCAGCGCAACAACAGCAGCGATCCATACAGCTGATATCCAGCGCTGACTTGATTTGCGCTGCTCGCGTATTTTTGAATCTCTCATTGCAAGTGTACTTGACCTTCTTACTTGCACTTTGCAATCCTCTCCTTTGTTTTCTTTTCTTTTTTGTTTTCGGCGACTACTGCTGTTTCGTATTGCTGCTCTCCGCCTTTAAGGCTTCGGATAAAGCCCTTCAATATACACCCTCTCTTAAACGAAGGTGTACTAGCTTGAATCCTCGTCTCTCCCCCCCCCCCTTCAAGCGTGCCCAGCTCTCGCGAAACGCGTCTTTCCGAAGCGTTACCTTATTCTTTTGCGTTTACCGCTAACAACAGGCGCCGTAATATTGATTAGAACTCGACAGCAGTATGCGCCCCTCGCTCATCCAATGTTTCCCCCATCCTTTCACCCGGCAATGGCCCAACACCGGCAACCCCGTCACCTGTGAGTGCAGACAGCTCTACGCGCTCGTCTCTGTTTGCTGCTGCGTGCCCAACACACACCTGCTCGTGCTGCACGAGTCCATGCGTGTCACTGGCAACATGATCACGTCCATGCCGAAGGGGCCGAAGTACGTGGACTACCGCGTCACTTCTCGCACCACCGCCGAGGACTTCTGTGGCTTTCTCATGCGGGCCGAGGCGGCGGCGGCATCCGGCTCGGCGCACGGCGCAGGTGCGCCGGAGGAGCCCGTCGCCTTCTCCCGGGGTCCGGACGAGGTTTACTCCCCGATGAGTTTCAACTCTCTGCAGAACAACGATGGATTCGAGAGCAAGGCCGCGTCGTCCTCCAATGCACCGCGGCACCCCGAGGCCGTCGTGTCGCCGGTCGCACGCAGCCGGTCGGCATCGGGCCAGAGGCAGGTGGTGGTGGTGTGTTTGCATGGCATTGCCGAGGCTTCTGCTCCCGTGCAATCTGCCCTCATGGATGTGCTGTGCTTCGAGCAGGTCCGTAGCCACCGTCGAGCCATGCGGGTGCCCACCCTGCGCGTCGTCGCGTTCTGTTCGTGTCGCAACTTTGCGTTGCTCCTGCCCGAGCCGCTGCGGGCCGCCTTCACCCTCTCCACCTACGTCTCCACGCTCTCCATTGAAAGCGCGGTGGTGCTGCAGACAAACACCGTGGCCTCCTCCAACATTGTCAACAAACGCTACATGCTAGAGGTGATGACGTCGCCAGACGGGCAGTCGCTGCTGGAGACGGTCACCCTCTCCGCCTCCGTTCTGCGGTATCTGCGGCACCTGCTGCTTGTGGTGCGGGGCAGCTTCAGCGCGACCCTCTCCCCGGGCGCCCTGGCGCTGCGTCGCCTTTCGCGCTGGGCCACCGTGCTGCGTGCCATGGCCGTGCTCTTCATGCCGGACGAGACTTTTCTCCGCTCGCGAGCCCTGCACATCCGCCCAGCCCACCTGCAGAACTACACCACACGGGCATCCACCATCGCCACCGCCGAACGCGTCTCCCACCCGACGTCGCACCGGATTGCTGGCAGTGCCGCACACCGCCCAACGAGCCCGGAAGCGCGGAATGGCGGTACGAGCAATGGGGGTGCCGGGGGTGGGAACGGCGTGGCTGCACCACAGCAGGAGCAACAGCAGCACAACGCGGGGTCACCGTACACCGCCTCGGCAACGCGTCGCGCCATCGGGGGGGCGGTGGTGGACGAATCAGAGGACACGGAGGATTCGTCCGGCCCCAGCCCTATCGAGTCCTTCAGCAATGTGGTGGTGTCGCCGTCGGATGTGGCGTGTGCGCTGAGCTGCCTTCTGGGCCACCTCATGACCATCCCGCGGGAGATGGTGCCGAGCGAGGAAATCATTACCGCTACGAATGCCATGCTGGGGCCGACGGGTGGGTCGAGCACCGTGGTGGACGCCTACGCGAACATGCTGGACACGCAGCGGCGGGGTAAGGGTGGCTTCTCGTTTCAAGATCCGACGATGTGGGACGCGGTGGCGGCCAGCTGGTCGCTGCGTCATCTGCACAGCATTACCGACCCCGTTCAAGAGCTTGCGGACACCATCGGTGGTTCATTTATCAGCACGGGTCTTGCACAGTCGTACATGGCGAACAACCTCAATGGAACCCTCCAAAGTACTGCAAACGGAACCTTCAATGCACTTTTCGCTGGAACCGTCAAGGGGACCTTCAACGAAACCATGCTCGCCGAGCGCGGAGGCGATTTTCGAAATCTGCACGCGAGTTACTCTAGCAGTCCTGGGCAAGAAACGCTGGCGCCGGGCAGCGCATCGGTGTCGCGCGAGGCACCTTCCCGCACGCTGAACAACCGCCCGTTGACCTCGTTGGCGGATTTGTGGAAGAGCGGTGTGGCGGACACGTTTGACTTGCTGGACGCCGCCTCCACCCCCATGTTGGACTACTGGGAAGTCCGCGAGGTGATGCGGGCAACGCTAATCTGCCGCAGCGCGCCGGCCCCGGGTTAGTAGATCACATCTCGATGCGTCAGGGAAAAACGGTGAACCCAGTCTGAAATATTCCTAATGATACACCTGAGGAAAGCAACAACATCGCAACAGCTACGGAAACGTTCGATATTTATTTTCCGCATCCCAAGAAAAAGTTTGTTTTCAAGATGGTTAGCTTTATCGTGGCACGAGTATTACTTTTCTGAGCTTTCTTCGACTTCCAGGTAGATTTTCCTCTCGAAACGGGTATTCTCCTTCCAAGACCAAGCAAAAGAAAGAATGATGTCGCTTTTGTGCAGTTGCAACGGAGCTATCGTTCTCGAAGATGCGTTTTCTTGTCAATAGATCGTGGGCTCCTCTTTCCCTCTTTCTCTGTTCTCTGTTTTTTTTTTCTTTCTCCTCACCTGCCTATAGGAGACAACTCCACTTGAGGTCTGGCAAGCCCTTCTCTGGGCACAGGTAAAAGGAGAATCATCTTCGTATTAGCCTCCGTACAATACTCTTTGAAGAAAGAAACAGAGCCGATGTACTCGCCTTACGATGCTGCGTACGGTCACGACACGACGTACATCCAGCGGATGACAGTTGAGGAGTATGTGAAGGAGCTGCAGGAGGAAGAGGCGGATATTCGAGGTCAGAGTCCGTCGCCGCACACGAGCACCCCCGCACTGTCGCAGGAAAACAAGGACGTTTCGGGCAAGGCTTCGCCCAGCTCAGTACCGCACCCGCAGCAAAAGCGCGGCACACGTCCGTACGAGCAGCGCCGCGCCGCCCTGTCCTCACGCAACCCGAATGTAGTCTTTTCTTCCAAGTACCCCATGTACGACCGCCTCGGTCGCGAGCTTTGCGTGGCCTACCAGTTTCAGGATATGGCGGTGCAGCAGGAACTGCGTCGGTTAGAGTTGGAGCACGGGCACGGCGAGTACGACACCCGTCGCTCCGGCGTGCGGCTGAGCGCGGAGCTGCCGATGGGCTCTGATGACACCACCGCGCGGCCGGGGTCGTTGACGGAGACGCAGCCGCCATCCCTCACCGAGGGCCGCGAGACCGCCTTCTCGGACGAGGCGTCACGACTGGTCCGGCCGAGTCACATAGACGGCGACAGCCTCGCCGACATTGAGGTGTCCGCCACGTCGCACTACCTGTCCGTCTCGGCCAGCCACACATCCTCGCAGCCGGCGTCGGTGCGGCCGTCGGAGTTCTCGATTTTCCGTGAGAGCGGTGGCGTCGTGGCGGTCGGGCGCGGAGTCGTGGGGAAAGCGCGCAGCAGCGTCCCTGTTCGTGCGGTTGCAGAAGAGGACAAAATCCTTCTTCACCGCGAGACGGGCGGCGGCCCACTCCGAGCGATCTCGTCACCGTCCACATTTGTCCACCGTGACGGCGACACAGGCGAAGGCCGGCGGTCGGAGTGGCGGCGTCGATCGGAGAAGCGACGCCGCAGCCGCAGCAGCGGTGGCCGCCTTAGTCGTGTCCGTTTTGTCAGCGAAGAGCGCGAGGAGAGTGCAGCCGAGACAGCAGCAGCACGCGCCAACGCGAAGCCTATGTCGGAGCAACAGCAGACGACACGCGTACCAGGAGCTGCAGCTCCCCTCCCCCGACGCCTGCCCACGCCACCACCGGTGCCTCTCTCCGACCCCGACCAGACGCGGTCGGAGGACGCCGCCCCGGAGGAGGCGACGCGCTGGACGACGCTGTCACGCGGCTCGGCCGCCGTGCGCGCCACGAAGCAGCTCTTTCGCAGCACAACGCACTCGGCCAACGCGTCTCGCATGACGACCACCCTCACGTACCCCGAGCCCATCCCGAGCAACGTTTACGGCCTCACCGCCCCTGCGATACCAGCCGGTAAGGTGCGCGACGCGGTGGAGCGAAATGTGGCGGCGTGTGCGGCTGCTCTGCCGCAGCAGTACACGCACGGTGTCGGCGCAGAAATCGGCGACGACGGTCACCGCCGCGACACGCCGGAGTTGCAGTGCGGGTCGGTAGTGCAGCTGGGGAAGGAGTGGTACCGGCTGGTGCACTTTCACGTCGTGGCGGAGGTGTACGAGGCGGTGCGGGTGGACGCTCCAGTTGCGCCTGCAACCCCTTCTGTATCCGGCCAGAACGGAGACGCTGCGCACGGCGATGACGGTCACGAACAGACAAGAGAAACCGATACAGGCGTCGGTGGTAAGGATGTCGAGGCTGAAACGAACGCTACCTCATTCACGGAAAGAAAAGAGGGCGAGGAGCAGGGAAAAGCTTCGACTCCATCGCTAGCTCCTCTTACGTCACGTGAAGAGCAGGCGCCAACGCTCTTTGCGACAGAAACGGAGCCTTCTTCAGCTTCAGTCCAGAAAGACCTTTCAGCATCGCAGCAGGAACAAGAACAGGAACTGGAGCTGCAGCAGCGGCAGTTTTTTGTATACCGGTGGCGTGCAGGGAGTCTTTCGCGTGGCGTCGACGAGGCCCGCCGTGCCGCCTTGGGCCTGTCCCTCTGTGCCCCCAACGTCCACGTCACTGGCTTCGACTACGCGGACGGCGGTGGCATCACACTCGTCACACTGCCGGCCGGCTATCATGCCGTGCCCCTCAGCGCGCTTCCGCTCTCGCTGCGCAGCTACACCACGCTGTTGCGCACCGTGCTGAAGGCGCTGTCAGCGATGGTGGCCCGCCGCACCGTCCACGGCAACGTCGCCGCGCTGGGGGATCTGTTCCTGGTGTTGCCAGTCGTGGACAATCTGCTGCGCACGCCAGAGGCCAGCACCGTGTCACCGCGGCACGACAGCAGTGGGGATCGCATAGAGGCCAAGTTGCGAGAGCCTTTTATCGTCATGTTCCACTGGGAGCACTGGGTGGACTTCGGCATGTACGTCGACCGCAATGCAGGGCGAGCGATACCGTTTGACTTTGAAGACAGCGCATCCCAGGCCCTTGTTTTCTACAGTAAAGATTTGATGACTGGCCTGCAGCTGTTCCTCGAGCACACTCTGGCGGCGAAGCTTACGTCGGAGCAGTACATCCTTTTGCAGAAACTGATCGTGTTGGCCGCTGAGCCGACGCCAGTGGCGAGCCATTTGATCCAGTTAAAGAACTTGATGCTGACGCTGCCGACCGACACCGCTTCTCTGCAGAGGAGCTTTGAAGCTGCTTTGGTGCACTACACTGTAGAATAATAAAAAAGACTGCTCTTTTTAGAGGGTTTTACACACAATCGCTTTCTTGTGAACTACACCTCTGTGTGTGAGGTGACGTTGACGGGCGATGAAAGTTCGTGCAGAAATTCGCAGGATGGAGTGCTTGATTTTCCTGCTCTTTGCTGACCTCTTTTTTGTTCGTTTTCCGCTTAGATCTCTTTTATATATAGATAGATGCAGCTTCTTATTTGTTTGCATACCAACCTTCATCTTAGAGAACTTTTTCTTTTCTATTATTTCTTATCAATCCTGCTGTCGCCTCAGGCATCAGAAAAGCTATTTTACTCATGAAATGCAGTAGATACATCCATTGTGTTCAGCGGTACAATTATCCGGCAAATAAAGCTGACTGACGTCGTTGCGTTGTTGAGGACATCGCGGTTCACAGTGAAGAGTCACGATATGACTCTGGCTCTCAGTTACCGATGATCACTGCTGTACACAACTCTACTTTCATTCCTTTCTCGTTTGCTTCTTTTTAACCTCTTTCCTCTTACAACGAAAGGCTTCTCGATATCGTTGTAGCGGAGCACTCGTGTAAAGTGAAAGGGTGCAAGCATTCGTCGCCTTTCTCGTTGTTTTTCCTTTTCTCGCTCCCCAGTTTAGCATAGCGCATTGACAAGTCAAAAATTGTTATGTACATCACCTCAAAAAGTGTAAATTGAATTGACTTCTGTTTTCGTTATCTCTTGATTTTGACACATTCGGTTCCTTTAGTTATTCAAAAGATTTTGTTGGTGTTGTATTGACGCACACGCACACACACACGAGCGCACGCGTGAGGTCGCGTCTCAACGAGCTCGCAGGGTCTTCTTGCAGACGAAGAAGAACGGAAAAGCCTCGCAGGCAGAAGCAACGATTCATGTATATGTAAACACACAAAAGAAAACACCTTCCCATTTGCTAATGGAATCTATTTTTATACTCGTGCCCCCGCGCAGTTGTTCTCCGGGTACGCTACAGAAAGTACGTGAGTGTCTGACAGGCGGTGGAGCGCAGATAGAGGCGGAGGCTGTCTTGCCCACGGACGCGCTGCTGCTCTGCCCGTCGCAGCTCTCCGTCCTCTTTGGTAGTGCACATCACTGGGGCATGTCCCCTTCTCAGCAGGTGCTTCAGCGTCCTTTTGCATCCGCCGCTGACGACATCGACGCAACGTTTTGCCCAGTTGAGGAAGACGTCAAATCCCTCTTCTACAGCCACTACGGCGAACTGTGGGACGCCGCTATCTCGGAGAGGAGGCTGAAGACCGCTTTCGATGTACTGAAGGAAGAGAATATCACGGCAGCAGAGTTGGAACAGCGATGTGTCTCCGCTGCTGCTGCCACTGCGGCGCGCAACGTCCTCGAGCTGCCCACGCACCTCACCATCACGAAATTCGATAACAACGGTAAAAATTATGAAGAGTCTACCGCGCGTTACGTCGTGAATGGGGTGTATCCGGCCCAGCAAGAACGCTTCTTCCAAGCAAATGCTGACCAGGGCGGTTGCTGGTGGTGTGCTGCGACGCTGCCGGACTCTGCAGCACCGCAACAAGGAAGTCAGCTGCATGCGCTTCAGCAACTGTCTCATACCGTTGAGAACATTCTCTCCTCCTGCAGTGATGTGCGCGTGGTGACAAACCCGTTGGAGGCGCTGGCCTTTCGTGTCTTGTGGATGAAAGTCCCCTTGACGAGGGACGCGTTTGCTTCCACGGTGCTGCAGCAAGGTGTGGTGCCCAGCTGGCTGGAGGCGCTGCTGCGTGACCCAGTGATGCACGATCGCGGACACTTCTCCAGTGTGTTCGACATGGTCCAAGGCAAGACCGCGGAAGAGGCGTCACACGCAGTGGCACAGCTGTGGGCAGCGTTGAAGCCCAACGCTGCGGGCAAGGGCATCGCTGATGTGGCCAACGGCGCTCCTGCGCTGTACGACTATAAAACCGGTTATTTGGACCCGCGGTTGTATGCCGCGACCACCACTACCACCGTGGATCGCACGCACGCCGTCGTCCTCGTGCACTCTCGCCTCTGCGCACACGGAGAAGTGTCGAGCAGTCTGCGGCGGCGACTGGAGCAACAAGGGGCCGATGTGGACGCTGTTCGTCAAGTTAGCGTTGAAGAGCTGCAGGCGAAGCTGGACCTGCACTTTGCTCCTGCTGCTCGCTACGCATTCGATCAAGCAGCGCTGCAGCATCTCATTGTGGAGGAGCCAGATGTCGCTCGGTGCTTTGAAGAGACGCACGGCGTCCCGTGGCAACGGGCCGTGGACGAGGGACGAATCTGGAGTGTGACCCTCGCCGAACAGCTGCTGGGTTCTCCGCAAGCCCGGGCACTGCTGAAGGAGTGCCTCGCGCAGAGCCGCCTGACGCAGCAGCTTTCGCCTTTTCTGAGCATCACAAAGGTGTCTCGCGAGGCGTTGGTTTCGCAGGCGTTCCCCGACACTGCCCTGAGTACACTCTTCTCGACGGCGTGTGTCGGTCAGCCACCCTACGCGCTCATGCCTGACACCTTCTTTGTCGTCAACGCGGCGTACAGCCTGTACCGCAACGACGTGCTGGGACAGGTCTACTCGCAAGAAGTTGCAGGCGAGGTGTGGCAGCTGTCTTGGCCTAGAACAAGTAACATTAACCTCAAAGCGTGGCAGCGGCTGGCGTGCATATCGCCGACCCTCGAGGCAGCCCAGCGAGACGAAAGCCTCGACCCAAATGCGCAGGTAAAGCAAACGGAGGCTTCTTACGACGCTGCGGTGGGTGCGGAAGTCCGCCACGCCTTTCCTCTCTTAAACGTGCTGGTTGATCCCGCTTCGGCGTTGCGCGCGCGACATCTCTGGTGGGGCACGCCGTACGCCGAAGACGCGCTGAGCCGTCAGCTGCGCGCTCAGGGGCAGTCCTGGGTCTCCCTCCTTCCGCCGCTTTCATCGACGCCATCATCTGCAGAATATACGGAGGCAGTGCTGGTGCTGCCCCCACGCGTTGCAACCAACCACGTCATCTCCGTCACACCCACCGTGCTGCAGGAGAACAATGTGACCGTCGTGGAGGAAACCGACCTCTACGGGGAAGCAGCGGCCGCCTATATATTTGGCGGCAACTCCCTCCTCGCGGCTGCCAGTTCGCTCGCGCACAAGCGCGGCGCGGCGCTGTGGGCACAGCTCCCGTGTGAGCTGCAGAGTGTCATGGCGGAGGTGGCGGAAGGCATACGCGCTGCGTCCGATGACTACATCCCGGCCATCTCGGCGGAGAATGTGATGGGCGGCGCTACTGCCTGCGTTGGGCTGCAGGTCACGCTACATGAGCTGGAGGAGGCATGGTACGCGGCACAGCCTTGTCGCGTGAATCGCACCTGTTGGCTGGCCTTTCTCTCCCAATACGAGGTGTGGGTGGTGAACGGGCATGTGGCTTTGCTGGAGCACCAGTATAGCCTGGAAACTGCCCGAGCGCATCTGTTTCGCATCCGCTGGCCCGCTGCGGCGAAGCCGTGGACTGACGTGCAAGCCGCCCTCATTGGAGGCGGTGACGACGATGACGGTGTCGGTCTGTGCTGCGCGAGAAACGAAAAGACTACGGCGGTGAGTGGCGCCACCTCAACTGGGTCGCTGACCTTGTTGCTCTCCCGGGCGGCGGAAAAGACTCTGCCGAAGGAGGCCGCCGCAGCAGAGCCGCTGTGCCTGCTGTCGCCCACGCCCTACGACGCCGTGATCGATGCGCTGCGCTGGCCACGCCATGGGCTGAGCAGCCCCCTGAAATCGGCGGTTGCTCTCGAAGATTGGCTGCTGCATCAACCCTACATTCGAGCGCAGCTGACAGGCAGCGTTTCCTGTTCGTTGGAGTCGGTCGTTCAGCAGGTGTGTGAGACGCTTGACAGCACAGCTGAAGCCCAGCGGCCTCTCTCTTCCTTTGCGTCCTCCCCGCAGTGGATCGCGCGCTTCACCCAGTCGCAGAGGGGCGCACCGTTGCATCACGGCTTTCTTTGGCTGCATCCGTCCAGCGCCACCTCCTTGGTTCGGGAGGCACTCCCACAGCTGCTGCTGCAACACCGCGTTCGTATCCGGGACTCCGGTGTGCTGCCACTGCGCGTCGCGGTGGAACGCCAGCTGCTCGACGTGCACCACGACAGCTTCTACAAAAACGCCTACGTGCGCACCGCGGCGCAGGTGCCGATCACCGATGCAGAGGCGGACGCCTTTGCGACCAGCTTTGGGCAAAACTGGATCACTGTCGTCCAGCTCGGTCTCGTGCTGAACGCGCAGGAGGCGGAACAGAAGTACGGCACCGTGCGCCTCATGACGTGGTGGGACAGCCTGCAAGAAGAGCATCAGGCGCGGCTTTCCGATCAGCTCTTCGTCGGCTACATGGCAGAGGAGGGGCTCTACGTCATGAACCCCCCTTACAGCTATCGCCGCGCGCGGCTGTACGGCGGCGGCTCTGACATCGTGTGGTACGCGGTGGAGTGGTCGGCGCAGGACATGACGTGGAGTAGCTTTATGACAGCTGTGGTGGGCGATGCCGACCCCGCCAACGCCGCCCCCGAGACGTTGCGCGGCCACTTTGGTGCGAACTGGACTCGATACAGCCTGCCCGGCAAACCTGATCAGATTGAGTGTGTGCTGCACGCCTCAGACTCGCCGCTGGCCGCACTGGCGGAGCGGTGTCGCTGGTTGAGCTGCCCCCCTGAGCATGACCCCTACGGACAGGTGCTGCTGCAGTCCGGTGTGCCCCCTGCGTTACTGTCACTGCTTTTGTCCAATCCGACGCTGTACGCGTGCGAAACCGGCATCATGACTGAGGCTTTTCACTCGTTGCGACAAGACGACGTGCATGAGCTCGTGGCGCAGCTCCGCGGCTACGCTTTTTGCTGCGGCTGTCTCGCGGTCCCCGACTCCGTATCGCTCATCCCTCCTCCTGCTGTTCCGGCAACACCGAAGCAGACGGAATGCTCAACGCCTCACTGCGATGAATATCCTTCTCCGACGGAGCAGCTCCGTGCCTACCGCAATGTGGCGCTTCGCAAAGCAATCAACATTTTCCAGCTTTGTGCGTTTGCAATACCCTTTTCAGGCGAGGCATCTCCGCAGACCAACACTCACGATTCCCTCTGCCGTGCCGTCATGTACCTTGATCCACTAGAGGAACACCCCGGCAGCGCAGACGTCACGCCCTCACTACTTCGCTCCATAACCCAACGTGCGCTGGGCAACTTTGTGGAGCGACACCTCCGTCAACACGGCATCCACGTAGTGCATGAGCGCCTGGTTCAGTGCGCGAGCGAGGCGGAGGCAACGGTGGTGCATCGCACGCAGCACCACCGTCTCTACCGGTACGGAATTGAAGTACCAGCCGCCGAGACGCTCGCAAGCAACAAGGCATTTCAGCTACGAATGAAGCAGCACTTTGATGTCTCACCCCATAGCGCGGCAGTGGGAGCGGTGGTGCTGCGCAACGCAGCGGAAATGGCCGACGCGCTTCGTGGCAACGGACACGATGTAGCGGCTTTGTGGGCGCGCGCGAAGCGACTGTACCCGCACGACACGCTCGCGCTGTCCGACGACTGTACTGTGCAGCGCCTCCACCCTCGTAAGCCCTTCTTTCTCCTCAACGGCGACGCCCTGGAAGCGGAGCAGCAATTCGTAGCGAGACAGGCGAAAACGGGCGTGCGTGTGTGGTACCTGGAGTGGAATGAACAGGAGCATCCGGGCATGACATACACGCGCTTGGCACAGATCGTAGCGAGTCTGCACGGCCCACGTGGCCCCCTGCGTACCTGTTGGAACACATATGGGTGGGCCAGCGAATCCTCCGCGAGCAACACCGCCGCTGCTGCTGAAGCAGTAGCCGGTGACTTCTGCCCCTCTCTGCACGTATCGGAGAGCAGTCTCGCCGCCGTGCGCCAGCGGCAGCTTTGGTTGGGTCTCCCGCTGCTCACGGATCCGATCGTGCGCGCGTGGCTGTCAGCCAGCGCTGACGAAAACGGTGTGGAGCTGGCAGAGACACCACTCCCACTCCCCCCTCGCGCCGTCGCATGGGCCGTGCAGGATCCTTCGATTTCCTTCAAAAACAAGCTCGACGCTCAGTTCTTGTTTGATGCGGTGGTGGGCATGGATGCCGCGTGTGTGCGACGGCGCCTTCAAGAGTGGTGGGACGCAAAGCAAGACGACGAACACGAGACCACACGCAATACCGCGGTGATTGCGCTGATGCCGCAGGTGGCGGCGAACTCTGACGTACGTCACCTCGTGTGTCGCGTCATCGCAGAAAACGATCTCCGCGTAGAGGAATGCGGCTTTGTGGCCCATTACAGCGACGGCGGCAGAGCGAAGTTGCGCCGCGTTGTCCAGTGTCTGTACCCAGAGGACTGGAACTATGCGACGCAGGAACCACACCTGCTGAGCCTTTCACCGGAGGAGTGCGCTGCCGTGGCAACCGTGTTCAGTACGTCGTGGACGTCCATGGTGGACAGCGGCCGAGTGCTACCGGCGTCCAGGGCAACGAAGCGGCTCGGTGGCATGTCACCGGCGCAGCTTCAGCTCTTCGTGAAAGCGGCCAAAAACGCGTTGTGGGTCCGTCCGCAGTTGCACCTGGCAGAGTTGGAGGAGTACGGTGTTTTTGTGGTGAATGCGCATGTGCCACACCTCACCGACGTCGTCGTGGCTGCAGCAGATCGGCTGCCGCTGCCGTATTACGTTGTTTCGTGGGACGACCGCCAGTGCAGCTGGGAGGCGTGTGTGTCACGGGTGGTGGGGTTTGCTGAGCCTTCGCTGGCCTCACCGCAGAGCATCCGCGGTCGCGTCAACGCTAACTGGTCCTCTCTGGGACTCCACGCCGCTCCGACCAGGGGGGAGAGTGTGGTGTGCATGAGCGACGGTCCCTTGCATAGTCTACTGGCGAGACTCCACCTCCGCTGGCCTCCTACGGGAACGTTGGATGAAGACATGTTCGGGGGTGCCGTTCTGCAGAGCTTGGGCGGCGCCGCAGCTGTGGTTTCGGTGCTGCGGGGCTGGCTGAGCAACCCAGCCGTGACGTGTGATGGTCGCACGGACGGGGTGCTGAGCCACCTCGCGAACTGGGAGACAGAGGAGATCTTCAACTTGTTGAGCCGGCTTACGAAGTCGCCCTCCGCGCTTCTCCCCGTCGACCTCTCTGCTGTTCGTCACGAGGAGCAGGAGGCGGAGGGGCGGCGGGCGGCTGAGGCGGCGTGGAACGAAGCCGTGCAGCAGCGTGATGCCCTCCCTGTCCTACTACACACCACCTCTATTAACTCCACCCCCACGACTGGAAACGCAGAATCTCCGCCAGCTGACGAAGCAGCGGAGGACGATGTCCTCCTCCATCGCAACGTGGGCACACTTCTCTTCCTCAGCAGACAACTCAACGCGGTGCAGCAAGCACAGCTTCGTCAGCACCTGCAGCAGCACGGCATTTCCGTCAGCGTCACAGTAGAGGAAGAAGAACAGGAGGCCACACCGGAGCTGCTGGACCGCCTCTTCCCAACGGAGAGCTACCTCGCCGATTGTGTCGACCTCGCTCGCGTACTGAGTGAATCCGATGAGGTGGCAGTAAACGATCAGGAGCGTTTCAACACCGTTTTCCGCGATGAAGTCGCCTGGCACGCGCTGCTGGAACGCACCTCGCAAGACCCCGCCACCCCCGACACACCACGTGGACTTTACAGTGCTGCTGATGCGATGCGGCACTGGCAGTGGACGTCGCACGATTTGTGGAGGCACGTTTGCGAGGGCTTTTCCATGCGTTTGTCGGAGAGTGTCGAAATTACCCGCCTGCCTTCGTGTGGCGCAGAGGATGGCGCGGATGAGCAGGCAGAGGAGGCCGGGCACGAGAGCGAGGCTGCAGCACTGGCGTCGCCTGTCACGGTGCCGTGGGCTGGTGGTCACTACGTGGTCAACGGCGCCTATGCCGCCCTCCGTGACGCGCTGCAAACAGCCTCGTCTGCCACCGCTGCGAGAGAGGGAAAGGACGCCGCAGGTCATGCCACAACTCCGACTCCTTTCCTCGCCATGTGGGAGGTCTCGTGGGACTCGCGGACGTTGTCGTGGCAGGACTTTACGCAACGTGTTATTGGCTGCGTCGACGGTGCACGCGCCGCATCGGGATCGTTTAACGCGTTGATGTCGAAGGAGAACAGTGGTGCGGACACGGAAGAACTAACACAGCTCGCCTCTCCACTGTTGTGCTGGGGTGTCGTGCCCTCCTCCGGTCCGCTGGCGGCCTTTGCGATGCGCAGCCGCTGGTGCCGCAATGCGGGCAACCGGTACAATGCCTACGTACCGGACCCGCTGGTGCGCGCCATGGCGATGGCAGGAGTGGCGGACCAAGACTCCCTCTTGGACAGCTGGGTCGCAAACCCCTTTGTGATGGTGAAGAGGAACGACGAGGCAGACACGAATGTGCGATGCCGCCTCTTTGATTGGACCCGAAACTGTGACACTCCACAACTACTGCCGTGGCTGCGCGTGTTGGATGGAGTTGCTGTCGACGCTACGAGGGACAGCGCCGCCAACGGGGGTATCGCAGCATCAGCAGCAGCAGCAGCAGAGTCGGCAGAAAACGACAGCGCGAGTGCGCCGCGCTCTCCACCGCCGCCGCCGCCGCGCATGAAGAAGCAGCTCAACGTTGCACGAGTGCAAGACGCCCTGCTGCACGCCCGCACCGAGTCCGACTGGCGGCGACTTTGGGACTACTACAGCACCCTTGACACCCCCTCAGTAGGAGGCGAGCCGTCTGCTACTGCTGCCACGGCGCCAGACACCATTCCCTTTGCCTCCTTCTACCGCGACTTCAGGTCCTTTGACACCCTTGGCGTTCCCAACATGAGTCACGAGCTGAAGCGGCTGTTCCTCGAGGTGGAAGTGAAGGGACGTGGTCGCATGACCTACGCGCAATTCACGCACGCGCTCACCCTGTACCAATCGCTTTGAATTCCATGTTATATATATTTGTATATGTGCTTTCTCTTGTAAATATTATCGGACATTAAAAGTGTTATGTAAACGGGAGCTTGTTCGTCTGCTCACGCCCTCCTTTGTTTCTCCTCGTTCGCTTTCTTTGATAAGTGTTGAATTTATTGGAAGACTCGATGTATATTGCACGCTCTTTGTGTGTACCGTTCAAGTGCAGACTGACGCGTAAAATCAACAACAACGAAACGATAGTATGAGGCTGTATTCTACTCGACACAGGCAACGAATAACAGCGAGCGAGGATTCGTGTGGCTTCGGCGGCGGAATCGTTATACCGCGGACACACGAGTACGCGCACAAAAGTGCATGCACTTCAATTGTAGGCGTATTGAAGTCTTACGCACATGCACGTTGGTATGACACATATTTTTGTATTGTTCTACGCTGTTATCATCGTCAATGACCAGTCTTATCCGTCTCTCTCCTCGACATCCGCGCCGGTCTCTTGAATAAGGGACACCAGTCACATAAGTCAATACTCTGAAGCGGGCATCACATCTTGTTCTCCTTAAGTAGTTGCCAACGCGTTAAATGGAGATGTCCTCACGCTGTGCCGATGCGTTCGATGAGGCAGCCGGAGCGCTACCTCCCCCTCCGCGTCAATTTGAAGACGATGTGGACGCAGTTGTCTTGATCTTCCTCAGCCTTCTCATTGCAAAAACACCGTCACCAGCTGCAGCGGTGCAGTACAAAATGTCGCAGCTGTTGATCATCGCCCAAGCCTTTTTCGTCCTCGCCGTCGTTCGCAGCAGCGGCGATGTGCACGACGGCTCGCCCCAGGTCGGCGTGTGCACGGAGCGCGATCTCTACTATCGCCATCCTCTCTTATTTGGTAGTCAGCGAGCGACGCATGCAAGCATCGAGCGACTCTGTCGTTGGCTCGATGTGGGACATGTTTGGTCGACCCTGAAGCGTCGCCACATTGAAATGAACAGTGTTCTATTGAGACAGGTCTTCTGCAAACCGCAGCATGTGCATTCCCAACTGCACAGCCTGCTGAGGGCTAGCAACACCGACGCAGTAACAGCAGTGGCCCAACTCGCGTACACGCGCGAGTCCCTCGGGATCACGGCGGCTGGCAAAAGTACCCTTTCGGGGGCCCTGATTATAGAGCTATGTCGCCCTTCTGAATACGTGGATGTTTCAGCCTGCGGGGCGGCGGGTGTGTCTCTCACCTACCCCCTCGTGACACGTCTGATGGGGTGTCATCGCCCTCCCTCTTCACCTCCGCTAGCCTCTGTCTCTGCGTTGCTGGTGATTGAAAAGGAGAGCATTTACCACGCCGTGCTGCAGGCCGCAGAGCGCCGTCGCAACGGTTGGAGTAGGAGCTTCTCCTTCCTCTGCACGAAGGGCTACCCGTGTGTGGCGGCCCAGCAGTGGCTACGACGCGTGCATGCGGTGTGGCCTTCTCTCGAGCTTCACGTGCTCGTCGATGGCGATCCGCATGGCCTGTGCATCGCCTTGACCGCAATGGGGCTGCTCGGTTCACGCGCGCGCCATGCTATTGAAGGTGCCGTCACGGAAATCACTCCGTTGCACTTTGCCGGGGTCTGTCCGTCACGCGTGTTTGACCGCTGCATCACAAACAGCACGCGCAACTCTGCCTGGGTCTCCCATGCTACCCTGTCGGCCTCGGAAGGTATTTCTCTCACACGCGATGATCGGCGAGTGCTACGTCGTGTCAAGGCAGCGATGCAGGGAGCGTTAGATGCTAGAGTAGCGGTGGCGGCGGCGTCTGTCGGTAGTTCAGAAACCGATAAAACGAACGTGCGGCGCACATTAGAAAAGATGATGCAAGAAGCCGACTGGATGGAGCGCTCCGGCATCAAGTGCGAACTCCAACTAGCGTGCAGACCCTTTGAAAGTCCACTACACTTCGTTGAAGAAAATATCTCGAGCTAGACGGGCAGAGTAAACAGTCCATTTGGTGTGCATTGCTGTCGGTTGCGCCATGATCATTTTCTGATGCGGTTTTGGCCTGCCTTTTTGTTTTGTTTTCTTTTGTTCTTCTGCTATTCAACAGTTCTGCTTTCGCATGGTTTATTAAGTTTCAATATCGAGTGAAAAGGATAAACTCTTTGTGCTCTCGCGCTCCAGCACAACGACAAGTCTTTATTATTATTATTATCCCCCCCCCCCCCGTCCCGTGAGACTGTGCAATGCTCGGCAAAGCAGCCACCCCCGCCCTCTCTGTCTCATTTCTCCTCTTCAACAATCTTCTCTCTTTTTCTTTTCCTAATGCTTTCCTTTTCTGTTTTTACTGCAGCAACAACCGTCATACGCGTGTGTGATAGAGTCTGTATCGTCTTCTTGGAGACCCGTGAGCCGCGAACCGCAAAGACCACCTCGCTCGCTTGTCTTCCCGCTCATCTGCGCTACGCCTCCTGTTCCTTTCTCGTTTGAGATTCAGAGGGCGAACACAACGGCAAGACAACTCCAAGCGCCTCTTCCCTGTGTATCATCAAGCCCACGGACAACACCGTTTCTCTCCACAGCCTTCTCACAAGCTTGGCAAAACCTCTAGACTTACCCCGCGTCCGCCTCAGCTCTCACTTTCATCCTTCACCAAAGGCAGCTCGCTTTTTGTCTTCTTTCTTGTTTGTTTGTTTCTTTCATTTCTTCAAAACCTCATCGTTTCCTTCGTTACATTTTTGTTTTTCCCTCCGCCGTTTTCAGCTGAAATCGTCTGCATCCTTTCTATATATATATATATATTTGTTTATTAGGTTCAAGCCGGTGTAATACTAAGCACGAGAAAAAAAATTGGTCTCCCGTTTTCGTTCGTTAACTCTTGTATCGCTACATTTTCTGCTCCTTTCCTTCGCGCTTCGATTTGTGCACTCCTACATCAACACAGGAGTTCAACGATTCGTTCTAGTACTACAAGTTAGCCTTATAGAAAGCCAATGTCAGGAGTTAACACGAGCTCGCGCCATCACAGCCGGCCCTCATCCGCGCGGCGCAACGGCCATGAGGGCGATTATTCACGCAATGGGGGCAGCGACCTCGCCACGCGATCCAGCCCGCATCGCCACCTCAGCAGTAGCAGTCGAAACTCTCCTCGCAAGCACCGCGACGCGGCGCAGACGGGGCAGCATCGCTTCCGGTCGGAGGGCTACACCCTCGAGGACGGGGTTCCCCCGTTGCACCGACAGAGCACGCAGCCGCCCCGCCGCACCTCGTCCACACCCCGCCCCCTCGTTTCCCAGCGCGAGGCGGAGGCGAGCCTCTACCACCGTCGCGCGGTGGAGCCGGTGAGCTCTCAACGGTCGACGACGCCGCACGTCCACCGCTCCCCCCGCCGTGCCTCACCGGCGGGTCCGGCGCACAGCACCGCCCTCGTCTTGGCAGAGGAGCAGCAGGTGTCGCCACGCCGGCACTCCGCGCGCCACTCCGCGCAGGTCTCGCCGCGGCGGTCCGGGCGTGACTCCCCACGGCGCAGCCACCACGACAGCCGCGTCGTAGCCGAGGACGGTGGCGTGCGGAGTCCGCGACGGCACATCTCCCCCAAGCGGACGAGTCCGCGCCGCGCACACCGGCAGACAGGCTCGCCCATCCGACCCGAGCGCCGTGCGGAGTCGTCGCGCCCGCGCCACCGGCACGCGTCCGCGGAGCCGCGTACCCGCAGTCCGCACGGTAGCGCACGCCGCCACCGCGAGTCGCAGTCCGCACGTCCGGCGCCAGCCCCCGTGCCGGAGGCGACGCACCGTCAGGACACCCTTCGCTATCGTAGTCCGCCCCTGGTGGAGGAGAGCAAACGACGCACTTCCTCGCGGCATGACAGACACCGTAGCCATACCACGGAAAACGAACCGGACAGGAGGCACCGCCCTTCCTCACGCCGCCACGACAGCGCTCATCGTAGCCGCAGCAACTGCCCGCCATCGCGGCACGACTCGGAGCATCGTCACGGACGAGAGCGCCGTTCCTACACTCCCGTTTCGGCCAACATCGAAGACGAGAGCCGCCACGCACGTCACGCCTCGCGACATCGTCAGAAATCACCCGACTTGTCGGTTGCTCCTCAGGAACTCCCGCGTGTGCATTCGCTCACAGAGGCGGTGAAGGGACCTGCCCCTGCAGTAGGCGGGTCTACGTTCATGCGACCCAACACCAGTAGTCACATGAGCACACGCCGCAGCTCTGGCTCTTGCATTGAGGTGATCAGCGTGAACTCAGTTAAACGAGATTCGCTGAACAGCTGGATGCAGTCGCCGCGGCGCTCGCGAGAGATGAACCTGCCAGTCGTCGCCCCCGACCCGAACAGTGAAAAGATTATGCAGTGCATCGACTCCACACGCCACTGGATCAACAGCATGAAAACGGAAGTGGAGAAGAACCGCACGCGCGCGCTGCAACTGAAGGAGGCGGCAGAGGCAGAAGCAGAAGCAGAGGAGGAAGCTGCCCGGCAGCGCGAAATGGAACGTCCGCGCCGAGATCATCACCGGGCTGCGGAGAAGGACGGCAGTGCCCACCGCCATCGCAGCTCCTCGCGTGGGTCGCAGCGGCGCACGCGCAGTTCGCACGAGGCGACGAACGGAGTAGCAGGTGCGCCGGTCTTGATAGAGCCGGAGAAAGCGGTAGACAGCCGTCGCCGCCCTCGTGCGCCGATTGCACCGGCAGCACCGCCCAAGTCAAATCTCCGATCCGTTACCGAGGCTAGGCGGTCAGGAACGCACAGCACGCGTGAGCCGTCGGCCTCGATGCACACCGCGCCGAGCGATAAGGTAGGGAGCAGCAGCAGCCGTCCTACCAAGTCCGCTCCGGCCCTCGCTCCAGCTCCTGCGCTAGCGGTGGTTCTGCACGACACCCTCAATAGCTCTCGCCAAGACGGCTTTGACTACCCCATCTTCTCCTTCGTGTCCTTCCTAGACGGCAACACCTTTGACAGCACCGTGGGGCTTTGCCAGTACAACACCGAACTCGCCGAGAGCCTCAGCGACGAGCACCTGGAGATTCTCCGCGAGGTCATCTTCGCCAACGACGAGGAAGCGTTCGCGGAGCTGCTTTACGGCGATGACGTGCAGGCGGAGCTGGATGTCATCGCCAACACGCTAGGCCACAGCGAGGATATTACGGTCCAGCGTGAAATTGTGATACTGCAACGCGCAGCCGTGCGTCGCTTCAACGAGAAGTGCTCTGCCGCGCTGCGCACCCTATTAGCCGCACGAGGTGGGCTGGCCGACGCAGTGCAGATCGCCGCCTCGCAGTTGGAGCGTCGGGTGTACGAGGCAGGTGCAGCGGAGGACAATTCTCCATAGAGGAGGCCGTGGAAGAAAGCGAATTCAAATCACCGCCTTCGTCTTGTTTGTTAGAAGCGACAAAGCGTACTTTGCTTTTATTTCTTCCTCTTGTTTTTGTTGCTGTGAGTGAGTGAGCGCATGGTGCGGTGCCAGCCGTGGTGCTGTCATCGCGCGCATCGGTTTAACGTTCATCGTTCAGCAGAGCATTTCCTTCTTCTGTTTTTTAACGTTTTTGCTACCTTCAGAAAGGGAAGCGTGACGGGCTAGGGAAGAGGAATCATGCGTGCTGGCGGCGACGCTACGTTGATGCATTCGTGACCTAGTCATCTTGTTTTGACAAGGGGAGGAGAAGGAAGTACAACGAAAGTGGACACCTTTTGCCGCGTCTCGAGTGTTTCTCTTTCCCTTCCACCAGTTTAGCCGCAAGTTTGTGTGGTCATCGAAGCTCTTTTTGTTTTTTCTCACTGTGTTTTCGTCTCTGTGAAGTGGGGCAGCATCCTCTACTCTTGTTTTGCGTGTTGCGTTAAACTCGGAGACTCTTCGTACTCTGTATGTAAAAGATAAAGGTAAACGGCTGCTTTCTTTTTATTTTTTTCCTTTGCATTGTTGGCGTTATATATCTGTTTTTGTTTTATGCGCTTGAGGTGTGTAGGAAGTTGAGGTGACGCGGTCACGTGTGGTTTGTTGTTGTTCTTTGACAGTTTCTTCTAATGTTGTTATTTATTTTTTTAGCCGCATTTTTGTTCTTGACCGGTGGAGTCGTCTCTTCTCCTCTTTTTCCCTTCTTCGCTCAGTGTTGTTTGCCTTCACAATGCAAGTAGGTAGCTTTTCCTCTGTTGTGTGTGCTTCGGTACTCTCTCTCTCTCTCCTCGACAACACCCAGTAGATCCAAGAGGGAAAAGATTCACTGCTTGACTATGGAGTTGCCGTGTGTGTGATCTTGGCTGCTCACCACGCCCGCCACTTTGTTTTGCGCGAGTCCTCGTACGCGTTCATAACAGCACTACATGGGCCCTCAACGGTTGATCCAACGGGTCTGTTCGTTACTGTTTTGCTGTTGAAGGCGTGTCACAATGGTCTAACGACTTCCCAAATTCAGGAGGAGGTAAAACAAGCAATCCTCTTCTTTTCCTTCTCGCCTTTCTTACTTCGTATTTCTCCCTTCCATCGCACCTGGCGACTTTTTTTTACTCTCCCACGCCTCTCCACACAGCGAAACTTAAAACCTGAAAGAAAAGGGAAAAACTGACATTTGTGGAAAATCAGAAAATTATGTGGCTGATCAACCAGAACACCACGACGATGAGAGCGGCTCGCCATTCACTGAACGCCACCGGGCTCCTGCTGTTTCTCCTTCTCGCAAGCTTGTTGCTCTTCAGCTCGTCTGGCGCATACGCGGATAGCTCACCCGATATCGATTGCAACTACTGTCAGGGTCGTGGCTTTCCGTATGTGTGCAACGTTACCATGGCCAGCGGTATCTGTTTTATGTACTCGGGAGATATGCGATGCAACGGAGAAAAGGGCTGCCAATGCTGCCGCACCGTCAGCGCCGCCGGTTGTACGCTGTGCAGCATGGAAGCAGACTGGGACGCCTACGATGACGATGAGGCGGACATCTGAGAGACGCGTAGGAAGAGAATCGAGTGGGCGGAACGTGAACGACTTCGCATGGGTTCGAGTGCGATGCTGCGGATCTGCTAGTACATATGTTGAAAAGGTGAGGTCACGTGCTGTGCATGGACCTTTTTTTTTCTTCACGTTGTTTCGACAATACTGGTGAGTGAAAAGAGCTTCGGGCGCAAACAATGTGAATACCGCCATTCTGAGCAGGCATTGGTGCCAGGCATTCATCGTGCTCCTTCGTGCGCCTATTTTTATTATTGTTCTTCCTCTTCTTTGTCCATTATGTCTTGTGTAATGCGGTATTCATTCATTATTGGGCCCATCTGACGCGTAGGGAAAGAAATTAAAAATTGAAAAGGAAAAGATATCTTTTCTGTGCCTGTTTTGTCTCTCACGACAGCGTTTTACCAATGCCATTTCGAAGCATTCGTTGGTGTAAACCTTTACGGCACAGCTTCATCTTCCTTCCGTGTAATGAACGGAGGGGGTCCTTTGTGTTCTGTTCTCTGATCATGGGTACCTGTTCCTCTTGCTTTCCCCTCCGTTGTGATCCGGCGTACACGCACGGCGCTCCTACCATTTGCCGTTGCATTCGCCTACTTAGAAAGAAAACGAAAATACCCGAACCCCACACGTCTCGTATCGCTTTTCCCGTTTTGTAGTCAGACATATTGTTTTTTGAACTTTTTCCTTCGTCCGTGTTGCAGTTCTCGGTTCCGGCTGTCATGTCTGCCTCCGCCTCGCCAACATCCCCAGCCCCCTCGGCTACTGGGCAGCGAGTGACGCTGAGTGCGAAGCAGGCAACGGCCAGCGAAACGGCCGATCCCGCAGCTGCCGAGGTGATTCGTGTCTCCCTGTTTCCAGAGCGTGTGGTGATGCTCCGCAGCGCCGGTGACGTGTCCCCCGGTTGGAACGGCGTGGTGGCGCAAGACTGCCGCCGCAAGAAGTCGTAATTGCCACGAAAAGATAAAGAATGCCCTCGCTTGGCTGTCTGTTTCGCAATGTCATCCTCTGCTAACTTGTTTTAAACAAAGAAAAGATATATATATATACTAGTATTATGATTCTTATTTATTTATTTATTTGAACAATGTATTTGCCCTTCGTTTCCCTTCCCGTACGGCACTGCAAGCATGAATGTGGCGAGACAACCATGTCGTCCATTGCACCTAAGCAATAGCAATGTCTCACGCGCAACTTTCTCTTACCTTTCCTTCCTTCTTTCTTGCTCTTCACTCTTCCCTGATTGACTATTATTATTATTATTTCTCCTGCCGACCCAACTGTCTTCGACGCAGTAAGCCTGCATCTGTGTCACTTCCTCCACACAACGCTCAAGAGAAAATTCGTCTCTCTAAAGAAAAAAAAGGAAATCTCCCTCTCTTCGTTCATTGCTTTCCCCACAACTCTGCAGCGTTTTCTTGCTGTTATTTTGCTGGCGGTTCTCTAAGAGTCCACTTCTTCTTCTTTTATCTCTCGCCTTTTTTCCTCACTCGTTCGAAAGAAGAGGCGAGTACCATGCTCGGTCTTGCGCACACGTTCAGCCAGACGAAGTACGTCGCGGCTCGTTCGGCGAGGGGGCTGCACGTCATCGACGAGGTCAAGCGTTTCCGCGCTCTGTCCTGCGTTCTCTTCTGCAGCATCTGCGTCTCCCTGGTGTTCGCCTTCGACCTCTTCAGTGACGAGTTCCAGAAGCGCTACTCCCTCTCCGATGGCGACCTTTCCACCATCAGCACGGTCGGCGTGGTCTTCTGTTACTTTGTCATCCCCTACGGCGTACTGTATGACTACATCGGGCCTCTGCCGCTGCTGATCATCGCTGGTGTGACGGGCTTTGTGGGCTGCCTTGGCTTGGGTCTCATCTTCGACGGCAAGATTGCCGGCAACACCGCCACCATCTCCGTCTTCTACGCCTTCATGAACACCTGCAGCGGTCTCTTCGATGCGGCGTCGATTGTCACCCTCGTCGAGCTCTTCCCGCGCAACCGCGGTCCGGTGATTGGCTTGGCCAAGGTGATGACGGGCCTTGGTAGCTCCGTGCTGTCCTCCATCAGTCGCGGCTTCTTCTCCAACAACATCAGCGGCTTCATCTACTTCATCATGGCCCTTACGGTGGCGGTGGCCGTTGCGGCGAGTTTCCTGATCGCTCTGCCGCCCTACTTTGTCAACTGGTGGCGCGGGCGCGGCAAGACGGAGGAGGCGATCGCCGCCCTCACTTCGCTCAAAACGGTCTACGCGGAGAAGTTCGTGCCGATTCGCCGCATCGCCTACGGCTACGTCATCGTGGCCTGCCTCGTTGTCTTCTTCACCATCACCGCCCCGGTGCTGGCCTACACAAAGGTGTCGAACGCCGGCAAGATTGTGATCGGTGTCATCACGGTGGTGCTTTGCCTCGCCTTCTGGGCCATGGCGATGCCCATCCGCTGGTTGGGCGGTGTGAACGAGCCGGCGGAGTCGGGGGACAGCTTCGACGACACTGAACTCATCAACGGTGCGGCGGTGCGCGAGATCGACAACGGCGGTAAGCCGCAGCTGGAGGTGCCCGGCGAGGTGCTCAACGACAGCCGCGAGCCCCTCGACCAGCCTTCCCCAAGCGACAGCCGCCCCGTTGCAGATGCGTCGGAGTTGGAGGCGGCGGTGATTGAGGAAGGCCCGCAGGATCCGCGTTACGGTGGCACGATCTGGCAGACGCTGAGCCGCCCCGACATTTGGCTGCTGCTCGTCGCCTTCGTCTGCCAAGGTGCCCTCGGCACGATTGTCACCTACAATGGCAGCACCATCTACGTCGCCCGCACCGGCCGCTCCCGCTCGGCAGAGCTGGGCTCCCTATACACAGCCTTCATCGGCGTCGGCAGTGCAGTGGGTCGCATTGCCATGGGTCTCTTCGAGGCGTACGTGCAGCACCAGGATCCCGAGAGGCGCAAGGTGCTCGTGACGATCGCACTGCCGGTGGCGCCGATCGTCGCCACCATTGCGGGTGTGCTCATCCTCGTGCTTCCCGGCGATGCTCTTCTCTTTCCTTACATTTTGGTGTACTTCGAGGAGGGCGTGTTCAATGGCGTCCGCGCCCTCATCTTCCCCTGCATCTTCGCCGCCCACCACGGCATTCTGTACAACATGAGCTTCTGCACCAACGTGATTGGCGTGATTTGCTTCAACCGCTTCCTCTTCGGCCTGACCGTCGACTCGCAGCGCGAGAAGATGGGACACACAGTGGCGCAGGGCTGCACGACTCGCGCCTGTGTCCAAACTCCCATCATCGTCGTGACGTGCACGGCGGCGCTGGCGGCGGTGCTGGCAAGCATTGTGCACATTCGCTACAGCCGCTTCGTAGACAAGTGCCGCCGCTTGACGACTGCAACGGCGGGACAGGTGGCGGAGAAGCAGCCAAGCACGTCCGATGAGCCCGTTGCCTGAGGAAACCCAAACTGACAGCGTAGGAAAGAAAGAAAATCTCTCTTGTACGATTTCTGTAGTGTTTGTTTACTTTTCCGCTACCCTGTTCTGCGCGTTCCAGTCTTCACAGTTTCCCTTTTATTGTGCTCCTATTGGACTGTTGCCTCGTTTCTCCAACCAATTCGTTCTGAGGGAAGAAAAAGGAACGTCTTGTCTGGATTTTCCGGCGTACGAATTCGTCGGAATGGGAAAGCAAGGCTACTGAGAGCGACGGCAGGTACGGCACCATAGCCACTACCTTTCTTAAAACTCTTCTTTCCTTTTTTTTGTTTTGATTGGAGTTGCAAACTTTTCTTTTACGCACTACGTTCTCCTGCACCCACCGCTGCCTTCCCCACGATTTGGCGAATGCAACGTAAGCGTCTTGTCTGTCTTGTTGCGAGCGTGGGTAACTGTTTGCTTTGTTCTGTTGTTGACTGCACCACAATCTACGTGCATCCTTTTTTTTTATTGTCTCCCGGGCAAGCTGCTGCCTCTCATTCGTGGAGGTGTGCGCTTTGGCCTTGTGAAGTTTTGGCGAGCGTGTTCGGCTGTTGTGTTTCTTTCTTCTTCTTTTTCCTTGTGCTATTGCGACACGAAACAGTTTATCAGCGTACCGCCGCCGTGGACTTGCGTTTTCGCAGCGCCAGTGCTTCTGTTTCTGTTTCCAACATGAACGACGAACAACTGAAATCACGTTTGCCCTTTTTGCTGTTACTACTATCACCTTCGTTGACGCTAACGTCTTGTGTTTGGAGTTCTTTTTTTTTGCCCCTTTGTTTGTTGGTGGGTGTTTGTTGGTTTGATGTTTTTTAAAACTTGTTTTGCTCATCGCTTTTCCGCTTGAGGACAGTCCTAGTTAAAGCGAGTCTCTACGCTCAGCCTACCATAAGTGCTGGTAAATTTTCTCTGCACCTCGCCTAATTTTGAGGGTGCAGGAAGCGAAACGTATATATATCTATACTGTTAAAAAAAAAAAAACGGAGGTATAACGCTCGCTGAGTTTTAAAACGGCAAAAACTTACCTGTCCTTTTCAACGCGGAATCGTGTTTAACTATTTTCTGAGTATAAGGGTTAACTCTCATTTTCATTTATTATTATTGTCACTTTGTTTAAGTAGCTACCTTTGTTTTCCTTTAATATATATAACAATTTTATTCCAAAGAGCGTGGTTCTTGGACATCCACACACGCGTAGGTGCATCTTTCAAAACCTGCGCACCGTAGGTTACGACTTGCCTCAAAAACAATAGTCACACCATGGGTTGCGTCACAGTCTGCACCTAGCGTTGAGTGAAAGTTCAGTGAGCGAAATATAGATAGATGTTGCGGGTGTGAGGAAGTAAACGCGGAAAAGAAACTTCTTTTATGAACTTCTCTGCTTATATACACGTATACGAACCGCGGAGAAACTATTAACCTGGTCTACTCTCTTTTTGTTCGTTTGTTTCTCTTCCGGGTATCACCGGAAAGCCACATCTACTTGTGGCTCTTAACGTATGGTAGCGTTTGCTTCCTTGAAATTGCTGTTGTACCTTTCATCGAAGTAAAAACGATCAAAAGCCGTCAGAGCTAAACAACAACAACAAGATCATTTCAATTACGTAGGTCCAATTTACACGCCAGCGCAAAACCGGTTTGACGCTCGCGTCTCGTTTTCTATCAGCAAAGTCGCTTCTTCTTTTTGAACCGTCAATAACTGTGTGTGTGTGTCTGGGTCGTCGTCTTGAATCACCTGACACCGAGGCCCATTGGATCAGCAGTGATGACTTTGTTGCAACGGCTGCCGCTATCAAGTGAAAGCAGTTGAGACTGCTTCTCCGATGCGCAAATCCCTCTACCTCGCTCCTCTTTTTCAAATCTTACCTCGTTTCTGCTGCAACATCGCTTCTGTTAAGTCTCCGCAACCTCTCCGTTTTGCTCTACTCTGACAGCGAAAAATAATAATAAAAACGTTATCGATCCTAGATTTCTCTGCTTATATATCTTGTTGTCAATTGTTAGCTCTCATCTCTACGAAGCACAGTCTTTCTTTATTCTTTCGCAGCCGCGTACCTCTTTTCTTTTTCCTAAAGCGCCATGTCCTCCGACACCGTCGTGACCATCCGCCGTGCGCAGCGGGAGGACTGCCAGCGGATGTACGACCTGATCATGGAGCTGGCCGTCTACGAAAAATCGCCCGAATCCGTCATCGTGTCGAAGGAGGAGATGGAGGAGCTCGGCTTTGGTGAGCGTCCCCTCTGGAGCGCATTTGTGGTGGAGGTGCGAGAAGGCGCTGCTGCTCCGCACGTTGTTGGCATGGCTCTTTATTACTATCGCTACTCCACCTGGCGTGGTCGCATGCTGTACTTGGAGGACTTCGTGGTGACCGAGACGCGCCGCGGCGTGGGTGCGGGCAAGATGCTCTTTGACCGTGTCTTGCAGCAGGCAAAGGAGGACGGCTGCCACGGCATGGTCTGGCAGGCGCTGGAGTGGAATGAGCCGGCCATCAACTTCTACAAGAAGTACAGCGCTAAAATTGACTCTGGCTGGGTGAACTGCATGCTCGAGTTCTAACGCGCGCCTTCTCCGTGGTTGGAGCAGTGTTGTATTTTGAGGGGAGGTTGAAACTCCTCCTTCTGCTTCAAATCATAATTAATATTGTTTCTTTTCGAACATAACAGAAAAGCTCCCGCACCGCCGTGCAGCTTCTTCATGTAGCCTAGGGGGGCGGTGGTTAGCGATTGACTTTTCCCTTCGCCTTTTCCAGCTGCCCCGCTACCGTGTTGTAAACTTCATCTTTCCCGTACGTGTCACACTCAAGTCTCCGCAGTGTGCATCGTGGGTTCTTTCCTTGTTTAACCTTGCGTATACTACCATATTTATATATAAATATTAAAAATAGAGAAGAAGCAAGCGCCAAACGAAGGTTTTATCGGGTCTCGCTCTCTTGTTGCTCCTTTGTGCCGGAGTGCATGGAATCACTGTGATTCCGCGGTGCAGCTTGCATCTCGGTGTAGCTGGGTCATATGTGTGACACAGTAGTGAAGTTTGTATTTTGAGCTGCGCTGTGCCCCACGCTGACGCGGTACAACACCCTCATTCTTGTTGCTCCCTTTCCTATTGTAGGTGCATTTTCGCTCGTGCTCTCCTCGTCTTCTCGTTCTCCCTGGTTTACTTTTGAATCCTTTGGCAATTTCCCTCGTGCGTGCGCACGTGATAGAAGAAGAAAACGCGAAACATAACGCTCGTTAGGTTGTGCCGCATATATGCGCTCATAGCACGGCATTAGTATGGTAGTGAAGGCGTGATCGCTTCGATCCTGTTTATTCATTGCCCGTCAGACAAAAAAACAACACGTTTTGTAGTCTTGTGATTTATAATACTGTATCTTCGGGTTGCTTTTCACCCGTGCATCCGTACACGCAAATGCACGTCAGCGCCACCATGAAGTGTTGGCGCGTGCCCGCCGCCACCTCCACGCTCTCGAAAGCGGCGTCCCTCTCGACCGCTCTGCGGACGTGCCAGTTTCAATGCCGTCGTCATCGCCACACCTCCGCCCATCAGCAGTCCAACGTCCCGCCCCCGCTGACGGCGGCACCGCTGCGACGATTCGCAGTCAATCGCAGAGCATCCTCCCGTCAGCCCCCGATCGCGACCACCACCACTTCTCCTTCCTCTCCCGCCCATGCAGCTCACGCGACGACCATGCCGCAGTGGACGGACGTGCTGGCGCTCCGCACCGCTGGCGCACCTCCCTCGCGCGTTGCACTGAGTGAGGCGGCGGCGCTTTGCCTGAGCGTCGAGTCGCCCAAGCGCTACGCGGTCTACCGTCCTTGCGACGGCGACGAGGGCAGCTCCCACCACACCCACGCCGCCCCGCATCACTTTGTGGAACTCCTGCGGCACCTGCGCGCTGCACCAAACCTTTCGATAGAGGCGCGGCGTGTGGCGGGAGTGTTGGTGGATCTGCTGAACAAAGCTCCCCATCCGCGTCACCCCGGGCCCTGGGATGTCACTCAGCAGGAGGTGCGGGACATCAAGGCAGCCGCCGTTGCACACGTCATGGAAGGCCTTAACGGGAGCGATGACGCTCTGTCGTGGCTTGCCAAGCTGCTCGGCCTCTCCGACACGTTTGCCGAGGTCGACGCCGTCTCCCGTGCGAGCACGCAGCCGGCAGCGCTGGTGAAGATGGCCGTGATGGAGCGCATCGAGTCCCGCGACGCGGCAACGATGACGCGCCGCGTTCACGCGGAAGATCCCGATGGGGATTGGCTCCTTGCGTGCTCGCCCACCATCCTCGGCGCCACCGCAGCCGCCATGTTGCGCAGCACTGATGACGGCGTGAAGGCCACCGCGCTGGAGCTCCTGGAAGCCGCCGCCCTTTCTCGCCTAACGCGCGGCTCCCCGACCTCCTCCTCCCCTCTGGTCACGAGTGGCTTGCGGGCCTCCGCAGCGGGACTGTCGGGAGGGGCTGTGCTCTTCAATGAGGCGGTGGCGGTGCACTGCGCCGAGGTCGCTGCCGTGCGCGGGGACGTGGAGACGGTGACTCGACTCATCTTTCTCCTCTACCGTGCACGTGGTGCATTGGGCTTCGCCACCTTCGCGGAGCATCGACAGCAACGGCGAGCCAGCAGAGGCAGCCACGACAGCGCGCAGCGGTGGGGCGTCGGTGTCCTTCTCCCCCGCACACCGGCGTGGGTGCGCTCTAAATGGTGGGGCGGCGCCTCGCTCTTTCGCGAGACGGACGTCGCGGGCGGCGACGACGCGGACGCGCGCTTTGAGCAGGCGGTGGTGCGGCTTCTCAAGAGTGTCATGCACGCCGCTCTGTACCATCCCCAGAGCAGCGGCGATCCGGTCGAGAGCAGCATCGAAGAGGCCCTGTCGCTGTGGGATGGCTTGCGCGGTGGCACGAGCTGGTCCGGATTGGCTGCGATGGGGACAGAGTTCCTGACGTATCTGGTCGACCAGCACGCACGCATAACTGCAGCAGTGAGGGAGGGGAAAAACGGTCCTGCAACAGACACGCGGCTGCAACAAGCCGGGCTGCACGTGTACACCCAGCTTTGTCGTGCCGCCACACCACGCCACCGCACAAGCGCGCAGCAGGAAGTTCTGTATCACTGCGTTGCGTTGATGATGCGCCTCTTCTCGATCCATACGGCGACCCGTCTAGAAAGCAGTAGCGCATCGTTCTCGTTGACCTCCGTTGCGGTCCCGACAGTGTTGACCACCACCGCTGCCGAACACGTCCTTCGTCTGTTTGACCACGTAAGCGATGCCGCCCAGCAGGATGCTTTACTACCATACGCTCTTGCGGCGTCCCTCACTCTCCTCTCGACCGCTGCCACACTCAAAACCTATCGGCCTCCTGCCGCACTCTTCCGTGGTCTCGCCAGGTATTTTTCTGAGGTGCAGTCGCTTCACTTTTACTGCGTTGCTTCCGGCGATGCGGCGCAGGCTTCGCCGCATGTCGCCGTCTGTGGCAGCCAAATACTGCTGCATGTGTTTTTGCTTTCCAACGTCCCTCTTGGCACGTGGGCACGCGAGGACGGGGAGCTCGCGTCGTTTGTTCAGCGGCTCCGCGGCTTAGACGGCGTGGAAGAAGGCGGCAGCGGGCAGTATCGCGACGGGCAAGGTGCACAGCTACCCGCGCTGCTGCGTGTGTCCGGTCACCAGCAGCGGCAGCTTTTGTGGTCACTGCTGATGACACTCAAGCGACGTGACGCGCATTGGTGCGGTGCCGCGCTGAATCTGTTTGCCAGCCCGGCGTCCTCGACGGCTGCTTTCGCGGCCGCCGATGCCGCCCTTCACTGCCCGGCCCTCCCCTCTGCAGAACTGCACACCGTCATGTCGCTGCTCTACGAGTGTGGCAACACCGACGACCCCGTGCATGCCAGCGAAACGCTGGACTCTGTGGTGAGTTCCTGTGCCCAGATGCCTCTCCACACTCTCACGTTGGGTGCTCTCACCGAGCAGCTGCAGCGGAAGTCAGGCATGGATACCAAAGGCTCTGTGCTCGTTCTCACAAAAGCCAGTCTGCGTGCCATCGTGCAGCGGCGTGCGTCCGCAGAAGAAAGTGCAGTCAACGACCAGTTGGAAGGATTGGTGCACCTCCTTCAGCCGCTGCTGCGGGAGTCTGCAACACACGCTGCGCCGTCGTTTGTATTGATCGTTCTCACTCCTGCGTGCCTCATGGAGCTGCAGCGTTTGCGCATGCACGACAAGGACGAATCGCGGTGTGGCAATGCCGACGTCGTCACGGCGCTGCACGGGGCACTCTCAGGAAATACGGTGCAAAAGCATTACCAAGTCGCGGTCGCCGGCTCCTGGCCCCTCCTACCGTCTATGGCGGTGGCCCTTCGTCAGCACGGCGACCTCCGCGCTGCGGCGGATGGGCTGCGTGAAACCGCTGCAGCGGCGCGCCACCTCAAGCAAGCTTTTCCAAAAGAGTCGTGTCCTGCGGTGTGCTTGTGGGCGGAAGAAGAGACCGCACCGTCCGCACCAAACTCCCTTTCTGCGGTTCGGGTGAGTCTGCTGCAGCACTACGGCGCACGTGAGGTGAGCACGCACCGCGCCCACATGGAAAGAGCGAAGAGTGACATCTTCTCTCTCCTTCGCAGCGGTTCTTCTGCAAACTCGCGCCAATCAGACTTACGCGTGTCTGCCGAGGCGAATGCTGCGCGCCGCGTACGCAACAAGTCGTTGCTCCGCGCCGTGTCTCCAAGGCGAAGAGGCCAGCGGATGCTGTGAAGCTATCTCTGAGGGTGGCGTTGCTCCTCTTTTTTTTTCCTTTTCTTTTTCCCCACGACGCTTCGTCGGCAGCTAGCATAAAAAGAAACGACCCCCCCAAAAAAAAAAATGGAGACCAACCTCATCTTCTCTTTCCTACTGACGGCATCCCTGCAAAGTGCACACGATGTCAAGCCCGCACTCACTGGGGTGCCTTTGCCACAGCCACGCGCGGTCTCTGCGGTGGTGTCTCGATTCACGGAACTATGACCGGTGCCCTTTACTCGTCACGTTCTTTCCCTCTGCCCAATAGGCTTCAACATTTGACATTTTGCCTTTAACGTGTTTTTCCCATTTACCCATATTCCCCGTGACCATATCGAATTCACTCGCAAAGAAAGGAAACATGAAAGCCGTCATTCAACGCGTGCTCAGCGGCGCCGTGACCTCGGAAGGTGAGGTGGTCGGCTCCATCCAGAAGGGAATGGTCGTTCTCGTCGGGATGGCGCGTGACGACACTGCGGAGGATATGGAGTACATACACCGTAAAATTGTCGGCGTTCGGCTGTGGAGCAATGCTGATGGTACCAAAATGTGGTGCCGCAACGTGAGGGAAATCGATGGCAGCGTGCTGTTGGTTTCGCAGTTCACCTTGATGCACGTCATGAAGGGCAACAAACCTGATTTCCACCACGCCATGCCATCAGAGGAAGCGCTCGTCATGTGCAACACGCTGCGCGACAAGCTGCGCGCCGACCTCGGTGCTGAAAGGGTCGCAACTGGGAAGTTCCAGCATTACATGAACGTCCAGCTGGTCAACGATGGCCCGGTCACTCTCGTATTGGATAGCCGCAACAAAGGGTGAGAGGCGCATGGATTCTGTTTCTCAAGAAAAAGTGCTTCTACGTTCCACTAAAGAAAACCAAAAGATATGTTTTTCTTTTACCTTCGGGGCCTTTTTTGCTCAAGAGCTGTTTTCAGCAATAATCATCTGTGATGTAACAGCAAATGCACAGCTCTAAATGCCATTCTTCGAGCAGACACGACCTTTTCTCTTAATTGGCAGGCCTTCAGCGATCGAGACGTTGACAACGGTACCGCCGTCTTTTCGTTTTCAAAACTGTTCTTCTACTTTCCTTTCTCTTTTCCTCTCTTCAGTAACAACTTCAGCCTTTATGTTTTCCCTTTTCTTCAAGGGAAAGAAACACAGCAAATAAAAGCGGAGTTACGTTAAACTTCAGAAGCCTACGAAAGAAAAAAAAACGCGCGACAGACCCCAGAAACCCATTCGACGCCACTCCAAAGCAAGAGAAAAAACACCAGGTCTACGATTGGAGGTAAACTTGGAACCAGATATGCTTTCGAGTGAAGCATGCGTTTCTTCCTATAGAATTCACACTCGCCAAAAAAAAAAGAAGAGGCCAATAATTGGTACCAAAACTGGAGACAAATAAAAAGGAGAAGGATTGGTTCTATGTGATGATGGCTCCTGCTTCGCTGGCTCCTTCCAGACTCCAACATATTCGTCGCAACTGCCTTGTTTGTTTCCAGTGGCAAGACTTGCTACCACCAGTGACGGAATCAGAGGCAAGCTGGTGTGCGGGAACAGAAATCAAGACTCAGGTAATTAGTAGAAAACAATAAGAAAAGAGGAGGTCGCAATCACCGCGATTACATTCGGTTAGAACAAGCGCTATGCCTTTAGAGAAAACTAGGAAGAAGAAAGCAAAGCAGAAGGGAAAGAGTATGACGCTGTCGCCGCCTTTCATTGGGGAATTAAGGTGATCATTCCAATTTAAATAGGGGAAAGAGAATTAACACGGATAACTAAATGATGAAGAGGTATTGCAACAAGGAGAACGGAGGGATAGGTATACAACAAAGGGCTCCCTCAAAAGTCGGTGCGACCTCAACTTGGTAACAGTGCGCAGCCCCCGACCCATTCGCAAAACCAAAACGGCGGGTTTCCGTGCGGCGGGGCGGTGTGGCTGGCCCAGGAAGGGGGGGGGGGGAACCCAACCCGACACCCCAGCCGCGCCGGGGCGCAGCCCCGCCGGCGATTCCGACCCGCCCCGCGTGACTTTTGAAACCTAAAAGGAAGGTCGTGAGAGAACGTGCAAAGGCAGAGGCGCAAAACGTCGTTGCTCCTTCGCGACGTGAACAGACGAAAAGGGAACCCTCCGGCGTGTTTCAATCTGGAGGCGCAAAGTGGTGCCTTCAGAGAGTTGCAATCGCTTTTGAGATCTTGGGCGTTAATATTCTTTGAAGAAAAAGGACGCGTGGAAAAGCGCTTGACACAAGGTTGAACTCTTAAGAAGGCATTGCTGCAGAGAACGAAAGGATGAGAAGGCTTTTTCACGTGAGAGTCTGTGTGATATGGACGAACCATCTTGTATGCGTACGAGAACATCAGTTTACACAAGAAACAAATGGCGCACCTTGGAATTATTGCTGGATCAAAAAGAGTTCTTTGTGTTGGCAAAAAGCGAGACTCTTCTTTCTCACTTGTTGTCTGAGAAAGTAACAATTCTCATGCTTCCCAGCTAGTGGTGCGTGGAGATCGGGTGGTGCATCACAAGAAACGGATTCCTTTCCTGCTTCAAGGCTGCCAAGGGTGAAGAAAGCGGCGAGAAAGCAGCGGCATCAAGGACGGAGTTTCGAAAGAAAGGAGCACTCTCAATGACAAGCTAAGCTGGAAGACAAATCTCTTTTTGCCTCAAAGCCCGCTGTAGCTTTCAGCTCGTGCTTCCTACAACTGTAGACATCTTTGGAGATCAGTCGTTGACTGCTTGAGGTTCTCTTAGGGTGTTGCGTACCACCGGAAACTGTATAGCGCACACAGAAACAGTGCCAAAGAGAGAAGCAGGTAGAATTAGTAGTTTTCGTAACTGAAAGCGCTTTTTGCTGCACGAGTAGCTTTGTCCTTCTGTTCTTTTCTTTCCAACGTGAGAAACCTGAAAGAAATTTTAAAAAAAGATGGCTTTTTTTGCAGGTCGCAAGGCACTACAATCAGAGTTTCCCTTTATTTTTCTTCCTCCCTTTCTTCTTTTTAGGTTCTGCCATACTGCAAGGAAGAGAAGCGTTCATTTAAGTCGGCAAGCTCGAAAACCCTGAGCGAAAAAGAAATATCGATAATTGTGTCCTCAGTTTTGAGTTTAACAGTGTGTAGTTTTTTCTTGCGTTCCCAAGAATATGCGGTTCGCAACCTCGCTGATGCTGCTGTTGGACTGTTTTTTCTCGGTCTGTGTGCCACCAGTTAAACGAATTCAGGAAACTTCTATCAGCTCGGCACATCCAGCTGTCCTATCTTCCTTTTTCAAAAAACGCAAAAGCGACTTTTTTTTCCTTTGCGGATCTTTGGTATTTCCTGCTTCTTTCTACTTTCTCTATGTCCTTTTTCCCTCTTTGTTTCGTTCTGTCCTTTCGTCAACTCTTTCGCGTAAATGAAGCTGTACACGTTACTCCTTGTTACTTTCGTACAAGGTACACATCGATAATATATATACATATATATTTGTTTATACTGGGAATCATGTACACTCCCACACGGGATGATTTAGTGAGCGTGATCAAACTTCTTCACAACAATGGGGTGGAAGTTTCCAACTCGAAAGCAGCGTACGCAGAGCTCAAACAATACGAAACAAACCCGTCTTTTTGTGTCTTGCTGTCTGTTGTTTTTGGCGCAGATGTAAATCCGGTTGCCGACTTGGCGCTGCCTGTGGATTGGGGACAGTATCGCCAGCTCGCAGGAATTACATTGAAAAACAATTTGGCTGCTGCCCGCCATGCGCTGGGAGAAGACGCTGTCAAAGAAGCAGCACGCCACGGGCTACAAACACTGAAAAATCCACCAGACGCTAGGCTTTCTCGCACAGCCGCGCAGATTGTGGTTAAAGTGATTGCTCTGACCTCCTTCGAATGGTGGACGAGCAGCGGGCTTGGCGACCTGCCCAGCATACTACTGAATGAGCTGCTTCCTGCAGACGACCTGAAAACGCTTTCGGCTCTTTATTGCCTCCAATACCTGATGGAAGATCTACCCAAGAAAATAGGCGCATCCAGTGAGCATATTATCGTGAAGGTTTCGCAGCTGGTCCTTGCTTCCAACACCCCGCTGGCGACCCGCAAAGCTGGCTTTCGCATGTGCTTCAATATTTACGAACAGGCATCCTTGCTTGACTGGAACGTGGACACTTTCTCTCCGCTGCAGGAAGGACTCTCAAAGGCTAGCTACTTTTTCGCCAACGTATGCACCTCGTTGCTGGAGAGTTCATGCGGAGGTGATTCAGCGTTTATGATCCTTGTCTTGCGTTCGTGTGTGTTTTTACTGGACTACTTCGACTACTTTTCCCAAATCACTCCACAAGACAACCAGCGTTACGTCACCTTTTGGATCAACAACTCCGTGCAAATTATTTGCAACAGTCAGAACGGAGGCGATGGGAACCACGAACTGATTGCCGCTGCAATTGATGTAATTTCCACAGTAGTCGATTTGTATGATCGCAACGGCGGAGAAACGGTTCTCCGCTTTTTGGTCGCCGACATTCCTTCCTTGATACCAACGCTGGTGCCGGCGCTTGTCCAGCATTCACTCTTGTCAAGTGAGGAAATCACAAACATTATGGACTCGGACGACTACCGTATTCGCGACACCACCGCAGTCAGTTTTACCGTAAAAGGCGGAACGAAAGATATCTCACAAGATGACATGCTGGATGATGATGCTGCGGCCATGACTCTTCGCAGCTCTGCATTGAAGTGCGTTGACGTGCTCAGCTCGTTTTCGAGCGACGCAACTTTCAAGAGTTTAATCGCGCGAATTCAAGCGCTGTGGAACAGCAACGACTGGCGCGCACGGGAGGCCGGTATCGTCCTCATTGGAACTATCGCAAACGGGTGCGCCTTTGAGCTTCGAGGTGTTCTCCAGTCGTTAGTGTCACAATTGATTGAGTTTATTAAGAATCCATCGGAGCACGTTTGTGTTGTCAGTATCGCGGAGTGGTCACTCTCACGTCTGAGCGACGGCATAGTCGCGTCGTTTCCGGACGCGATGAATACAGTTATCCCTCTTCTCAGCTCCAGATTGCAGAGCACGAGCAAGCGTGTTCAAATCACAACTGTCAGCGCCTTGAACACTATTCACTCCGCGTTGGGAAATTATGGACAATTAGAGCTGCTAAGGCCGCATTTGTCGGGATTGTTAGAGTCGATATGCAGCTGCCTCCCTGTGTACTCGACAAACAACCTGGCCGTGCTGGTAGATCTCTTGGGCAAGCTCATCCTTTTCCTCGACGATGCTGCAGCCGCGGAACGGCTCTCGGGAGTGCTTCAGGCAGAAAGACAAAACCGTGCAGCACAATTTGAGAAGTCGTACATCGCCTTATATGTCAGCGGAGAACCGAACGTTCTCTTGAACAAGGACATTTTCTCTCTCGACCGCGCCACAATTGCCTTCTTAGCTGCACATCCGAATAACGAGCTGGCTACGTTGAATCTGACGACCTGGAATGGGGTACTAGGAGATATTATGAGCCGAAATGTGACAGACGACGCCGACCTCATCTTCAATACTCTGTTAATTTGCGGTGCGTATATCACGTCAGTGTCGACGTCAGCTCTTGCACAGTGGGTGAAAACGACTTCGTGGGCCCTTCCCACGACTGCGATGCATTTCCTAAACGGCACTGAGGTTTACGAGATCAAAGCAGCGGCCGTTACGCTTCTCAGCGCTTTAATCCAAGTGCTTGGCCCAGATGCGTTGCCTCCCGGTGCGCACGATACTCTTCTCAACAAGGCTGCTCAGGAGCTAGGAGAGGCCGAGGATCCGCAGTGGAAAGAAATCAGTGTCCGATTGATTACGCTCATCACATCCAAGTATCCTGGAGAGCTTTCGACTGCGGCGCGAGGTGCGTTGGGAGCTGCAAATGGCGCATTGAGGAGCGACGTGTTTGGCGAGTCGGCGCATTACTTTGGGCGGATGGCGTTCGACTTGTGCTACGTGTTGGATACGTTGCCGGGTTTTGTCGCGTACCTCCGAATCGACACTATCGCGCAGTTGATGGCGGCAACGGAAAATTCTCAGGAAAAGTCCGACGCCACGATTCACCTCTTCCGCGCACTCGTGCAGACTCCTCCGGAGGTGTTCCGCAACTATTTGCCCGCAGTGATCAAGGTCGTGTACAGCTGGCAGCAGGCTGCCTCCAATTATCCTGAAACGCGGGAGACAATTCAGCTGTTTTTCCGTCGGGCGAACGAGGTGTGTCCGGATCTTCTCCAGTCGATTCTCCAGAGCCTTCCAGGAACTTTTGGCAATATGATTGTATCGTTTTACCAATAACACTAATTAAACATCTGCGTCTGGTTGGGTTAAAACAGTATTGGCAGTCCTTTTGTTGTTGACGTCATCAAAAAAGAATTAAAAAAGCTGAAGTGTTGTTGAGCAAGGTGGCTTTGTTTTCTCACGGCCGACAAAGGGTTATTTGATTTCCTTTCTTTGCGTCTGTGCAGATTTTCAGCTGCAGCGACACATCTCCTTCCATTGACCTTTGTGGATAACTACAACACATTCACTGAAACGAATGAATGAACCACGTGGACACGATGGCCGAAGCTCTTTAAACGACCTTATAAATTAGCTGTTTTATATTTCTTCTTCACTGCCGATATTTTCCCTTTTGATCTTGCCTGCTCGCGTGCTCTTCTTTTTTTTCTGTGGAAATTTCATCAGTATGTTGCTTTACACCCCCTTTTCCTGTTTCACGTACGATAAGAACTAGTATATTGCGCTTCACTATGCGTCGCTATCTGGGTGCTGTGCAGCTGACCGTCAACCGGCGCACAACGGTTGTGAGGTTTAAGCCGCGGCTTTTCTCACAGCGGCAGGTTACGGTTGTTCTGTCCCCAGAGCTCTTGCAGAAACGTTCCTACTACACCAACAACGGGACGTACCCACCACCACCTCCGCCTCCGCAGTCGTATTACCAACAGCCGCAATGGACTCCGTACAACGGAGGCTATCAGGCACCACCGCCGCCGCTGCATCAAGGCGGCGGCATGCCATACGGACAACCGGAAACGCCCTTCCTCGGCGATTTAGGAACCAAGGAGCGACCTGTGGTCGTGGTGTCTGCTCCGCAGAAGGCATCGTGGGCCACCCGTTTTTGGATGTTTCTGCTTTTAGGAATTGGAGTGAGCTGCTTCCTTAGCCTCATCGATGAATTCAGCGGCCGTTTTCAGGAAGGCGCACCTGCGGCCAAGACGGGCTTTTCGCGGGGAGGGCTTTCCGGCATGTTTGGGGTCGCGGAGGTGAAGCCGGTTGATCTCAACAACTTGGAAGTGACGTTTGACAGCATCCGCGGCTGCGATGAGGCCAAGAAGGAGCTAGAAGAGATCGTGGAGTTTCTGAAGGACCCCGAGAAGTTTCACAATTTGGGCGGACGACTGCCGAAGGGAGCGTTGCTTGCCGGTCCGCCAGGATGTGGAAAGACGATGCTTGCCAAAGCCATCGCCAAGGAAGCTGGAGTGAGCTTTTTCTACGCTACTGGCAGTGAGTTCGATGAAATGTTTGTTGGTGTCGGTGCGCGTCGAGTGCGTGATCTGTTTGCCGCGGCAAAGGCAAACTCACCCGCTCTCATTTTCATCGACGAAATCGATGCACTGGGCGGACGACGCTCGCGCACCGACCAGGGAACGTCACGTATGACGCTGAACCAGCTTCTGGCAGAAATGGACGGCTTCGACTCGGACGAGACAGTGATTGTGCTGGCCGCGACCAACACCCCTGAATCTCTGGACAAGGCCCTCATGCGCCCGGGACGTTTGGATACCACCATCACCGTTGATCCACCCGATATGAAGGGACGCGCTGAGGTCCTGCAGATCTATCTCGACAAGATTAAGGCAGACAACACTGTGAACGCGATGGATATCGCGCGTGGCACTACCGGCTTTACAGGCGCTGAGCTCAGTAACTTGGTTAACCTCGCTGCCATTCGTGCGGCGGTGCTCAACAAGCTGAAGGTGACGTCGGAAGAGATCGAGTACGCGAAGGATCGCGTCATGATGGGTGCCGAGAGCAAGAAGATTATTCCAGAGGAGGAGCGCCGGGTAACCGCGTTTCACGAAGGCGGGCACGCGCTCAGCGCGATCTTGCTCAAGGACGACGGGGCGGATCCGGTTCACAAGGCCACAATCGTTCCTCGCGGAAATGGAATCATGGGACTCGTGCAGCAGCAACCGGAGAAGGACAAGTACAGCCAGAGCAAGCGCCAGTGTCTGGCTCGCCTAAAGGTGTGCTTAGCTGGCCGCGTTGGCGAGGAGCTGCTCCTCGGCCCCGAGGACATCACCACCGGTGCCGGGTCTGACTTCCAGCAGGCGACGAACATGGCACGCCACATGGTCCGTCAGTTTGGCTTCAGCGACACCTTGGGATTTGTGGACTACGGCACGGCCGATTCCGCTGAGGGCGCGTACATGTCCGACGAGACCAAACTCAAGATCGAAAAGGAGGTCCACCGCCTTGTCGAACAGGCCTACGTTGAGACCAAGGAAATGCTCCTCAAACACCGACCTGAGTTGGAGAAGATTGCGGAAAATCTGCTGAAGTACGAAACGCTCACTGGCAACGATCTCGAAAAAATTCTGCACGGTGAAACCCTTCCAGAGCGCCCGCCGCGCTTCTCTGCTGCCAGCGACAATAAGCTTAGCTTTCCGTCGCGTGGCGGAAACATCGATACGAAGGATGGTCACCGAACGGTACCCATCTCATGAGTCAGAGGCTTACCACACCAATTTCTTATTGCTACGTGACGCTCTAGAAGTTACTCTGGAGGTCATCCCCTATTCATTTTCGTGCCAGATCTGGCACTCACATTTTTATCACAGAACCGAAACGGCTTTTCGTAATTTGGAGAAGATCCTTACCTTGTGCTCTCGTTTTCACCTGTAAAGAACTTTGGTTTCTTTTCTTCTCACACATTTTGCGTTGCTTTGTTTCCTCCCCCATTTTCAACCATTTCGACATGCGCACTCACCAGCACTGCCGAAGCGTGGCCTTTTTATCTTTTCCCGTTATTGCTTTTTCGACTCTTTTGAACCGTTTCCTTTGTTCTTTACCACTCTTCTTGTATTTTAAAAAGGTCTCGTTTTCTCTCCTTGACGTACGTTTTCGCTCTTTTTTGTTGTTGCTAGAACCAACCAAAATGGTCTGTTTACCTCCCTGCAGAAGATTCAAAGGAATTTAACGTCGACTGTAAAACGCAGTTAGAGGCTGAAAATGAAGGGAAGAAAAGAGCGGAGGGGTTTTATAGGTGAAGGTTGTCAATTGGTGCCGATACACAAACACCAATCGTAAGTTGGAATGCGCTCTCTGCGTTCATTGTCGTAGTTTGTTTTTACTTTTTTCTTCGTCTCGAAAGCTTGGATGCGCGATTGTGAGAACAACACCGCGGCAAATTCCGCTGGAAAAGCTAAGCAAGAAAAGGGTGCAAAACGGTAACTGAGCTTTCTATGTTTTTATTGTGTTTCTCTATTTACAGTTGTGTAGACGAAATCGTTTAAAAAAAAAAGAACTGAAAGAGACTCCTCTAAAAAGCAACAGGCTCTTTCCGCAGAGTTTCTCGCGAAACCACATTGTGGAAAATTCGGACGTTTGACATTGCTCCGCCGAGCGACAAAAAGGTTGGGGCTGTTTAGTGCCTTTCTGAAAATACATTTCCTCTTTTCCAGGTGGACACATTCCGTTACAAGAGTATAAAGGTGTTCTCACCACTTGAGCAGCTTCATAATGAAAGAAAAGACCGCGAATTGCTCCACAGGTAAGGGTTCTAGCTCCCGAAGCCAAACAGGCAAAGCCAGGTCTTCTTGCCACCTACATTCACTTCTCTTACTTGCACTCCCTCCTTCTCGCTTCTCTCTTTTTCTGGAGTCTGCGTGCCAAAGAAACTTAGTAGACTTAAGTCGAATAGTCCTGCGGAGCCTCTCTTTTTGCTCCCGTCTGCAACGCTTCGTGAGATTGTGTAACGCGCAAAATAAAAAAATGATGCGAACAGGGCGTTTTGGGAGGTCAGCGCGATGTTTGTCAACCTCGTTTAGGGAATGCGGTGTGACTGTAGCGCAATGGAATGCGCAACGCCATCAAACGCAGAACTCGCTCGGCAGTTCCCGCGACCGCCAGCGGGGGCAGCCGAACGCTGACCCTAACACAGGATCACAAATGTCGGTGATAGAGTCGCCGGATCTTACGCCACACATCCAGTTTGGCTTAAACAACCTTGAACACGTGAAACTACCGCACATGTCAAACGAGGCCCGGCGCCGCAGCGACATTGACAAGGAGCGAGACATGCGTGAAAGGTTCGGCGAGTACGGCCCCGGAGAGCGTCTCACAAAGAGTTCTCAGCAAACGAGGCGCGATATGTTGGAAGAGCAGCAGGACGTGGATGGCCTACCGTGGGAGGTGCGGTGGCGAAAGTCACTTATCCCCACTTCGGAGGAAGTAGTTCAGGACATTCGCGATCGCTTCGACTTGTACATTCAAGACCCGATTGAGCGGGAGCAAGAGTGGTACCTGCATTGGAAAGATCGCTCCTTCAAGATCCAAAAGGATCGCATGATCTGGCCGCAAGGGTACACAGATTACCTGGACCACTACGACGAGAACGGCCGCCGGCGCGTTCTGCCGACTGATCAGCGTTGGTCGGACTCGTCGTGGAAGCACCTCGCGGATACGCGCTACAAAGATCGGATGTGGCTCATCGAAGGGGAGGAGCGCAAGGCGGTGCATCAAAGCCTGCAGACGGATCGCACGTTAATGGAAGAAGAGGAGCAGCGGCAGTCCGAGATGGGTGACGTGTACCACGGAATCATCTCCGGCGTGGTGGACCTTGATCCAGAGCAGACGTATCAGGCGCTCTCCGGCACCGCAGATCCCCTCGAGGTGGCCAAGACAAAGATGAAACTGCAAGCATACGGCGCAGGACAGGCGCTTTCGGCTGGCAAGAGGGAGCTGGATCCGTCCAAAATTGACCCTATTTCCGGTTTTCCCAAAGCGGACATGGAACCTCTAGCGAGTGGCATCACCGTTGAACAAGGCGCGGCAATCGCCACGCAGGCCAACATCCAGTACGAAATGCTTGAGCAAGGGGCGGAGGCGTCGCGGCAAGCAGGCCACGATCCTGTGGTTGCGCTCATGAAAGCGCATCATAACACATCCAAGCAGTACGGTGACCGCCCTATCCTTCGCACGCAAGTGGAGGCAAACATACAGAAGGTGAAGCAGTTGGAAGCCGAGCGCAAAACACTGGAGGGCGGAGACGTTTCCCGGCTCCTGACGGACGCTGAGAAGACGGTGGCGCAGATTGAGAAATCTCTTCTGGCGAACCCCACCGCGGAGGCACAGGTCGCTGCAAAAAACAGTTTTGCGGCCGTGGCGAACCAGGAAGCAGCGGCGGCGACGGTGATGGGGGCAAAGAAGCCGTTCGAGGAAGGCTTTATTCACGTTACTGAACGCCCACCGAATGTGGAGCCAGACGTGCCAAACGAGCTTTACCGTGTCCCACAGAACAAGGAGCTTAATGAAATGCCGAAGTGGTACCGCGAAACTCTTGTCGAGACGGAGCCGCTCATTCGCGAGTACGACATGGTGCACGACCCTCTAGAAAAGAAGCAGCCGGAGAAGGAGTACTACGTGCCGCCGCCGCTGCATGACAGTGAGCGCGTCACGCTAGACAATGCACCGTCCGGCGCGTCTGCTTTTGACGAGATCAAGATGCACAAGCTGAGGTCGCTGCCGGAGCTGGTTACGGGTTACAAGCCGCTCCCGCTCTTTCGTGAGGTAGCAAAAGACGGCTCTATCGAGTCTGCCGCAAAAGCCCAGGAAGAGGAGGTAAACGCACACAAGTACGTCGACAAGAATGGAAAGCCTCTCAAGAAGTCCGAGCGTCTGCGGTTGGAGCGCCAGGAGCGACTTCGAAAGTCGAAGTTGACGTACGACAGTGACGTTCTGCTCCCTACCCTCCCCTGGGAAACGGACTCGATTGTCGACCCGTATCGTGGTGTGGAGGCCACGGACGCGGTGGACTTCAACAAGGCAGACCTTGAAAAGACGTGGCGCGCCTACCGCGAGGCTTTCCAGCAGGCACTTACGGAGTTTGGCAACCTGACGCAGGTGACGAGCGAGGACAAGTGCGAGAAGATGCTTTTCGACACAATGGAGAGATTCCGCACCGGCGCCGTCGGCGACCACCCGGAGGTCCCTGAGGAGCAGGTGGAGGTTTTCCGCCTGATATTCGAGGCGCACACAAAGCACTTCCTCGCGGATTTTTACAAATTCAAAGGAAATCGGACAACGGAGGCGAACACGGTGAAGGCGGAAGCAGACGAGATTCTCCGCCGCGCCTCCGCAAAGAGTAAGCTGCTGGGCCGGAATTTTATGAACTTTGTGCAGGAAATGACTTCCCTGGAGCTGGATACAATCCGCAAGAACCCTGTCCAGCGTTACTCCGTGATGGTGCGTGACCGCAAGTATGAGCCGCTCTCCAAGCCTTTTATGAAATGGATCAAAAACGAGCTGGGCGAATTCATCATCACGGACTTCCAGAGCCTGGAGCAGCTGGAGACGCACAAGGAGTTTCTGTTCCGCCACCTGAATGAAGCCCGCGTGAAGTGCCCTGCTCGAGTCGAGGGCATCCGCGATTCGGCGCACGACGCCGCGGTGGAAGCGTTCTACCAGTGGTGCCGCGGCGCCTTGTCCTTCTACGCCGGCAAGCATCTTCAGCGCATGTACATCGACTTCGCTGACACCCGCTTCCGCTCGCGGGCAGAGGAGCTCTTCGAGGACTCGATCGAGCTTTTTGCCAACTACGGCAAGGCAGGTAAAGACATCGTGCAGATCCCTGTTCCCGACGCTGAACCGCCGTACGAGTACGAAGAGAAGGAGTTCCTTGATGGCGAGAGCGCCGTCTTTGCAGAAGTCAGCGGGCACTTGGACAAGGCGGAAGCGCTCTGGCACTCCGGCACAACCAAACGCTGGTACCCAATGACAGACGAGACGGAGTACATGTGGTTCAACGAGCGTCGCGGCCGCCTCACACTCGCCACGGACATCTCCGACCGCTGCTTGGAGAACGTGAACAAAAAGACGCACCCCTCCATCCACCCCTTTCCGGAGCGCGCGCGTGTTTTCCTCGAAGGGGCGCCACTTACCCAAGAGACGGCGGAGCACCTGTGGCTGCGCTATATGGGCGACCTGTACTGGGAGCACTCCGAGTTCATGCATCGCCAGGGACGATTCCAAACAGGCCGGTCGTACAGGGAAAAGTGTCTGAACTTGTACCACCTGGCCGTGCGCACCGCGCATGAGCGCCTCCCCGCGTCGTGGAAAGCCCCGCTGCTCACCGAGGCCAAGTACATGCTCCGCGTTTACGAGCCAAGCAAACACGCGGAGCGCCACCTCCAAGATGTGGAGACGGTGGTAAATAAGCTATTCGAGGAGGGCGAGCCGCGCCACTGGATCGAGCCGTTCAGCGAGCTGCCGTATCGTCTCGCCGTGGTGCATGCCAATCTGGCTGCGTACGGTGAAGTGATCACCAAGGAGGTGAACCGTCGTTTGGGGTGGAAGCCACCGAACGAGCTTCTCTTGAAGAACATGGAGCAGCGTGCACGCGGCGGGGCGGTGCTGCCAGAGCTGGTGCCCTACTTCAACACGGTGAACGAGGTCGCCGAGGTGGTTTTTCGCCGCAAGATCCTGCGATGGCGTGCAAACGAGCACGAAGGATCGGATCCGTTCCTGTTTTGGACTCACCTGTACTTCGCTTTTCGCGTCTACCCGCAGAACCGCGATGAGGTGCAGCGGATGTGGGACATGTACGAGCCCGCATACTTGTACATCTACACACAGTGCGCGTTGGCATCGCGGGTGCGTGGGCACCGCCTCATCAACGACGCCCTGCGCCGCATGTGCCAAATTCTGCTCTCCGGTGACGCGGAGCAGAAGGCGGTGCTGCTGAAGGAGCTAACGAAGGTGCGGGAAAAGATGGCGCATATTATTGACCGCAGGGAGCTCGACCGCACCATCAACGCTCTAGAGGCGCACCTCGAGAATCCGTCGCAGCAGGCGTACACCTATGGAACTGCTCTACTTTACAAGGAAACCGTAAGGCACGAGAAAGTGGCGCGCAACCCGCTGCTTCGGACTCAGATGGCTGCGAAGGACTACGCCGACCTCCGAAAACGGCAGCAGGAACTCCGCGCAAATGGAGCGACGTTGAATCCACAGCAGGCGGCACAACTGCAGGACCAACAGGGCGCTGCAGAGGATGAGCCGATTGGCTCTCAAGCCAACCCGAGCACAAAGGACATGTTTGCGCAGCGGTAGCCGGCATGGGTCTTCCTTTACTCAAGGGTGTCATTCACAGTAAAACGGTCGTCATGATAGTTTCTGTAATGTCTGTTATGAATTCTCCGTTGCAGGAACTCGCTGCAGCGCGTTTTTGTTCTACGTGGATGAGAATCCATGTTACGCTGAGGGCGCTTTTAGCAAATGTGCTCCTATCATTGTTGCTCACGTCCGTAACACACAATTGTGTGTAGTTGTGTTTGTTGCTTATCTCCATTCCTTCACTTCACTCTTAGCATTCATTACTCATTTATCGCAAACAAAATGACAGCAGTCACAGAAAAAATTGTTTAGTGTCGCTTGCTTTTCTTTGCGATACAGAGCGTGGTCTTCTACGCGGATCGTTCTATCAGCCCCTGTACTGTTTCACACCACGATGGGAAGGAATCCTTTTTTGTTCATGTGTGTGTGTGTGTGTGTGCATGTCACTCGATCGAAGGCACATTTGTCAAGCAAACCTTCTCTCGTGCGACTCTTCACGCAGTTTAGAAGCACCCTTGTCAGCAAACACTTTCAACTATCGTTCCTTTGCGGTGCGCTTCCAATATAGTTTCTTTCCGCAATTCTTTCCCCTTTCTCTGCGGTTCCGGGTTTTTCTTTCCACGTACTCGAACACACCCACAAAAATCTTGCGCTACCAACGCCGTTTGCTCTCTTACACAATCTGGTGTAAGCTCGCTAACATTCGTTTCTAAACGAAGCCGTTTTCGCACCCAGCGACAATTTTGCATGTGTAGTGAACAGCGGCTTCACGTCTATAAACCTTCAGAGCTGCGAGAAACAAAATTTACTCCTTTTCTTCTTCCTTTTCCACTCCGCTGTTCATCATGCCTCTCGTGAGTGCGGAGAACGATGAGAGCTTTGTCGCTGAGGTGGCCGACGAGGTTCGTGCGACGAGCACGCGCATGAACGAACACGTTTGTGCCATGCTTGAGGAGTATCTGCACCGTCGTTTAGGGCAGGTGCGGTGCGAGATGCAGCGGGAGTGCGACCGCCAAATTGAACATGCGAGGGAGGAGATTGCGGCTGTGCAGGCCGAGAAGGCTGCGGAAGAGAAGCGGCACGCATCTGCGAAAAAGCAGCTAGCCGAAGCGGCTAAGGCTCTACAGCAGAGGGGTGCAACGGCGCAGCTGCTGGCGTGTTTCGTAAACTGGATGCGTGCCGTAGAACTCCACAAGGAACGACGGCGGCTTGCCGAAGAAGCTAATCGACACCAAGAGCGTTCAACTACGTTCCAAAGGTACTTGCAATGGCGCCTTTTCGCGGCCGCTCGCCGCAGCGCGCATTTGGCGGCGGTTGAACTTCACGAGAGAGACTGCCGTGAGCAAGAGCTGCAAGGACAGATTGACGTCTACCAAAAAACGCTTCGAGAGGAGCAGGAAAACAACGAAACACTGAACGAAAAACTGAAGGAGGCATTTGTGCGCGGAATGTGCGCTCTCAATCGTGAAGCGGTACAAGTGCTCCACGGCGCCGACGACAAGCAGGAGGATGACGTGGAGGCAATCGCTGAGATTCTCAGCCGTGATAGCCCGTCTCGAAGAATATCGATACCGCAAAACAAGACGGAGGACACTCCCCATTCCAACACTCACCAGCACCCATCTATCTGCCCTGTGCACCAAGTTGACCGCAGCGGTCAATTCTACCACCGTTGCTTCGCACCTGGGTACTGCTCATATGACGACCGCCGCCCGCGCTCGCGAACACCGCCGTCATCGAGCGTGTCCTCTGCGCCGCCGCCCCCGTTTGTAGTGCGCGCAGATCCGCGGGCTGTACGGAGCTTCAACGCCACTTCTTCGGTGCCGCTGCGACATGCTGAGAAGCCACCTCCATCCCGCTGGAAGCTGTAAACTGCAAGCGCGTCTTACACTTCGTCAAATTGTTTCTCATTCCTGCTCAGCAAACATAGACCTTTTTTTCCTGTTATGCGTATTCAAACACACTGGCGTTTACCCGCCAGAATCACCGTCACCCTTGACGCTTCCTTTTCACACTTCTATGACGTTACGGAACAGAACTCTGTAGAGGCTGTTGTGAAGACCATCGTTTTCCTGCTTTGCCAAAGAGAGGAGAGCCTTCGTCCTCCACAACGAGCTAACCATGTCGTCGGCTTGCTTCCCTTCACAGGGAAGAAGATCTGTGTCGTACTTGTACCAAAATGCAGAAAGAATACATAAAACAATGCGTTTTAAAACGAAAGCTCTTCCCCCCCCCCCTGCTTTGCAGACAAGTTTTACTACTCTTGTACTCGTTGCACAGCTGCTGCGCCGTATCAGCGTTCCTCGAATGCGTGCTGCGATTTGGTTGTTTAGCAACTATGCTGACGAACCCTCCGATGTCTTCTTCCACATCTTCCATTCGTGTACGGGTACGTTCGCAAAGGCTTTAGCCGAGCTTCAGCTACTTTATTGTGCCGTTCGCCAACGATATGCTGTAGCTCTCACTTTCCAATCTCTGCCACTTCTTTTTCTTGCCTGCGAGTTGAAGTCGTATGTCTCCCGCAAACGAAGCGAACTTGTGTTTAAGAGAGCGTGACTAACAAAGAAGCTTCATGGGTCGCCGCATTGATTCGGCGGCAGTAGGCCGCATTCTCGAATCTGTTCTCCTCTTGCGCTCGGCACGACTGACCGGAATCCTCAGTCGTGGGGAGTCGCCGCTTTTGCCGCCTCACTCAAGCACTGCCATAGCAGGCGCGCGTCTGGAGGCGGAATCGGCGATACGGTCTGCACGAGAGTACTTGCGTGATGCTCTCCTTGACGCAGTGGAGATCGAAGCCTCGTCATCGGCAGGGTCATCTCTCGTCGTTGTTGAGGATCCGCGTTTAGCAAGCAGCAAGAAAGGTGTTATGCTAACCGAAAAGACGTGGGAGCCGCGTAAAGAGATTGGATCCGTGTTGGAAGGCAGGGACCTTCGTCAGATGGACCTTTCGGGCGCGCGGCTCAGTGCCAGCTTTAATCGGAGTGACCTGACAGATGCAGCTCTCGTTGGCAGCTACTTTGCACATTGCACCTTCAACTCGTGTGTCGTGCACAACGCCGACCTTTCTGGCGGCCAATTTCACTCGTGCACCTTCATGTCCACTGACGCAAGTAGGGTCACGGCTCGCCGGGCGCATTTCTCTCACTGCACCTTTCATCGCGCCGACCTTTGCGATTGGGACGCCTGCGGTGCAACTTTTTTCCAATGCTCATTTACCATGTCCGATCTGTCGCGATGGCACGTGGACGGGCAGACCACAGTGATCAAGCCCGTCGACTGGGGGCGTTGCAGGCGTCTAAACTGGACAATGAAGCCCGGTAGCGGACTGCGAGAGTGCCGTGTTGTTGGCGACGTAAACGCGATGGGCGCACTCTCTTTAGGACCGCCGCACAGGCCGGGGTGTCGGCCTTGGCGCAGCGGGAAGTAGGCCAGGTGGGCGCGTTAGTTTCTCTTTTTATATGTTTGTTTGCGCCGCTTTTCTCGCGCTCGAGAAATCGAGTGTGTTTGTCGTCTCACTGCTGTCCTGGTCGTATTTCGCACACCTCTCTCACCGTCCATCTTCACAGAAGTTTGAAACACCTGAAAAGCCGATAATAGTGGGCTGCCCGAAGAAGCGTGTTGAACACATATAAAGCGATTTCTGAAGTGGTGAAGGGAGAGCAAAAACCGGAACTCGGCGATCCTTGTAGGCTTCGGGGTTTTTTTTTTCCGAAAAGTCCTCCAAAAAAAGCGGTGCTTCGCGAACAGCCGCGAGCGGATGTACCTGTGCTTTGTTTTCTCTTTATTGTTCTACGGCATACTGTTTAATGCGCTCCTCTTTTATTAGGGCTGATGAGCACCCCCGACTTTCTTGACTTGCTCCCCTCCTTTTTCGACTCTTTGCTGAACTTCTGTTGTTATTCTACAGAAGTTTCGGGTTGTGTTTGTGTTGACCTTGTATTGGACGGCAAAACGAAACTCTCGCTGTTTTCTTGTGTTATTCGTCTCCCGTATTTAGGTCCATCAAACAATGTCGTTGTCAGAGGCGGTTGGCCTACTGCGCCAAGTGTACACGTGCCCTCGTAATGAGGATCGACGAGGCGCCACTCTTCACCTCCTGAGATGGGAAAAAACGCTGTCTGCAGCTGATGCTGTGCAGATCGGGCTCGGGCTTCTCAAATCGGCAAACGAAGGACTAGCAGTTCAGGCGTATGGGGCAGTGCTGTTGCGGCATGGGTTGCACGCACGCCTGATCCGGCCAACAGAACTGCCTTTCATGGATTTACTCGCGTGGTACTGCAACGAGCCTACCTTGGCCCCGCTGCTGCGCAGCGACTTGGTGGAGCTGATCATCGAATGCGTGATCTACTCCGAGCACGATGTGGTGGACCGGGTGTTGACCATGCTGTGCAGCGAAAGCGACACGCAGCCTCGCAGGATGCTTCTGCTGAGCGATCTGACTGTTGCGTTAATCGACCCCGACTTCGATCGCGTGCCGCGTCAGTCGATTGGCACGCTGAAGCGCTCCGTGACGAAGCGCGGCGGTGACCTACTGCACGCCGCGACGATGGCTCTCTACGCCTACTACATGGCCGCAGGAGGCGAGCACTCCACCGCGCTTGCACCGAACACTGAAAGCAGCGTAGAGGCTGCTTTTCTCCTCGTTGCCACACTGGCACCCCAGCTGCCTTTTCCAATTTGGCAGGAGCATAATTTGGCGGCGACACTGGAGGTGCTGCTGCGCTGGGTACCAGCGCAACGACAGGCCATCACCTGCGCTACGGGGCTACTTCGCTCGTACTCTGTCACAGAGGCAAAAAAGGCAGCAATGCTTCAGGTGCTGCTGAGGATCGTGCTGGGCAAGATCCCCACGCTTGTAGCAGATCACGACATTGCAGCTTTGGACGACGTGCTTGATCTCCTGCTCGACTTACCAAGGGAGTTTACGCAGCTGGAGGGAGTGTTGATGGTGCAGAACATCATGACCGCCTTCAACCTGCCCAGCATCCAGTTTGCGCAACAGGTCGTGCAGCTAATGGAGAGACTGGACGAGAACACCTATCTCCAAGTAGACCCAGTTAGTATCTACAGTGGCTTGCGCCTGCTGCTGCCGAAGAACCTTTGCCACCCAACGCACGGCTCAAACCAAGAAGGGAAGGAGCTCTCGCAAGAACAGTTTGGCTTCGACCGCCTCTTTGAAGACGTCTTTGCCGACTTCCGACGCAGCGCAAGCAAAGTGCTGACGCTCCTCGCACGGCTCTACCCGGAGCGAACAAACCAGTTTTTGTTGAACTTACTCTCCGAGCTGCCTGACTCTCGGGGAACGCCAGAAGATCCGCGGACACTCAACGGCTTTGTGCAGCAGAGCAGCCTGACTTTTGTGTACTGGGAGGCAACGCAGTTTATGATGGAGTGCTTATCGATGGCGTTCGAGTATTCTTCTATCGGCGTGAACGCGTGCGTGTCGACCCTGCTGACGCGCGAGCCATCGGACGCGGTGCTGCTGCCGCTTTTCCTCAACATGATTTCATACTTTTGGAAGGCGCGCGATGATCAGGAGTTAAACGTGTGGGAGGGCACCATCACCATTCTGTTCAACTGCATCAACGATGAGGCGACGCGGCGAATGGACGACTTGGACGTGTTGGCCGCACGACGCCGGGCTCATACGCTGCTGGTGCAGCTCTGCGTCGAGCACAGCCGTCGCTTCCTGCCCCTTGTTCATCCAATCATGAAGAGGATGGAGCCGATGCTGGTCCATTCCCATGGGATGGAACGTTCCTTGCTGTACGAGGCGCTGATCGCACTCACCGCCATTCTGTCGCCACACGAGTCAGACGCCTACCTGCAAACCATCATCAACCCACTGGTGGACATGCTCAGCGCTAGTCCAGCGCTGGCTGAGCAGAACGCCTTCAATCGCACCATTTGCGCTGCCACCCCAGACGACAAGGACAATCGCGGTGTGATTCAAGGCTGCCTCAACACGCTTGCGGCCGTCTTTCGTCGTTGCCAGATGACACCGTATGTTGTCGAGAAGGCCACGCAGCTCTTTCCGGTTGTGGGGCGTCTGCTCGTGTGTGTTCACAGCATCGAGCCAAGCGCCCTGCCACCCGAGTTCCGTGGTATTGTGGAGCAGGAGAGGGGAGAGAAAGATCTCTACCTACCTGGCAATCAACGAAAGAGTGAGGCGCACCTGACAGGACCGGTGCGATCTGCACGAGGGGTTTTGATGAACCTTCGGATCGCAGTGTATCAAGTGTTCGGCTGCTTGAGCCCGATCCTGCCAGCAGAGCAGTTTGCCGGCATCATTAACGCGCTCATGACGACATCCGCACTACCGACGCATGTGGAGCGATCGTTGTCGGAAAAGTGCTTGCTGCCCATCGGAAAGGAGCATCCAGCACTGCTTATTTACGTTCTCCAGCTCTTGCATCGCTTCTTTGTGCAGCGCACCGAGCAGCTTCGGCAGCAGCAGGCAACGAGCAGCAACCAGCGCAACGCGAGGGACGAGGTGGCGGAGTCGAAACAGTGGCTCTACTTCGCCAAAGACATTCTAACCTTCCTGCGGAACAACGTCCTCGACTCGAAAGTGTGGCAGCGGGACAAGAACCTTTTGATGGCTGCCGCCGATCTTGCCGTCAGCGTTTTCGAAAGCGGTTCCGACACTCGCACCGCCGAGCGCTTCCTTATCTCGCTCGTCAACCTCAACGCGGATACATCAACTGCGCCTGATGTGCAAGCCACGCTGTCTGAGGTGCGGGTAATGGTCTACGCCCGGCTTGTGTCCTACGTAACGCAGGCGCCGGCTGGGGAGCTGCCGCCTGGTGCGCGGGATCAAATGGCATACGGGATTAGCGAGCCTTACATGAAGCTTTTTCCGAATTTGGCGCCATCTTTGACGTTGGCCGGCATCTCGCAGGAGCAGCAGGAGACGCTGAATGCGCATCTCTTGATAGTGAGCAACTTTTCCGCTCAGCGACGCAAGGTGAAGGATTTTTTGTTGGGCATCGCCGCCGCCAATTTGACTCCACAAGAGAGAAGCTAAGTGAAACGGCCCTACGACGTGTAGAAGACAAGAAACAGCCGAAGCAAAGAGTGTTTTACTTTTATTTTTGAAAATAAAAATGAGGTTGCAACGCAACGGCGCATCCTTTTTTTTTGTTTCTGGTGGTGAGCGCTGCGCACACACATTCACAAAGGAACAACAGCGGTAAAGCGATTCGCAAGGGTTGTGTTTCACGCACGTCAAGGCAAATTAAAGCAGTGCATGCTTTTGCTGTCTCCTTCTTTGGAAGTTTCAATTGTGCTAAGAAAGAGAAAAAGAACCACTTCGAAACAGCAATGAGGTTTGTGCGCTCTTGCCGTTGAAGGTTTTTTTATTATGGCCTTTGTTTCATTACGGACTGCCAAAATGTTTCTGAACTTGATTCATCTTGTAAGTACTCTTCTTTTTTTCTTCTAGTTCTTTTCTTCTGTTCTACTCCCTTACACGTGAATTTGGATTGTGCTGCCCTTTTGAACCACTCGCACAGCGTGCTGTACTGGCCTCTCGGCGCGCTTGGGAGAGAGAGTCTTGATACGTCTGCTGCGTTATTCGTCCTCACCATCTGTACGATTTGAGTAATTGCTGTGCGCCATGCCGGTGTCTCCTTGTTGCGAGTATTACGGTTATTTGCCGAGACTCATTCGCAAATCAGCATCAACGGCTTCCGCCTCAGCTGCGGCGCTGCCTGCTGCATCGACCAGCAACCCACTTCCGTCCTCCACCGTAAGTGAAAGCAATGGTGTCCCGAGGGCGGAGAGTAGTATCAAGCCACCGTCAATCTACAGGTTAAGCAAGCCGCTGACTTACCCCGTTGCGGAGCTGCCACCTAAACCGGCCTTTTCGTTGCGACTGGTCATCATCAGCGACACGCATGAGCGGCACCACGAAATGACGGTGCCGCACGGAGACGTTCTTGTGCACTGCGGCGACATACAGGATGGTGTGAAATTCTGCCGGAGCACCGATTCCATGCTGGTTGACTTTTCCACATGGATCAACGATCCCGCTCTCCACCCACACCCCGTAAAGCTTATCATTGCGGGAAACCATGACAAGGCAATCGCAGGTATGAGTGTGGATGCAGTACGAAGGCTCTTTGCTCCCGCGCTGTACCTGTGTAATGAAAGTGCGTTGATTGAGCCAGTTGGTGTGCGGGTTTACGGCTCGCCGCGCTCCATCGCGAACTCCCGGCTGAGCCCGAACACGGCGTTTCAGTCGAACAAGTCGTGGCTGCCGTTCATGTTTCCCACTGCTCGCACGGACGAAGACAAGGTAGAGAATGCATCGCTGGAGCAGAAAAGTAGAAGTCCGCTTCGTGTGCGTCTTGAGGGCACAACTCCTGGTGGTCCGATCGACATGTTGATGACCCACCAAAGTCCTGATACAGTTCGAGCTCGTCACACGGTGGAGGAACAACCGATATGCACCTACGTTCAGCAGGTAGCACCGCGACGTGTGTTTTTCTGCGGACACCTGCACGCCGCACATGGTATGCATCGCCTTCCCGTCCCACTTGTCGTTCAGGAAGCTTTTGGGCTGCGGCAAACGGGAAACGGATTGCCAGCCGAGCAGCAAGTGGTAGGGGAGATTCCGTTTACTCCTTGCATCAACGCGTCTATGATGATGGGCTTACTAGGCCGAGGAAGACTGCTTCCCGCTAGTGTGGTCGATCTTGAATTGTAGAAATGACACCCACACACCCTCACACATGCGTAAAATAATAATAATAAATCAGCAGCATTGCAATGTATCTTTAAAGACGAAGCCGCTATCTGAACCTCACCAACGGTGCTTCATTTTGCGTGACGAACGGCGAACAATCGAGTACTTTTGCACGTTTTCTAAAAAGAGAAAAATGATACTGAATGCAGCCTTTTTTTTTCCTGCTTTCGTTCTATTATGATAATCTGTTCCGCTCTTGTGGGTTTCAATTCAATTTCATTCTCTGTACCATTTCATTCTTCTGTTTATTTCTTCTTGGCATGACTTTTTTTTTCTCATTCTCTTCTGCATCTGCGGTGTAAAATGCGCAACAACGGCTATCTTTCACCGCGCAGGTTTTAAACAACGTAAAACTGAAGATCCCGATTTACCATCATTTTAACTGCCTTGCTCACTAAGAAAGAAAGAAAAAAGAATAACAGGCCACTACTAACACTTCTAACAAAACTCTTTTTCCTTTTTTCTCCTAAAGCAAAGTGGAGTGAATCACGCCAGTGTTCTTATTCATAGCTTTCATCAAAAAAAAAAAGAAACCGACGCATCGATTTGCCTTTTCCTGCGCATCACCATGTTCCGCTACCGCGCCGCCTCGAAGCTGGCCACTCTGGCCGCGCTCCGCTTCCTGACCATCACGCCGATCCCGATGCCTGCCCTCTCCCCAACAATGGAGAAGGGTAAAATATCCGAGTGGTGCAAGCAACCCGGCGATCCGATCGCCACGGGCGACACGTGGTGCAAGGTGGAGACGGACAAGGCTGTCGTGTCGTACGACAACGCCACCGAGGAGGGTTTCTTCGCCCGCGTCATCGTCCCAGCTGGTGAGGAGACGATGGTGGGCCAGACGGTGTGCCTCATGGTGGACGAGAAGGAAGGCATCAACTCCGACGAGGTGAAGAACTGGAAGCCCGAGGGCGAGGAGGCAGCGGCGCCTGCTGCCGAGGAAGCCGCCCCTGCCGCTGCCGCTCCGGCTGCTGCAGCCGCTGCGGCGCACGCTGCCGCGTCCGGCGACCGCGTGAAGGCCTCGCCGTACGCCCGCAAGCTGGCGGCGGAGCGCAACGTGTCCCTCAGCAACGTTAAGGGCACCGGCGGTGGTGTGGGGCGCATCACCTCGAAGGATGTGGAGGCGGCCGTGAAGAGTGGCTCTGCGGCGGCACCGGCGAAGAGTGGGGCTGCGGCACCCGCCGCCAAGGCTGCTCCGGCGAAGGCGAAGGCGGCTGCGCCGGCCAAAGGCATGCCCCCGGCGAACCCGAACTACGTCGACATCCCGACGACGAATATGCGCGCGATCATTGCGAAGCGCCTGCACCAGTCCAAGAACGTGGAAATTCCGCACTACTACCTGTTCGACAACTGCCGCGCCGACAACATGTTGGCGCTCATCAAGCAGCTCAACGCAAAGGGCAACGGCGAGTATAAGATCACTGTGAACGACTACATTATCAAGGCGGTCGCGCGCGCGAGCATGTTGGTGCCAGAGGCGAACTCGTCGTGGCAGGAGGGCTTCATCCGCCAGTACACCACCGTAGACGTGTCGGTGGCCGTGGCGACGCCGACGGGCCTCATCACGCCGATCATTCGCAACGCGCAGGCGAAGGGCCTCGTAGAGATCTCGAAGGAGGTGAAGGTGCTGGCGAAGAAGGCGCGCGAGGGCACGCTGCAGCCCGACGAGTTCCAGGGTGGCACGTGCTCCGTGTCGAACCTCGGCGCGACGGGGATCCCGAACTTCACGGCCATCATCAACCCTCCGCAGTCGATGATTCTCGCCATCGGCTCCGCCAAGCCGCAGCCTGAGATCATCAAGAACGAGGAGACCGGCGAGTTCGAGATGACGGGCAAGGTAGAGCAGGTGGTGGCCTTCACCGCCTCCTTCGACCACCGCGTCATCGACGGTGCTATCGGTGCCAAATGGTTCCAGGGCTTCCACGATGCCATTGAGAACCCGCTGTCCCTTCTGCTGTAGAGCAGCCGATCACCTTTTTCTTTCGTGTAGGTGCCTAGTAAAGTAACTTTGATATCGTTGCCGTATAGCGACCACGTGACAACCGTTTTCCAGAGCCAAGCACCGCCGATTTATTGTCCTTTTTTTTTTCTTATTATTATTTGTATTGTAAATGGTGATATAATAAAATACCTCTCGTTTGTTGTCTGTTCCCCCCTTTTCCTAAAAGAGAGTTGTAAATGCGTATATCTGGTGTACCACTTATATATGTTTACCTGGCTCCTCTTTTTTTTGTTTCTCTTGTGTACGTGTGTTGCAGCGATTAGCAAACGCGAGAGCGGTACACAAGAGTTGACCGCAGGATGACGTGCCTCCGCCTTTGTTTTTCGCCTTTGACTAGTTGTTTCTTGGAATTGAGCGTAGCACTACAGTCACTCATCTTGATTTCAAACAAACTCTTTCTCTGGCTCTACCAAAAAAAAAAGAACTTAACCTGTTTTATATATATTTTTGCACATATATCTACGATCAAAGATGCAGTTGCCTACTGTCCCGGTTTTCGCTTCAACTCCCTTCTTCTTCAATGTGTCTCCATTTTTGGATAAAGGACAAAGCAGACTCGAGTTTTTTTTTCTGTTTGAAAAACTGTTACAGTTGAGCAAGAGAAAAGGTTAGAAGGAGAGTGCACGTGAGAAAGTAAGAAATCTAACGCTTCGCATTCATCGTTAGCAATAAACGTGTTCATGAGGACGGTACCCCATCGCCTCGTCAGTCGCGATCTTCTTTTAAAAAAAGGCGTCTGCGATAGCCTCTGTGCCGTCATGTGTTTGGCAACACCCACTAAGTCGGGTTTTTTCTAACGTTTTCTTTATTGTTATGGTACTCGTGATATTTGTAAGTATGAAGACGCAAACAACAACAATTCAAACTCAAGGGTCATTAAGGAAAAGTGTGTTGCGTATCATTGTTCGATGCAACACCAACAATACAGGGCGATAGGAACTAACGGCAGAGCACAAACGCAGGTTTCTCTGCGTTCTCTCCAACAAAAGAGAGAAAGATTGTTTTCCGCTTCAAGTACGATCATCTGTTCCGCGCAAAGCAAGCTGTGAGGGCTCTCATTTCGTCAGCGCAAGGTAGCAGCCGTGCCGCTCTCTTCACCGGGTAGGTGTATACGCAAGCACAAACGGTACATCTTAAACCACAAGCAACACAATCGGTGTTTGCGCGTCACTGAGGAATGCTGACCTCCGTGGCTACGCGAATGCGCATTCGTCCCTTTTCTTTTTATTTCTCTTCTTCCTCTTTTTCTTTGGAGAAACACAAGTTGTTGCGAATCACGCTACTAGGCTCAGAAAACTCGCAAACGACTGAAAAGCAACTCGTACACATCCGTGGAGAGCACGAAAACACTGTTCGTCGGTCGAACATCAAGACGAAAGGGGAAACACGGTGATCCAATACCACCAAAATGTCCTCTAAGGGGAAGCAAGTTTCTGTCATCATCGCTGGCGCAACCGGAAGCCTTGGGCAAGAAATTGTATCTCGCCTCGTTTCCCACCCGGATGTGTCGCGCGTGGTCGCCTTGGCTCGCTACCCCATACCCGTAAATCGCTGGACATCCGTCTTTCCACACCTACACATTGGCGATGCCCGGCGCTACTTGTCTGTCGTGCCGGTAGACTGGGAGAAGATTCTCGCGGATGCTTCGCACATTCCGCGCTCCTACGTCTCGGACGGCGTGTGGCGCTTCGACGACGCGGAGATGGAATGGAAAAAGTTGGAACGACACCGCAAGCGTGCGGCGCGCTCTACTCGCTCGCCAAAAGACGCAGATATGGCGTTTCACTACAACTCATCGAGTCAACCGAGGAGCGGGCCCGAATCGGGGGCGGCGAGCTCGAGCGCCTGGTTGTCGGGCCCGCCGCAGGGCTACATCAAAATGCCGGCAGGGTGGTCCGGTGGAGATGGAAGTTTTTCCGACACGCAAAGTCACAGCGGTGCTGCACATGGCCTCTTAGAGGAGCTCCGTCAACCGGAAAAGCGTGCAATGAATCTCTCGCCCACGATGGATCCGAAGCCGCCCCACACGGGGGCGAAGGGGCACGCCGGCCACACCGGTGACACCGCACGGCGACGGTGGAACCAAGAGTTCCTGCGTCAATTTCTTCAAAATAGCTTTTATCGCTCCGTTTTTTCAGGCCACCAGGTGGCCATCAACTGCATCGGCACCTCCCACGTCTTGTCATCTGCAGAGTTGACGCTTGTCGACTACGACCTTTCAATGGCGTTCGCAAAAATTGTACGCCTCTTCAATTGCATGGCGCATGCCGAGCCCACCGAAGACGAAGAACGACTGCTAGTGGAGACAACCTCTCGCGAGCTGGATAGCGTGCTGTGGAATGAAATATACTCCGCCTGCTACGGCAAATCAGCGTCGCGCGACGGCCGCGCAGCTCTCACGGAGGGAAAACCTAACCAAGATCGGGAAAAACTGGAGAGCCCATTCAGCCGCCTTCGTAGTGGCCACCGCGACCAGGAAAGGGAGGCCTTCAAGGTAGACGATGAGGCGTACGCCATCGCCGACGCGTCACAGAGGAACAAGAAGGCGCAGTGGATGAATCGCGGACAGATGGCAACGCTGCGGCACTTTTCGCAAGTGAGCGTGCGCGGCGCGAACGAGCACAGCCCTCTTCCGTATCTGCGTACCCATGGCAAACGTGACCGCGATCTGCTCACACTCTTTAATCGCTGGAAGGACCCTATGCGCTTTGCTTCCCATGGTTTCCAGCTCGTTAAGCAGTCCTCCAAGACCAACGTACTGCATGTCAGACCAGCACTGGCGACACCGCAACCATCCTCCGTGAGCCACGCCTGGTGTAAGGTGCCTAACTTTCTGCGTCGATATTTCTTCGGTGGCGCACTGCACGCAACGGGCGATGCTACAGGTTTGCAGAACGGCCAAGATCACCAACACCACTACCACCAGCCCAGCCACGGCGCGCAAGGAGCGGATTCCGGCGACGGCTTCAGCGCTCCCAACGCGGAAGAGATAGCGCGGAAGCGGGCGCAAATGCTGCTGCGGCGCGACGTCGTGAAGATTTGGGAGCAGTCCAACCTCACGATTTGGCGCCCCGGTGTCTTCCATCGACCTGGACGGCGACGCATGATCGAACGCCTTCTCTCTCTGGTGGAGCGGCCGGTGGATGTCCGATGCTTGGCGGAGTGCGTAGTAGATGACATCGTGGACTCTTTCTACAGCGCGCCGCACGAACCTGAAAACCCTCATGAGCCGCGGATGGGGAAGACGAAAGTGATCAACGGCAGCAGCGTGGCGCGACGCACGTATATGAAAGCGTTAGAGGACGGCTTAGACGAGAGAGACACGCAGCGCTCCCCGCAAATGGCGAAGCAGTAACCAGTTCCCTTTTCTTTCGGTTTTTTCTTCTCTTCTTTTCCCTCCCACGGCTATACAAATCTCTGTGGATTATTATGCTGCTTTATGCCTTTATTTATTTCATCCTCCTGTATTCAATCTTGCCTGTCGACTACGACTTGCCTCCATCCCCGCCCCCTTACCTACCAATATACGAGTGCAACGGGTGCCAATTCCGATTGGTGTCTGCCACGTCCGTTCGACTTCCCTCACGTCGGTTGCTCCCAGCTGAATTCCGAGTCATCAGCGGGCATGGAAGAGCAGCTTAGGCATCTTGGGTTGGTATCGCGGAGAGTTGCTCTCTTTCATCTATCAGGTTTTTATCTCCTCTGCCAGACAATGCCAAAGTGGCATCAAAAATGTGTGGAAAGACGACAAGAAAATCGATGAAGTCAAGCGACAGCAGCCTAAAGGAGTTGAACCAGCTGTTTTACTTCATCACGAGAGTTCGTCGTCAACAGGTTTTATTATTATTTGTAGACGGAATAGAGAGCCTCTCCCCCAAAAAACTGTGTGTGTGTGTGTGTGTGTGAGAACAAACCCGTTTTCATTGGACCCGGAATAAAATAATGCGACTTTCCGAAAGCGAAAGCAAACACGGACTTGCTTGGGTTCTGTATGTCTACGCGCCGCAGCTCTTTTTTTCTTTTCTCCACGCTGGTCTGCAAGCATTCACTGTATGCGCCCCTCCGTCCTCCTCTTACTTTGATGCTCACCACGATTATCTCTGCTGTATGGAGTCACGAAAGCGCACCAACGAATTCCTGAAAAGTAGAGGGGCACTGGGGGTTTCTGCACAACGGTTGCGTTACATCATCTGACCATGTCTGCCGAAGCCGCAAGCACCGCGCAGACGCCAGAGGGCAAAAAACCTCGCACGGAGAGTGGGTCCCCAGCTGTGTCCGCAGAAGACACGCCGGTGTACCCCAGCTCGTCTACCGACGTCGTCGCGTACGAGAGGCAGTACGTCCACGACGTATACAGCGCCATCGCCGACCACTTCTCTGGAACTCGTTACAAGGCGTGGCCGAAAGTAGCGGCTTTCCTGGAAGCACTACCGCCTTTCTCGATCGTAGCCGATGTGGGCTGCGGCAATGGAAAGTACTTCGCCGCTGCCCAACGCCTCGCTGTCCCGGCACCGCCGTCTCCAGCGTCAGAGGACGATAACACGGAGTTGAAAGAACAGCAAGCGCCTCTTTCCTCGTCGACAGCCCCGACCCACCGCTACGTTGTGGGCCTCGACTACAGCGAAGAGCTTCTGCGGTCTACTCAGCGCTCACTCGTAGACCCCAACATGCACCATGAGCAGGCGCGCCGCCATCATCGTAGCAAGCGCGCGCGGAAACTGGCGGACGACACGGTGACGCCGGTGTCGGTGGAGGCGATGCCGCGCACGGACACGGTTCGCAGCGACGCCCTGCGTTCTCCTCTGCGAGGTGGGCTGTTCGACGCTGCCATCAGCATCGCGGTAATCCACCACTACGCGAGCGAGGAGCGCAGGGTGCGTGCGGTGCGGGAGCTGCTGCGACTTGTGCGCCCCCAAGGAGGTTTGGCGCTCATCTACGTGTGGGCTCGCGAGCAGACCGGTCGCTCTAAGCGCCCGATGGATCCCGAGACGGGCGACAGTCTCGTGCGATGGGAGCGAAATCAGAAGTACGACGAGGCACAACAGGTGTTTCATCGCTACTACCACCTCTTTGGGGAAGGCGAGTTAGAGCGGCTGTGCGAGGTTGCATCTGCCGGTGAGGGAAGCGCTGGCGCCATCCCTGTTGACATCAAAGCTTCGTACTTTGACAAGGAGAACTGGTGCGTGGTCCTGGAACGAAAGTAGAGGGGCGGGTTGTTGCCATGTGCGCTTACATCCGAACTCACATGAGGAAGATAATACCGCTGCGCGAAGTGGTAAGAGAAGCTTCATTGGTTTCTTCAAACTTCGAGCCACAAGGCGGGAAATAAAAGAAGAGACACTGAACAACAGTTTTAATGGAAGTGCTGAGATGTCATGCATCATCTGACTGCCCAAGTTCAACTGCCTTACAATAGAGAAGATCAAACGCGGAAGGAGGAGGAGAAACGGCTGGCTTTATTGCGGATGCTTGAAACCTTACTGTGCGCCGTTTATCTCACATTCCTCCTCTTTTTTTTCTGTTACGGAAGCTCAGCGCCTGTAGAGCGACATTAGGACTTTACTGTTCAAGGGCACATCGAAGAAGACACAGCGAAAAGGCGCACAGTTGGACTTCAGGCGGCTGTGTCCTAATTGTGATGTTTCACTTCTCTTCTTTCTTCTCACCCTTTTTTTTTTTTTGAAGTACCTACCGCTGTTTGGTTGTATTTTGTGGTCATTCTCTTTTTTTTTCGCTTCCGACCACCACCGTTGTGACCTTCTTTTTGAACTGCAAAAGTGCCAGAAGATAGCGGTGACACATAATCCACAGCGAGAGGTTGAGAGAGAAAGAGAGAGAAAGTTGCGTACATACCGTTTCTTTTTTTCCTTCTCCGCTCTTACAGAGCCCGTGAGGCACACCTGCGTGTTCTGTCCATCAGCACGTCAACCAATAGCAGTAGTCGCGGCCAAAAATGTTAAACAAGTACTTCACGATCGATCGCGACTGGATGGAAGCCGCCGCCGCTGCGATTTGCTCGCGTAACGGAATCATTTTGAAGGACGTAATTGCAAAAGCAGAACAGGGCATTCCTCTACGCATCGTAAATGACACCGCTGCCACCTTGCGGAATATCGTCCATGTGATGCAGACGAGCATCGAGTACACCTGCAACGAGTACTTAAAGAAACACGAAGGCACACTGCGTCTTTTCCGCGCCGCGCACCCGTCCTCCTCTGAGACGATTTTAGCCAATGAAGAACGTCGGCATTGCCGAGAGATGGTGGTGCGCGTTGCGATTACAGGCGCCCTAACAGACTTCCAGCGCCGCAACCGAAAATGCGTACACGACAATCCTGCATCTTCTCAAGTATCGTCGACGCAGGGCGAGACTGAGTCTCCGGGAAGAGTGGAGACGACGGATGACGATTTGGAGCGCAGCGTGCAGACGACGCTGCTGAAAGGGCTTCTTTATGCCTTTGAAGCGTTTCAAGAATGCCACTCGATGAACCGCGACCACTACCCTCCGCGGAAAGACAACAGCACTCCCGGCACCGTTGGCTGGGACACGCTGGTGATGCTGTACCTTGTCCACCGCATCCCTCAAGTCGCCCGCCATGCGAGTGGCAGCGCCATTGACGAATCCATTGGGCAAGTGATCCGTACGTGGCGCAAGCTGCTTGTTGCTTTGCAGTCTGTAGACTCGTGCGAGGCTCCTGAGCACTCCCGCCGTCGCGGCGCACTGGCCCTCGTCAACGGCCTTTTGATTATTCTGTTTCAGCGGTACAACACGCATCAGTGCGCGGTGCTTTTGAGCGCCGTCGACCATGCAGAAAAGGTGGCTGCGTCCACCGCAGAAACCTCGCGCTCCATTCTGCACCCGTCGCGCCACATGATTTCCGAAGTAGTCACCTACTACTATTACAGCGGACGAATGCGCTTATATGAGCGCCAGCTCGAAGAAGCCCATCGCACCTTGCGAGAGGCGTACACGCTGCTGCCCCCCGCAGGCTTCGGAAATGAGCCACAGCGGCTCAACAAGGAGCGGGTGCGTTTCTTTCTAACGGTGGCCGGCGTGGCCAACGGCCGTCGCATTCCGATGGAAATTCTGCGCGCTGACGAAGATTTGCTGCCCCGTCTCTTCGGCTCTCTTGTGTGGGCAATCGAGCGCGGCGACCCGGTGCGCTTCTCACGCGCGCTCGACACGCACGCGCCGGTGTTTCACAGACGGGGGGTGTATTTGATACTGCAGCAAGCAAAAATACTGTGCTACTTGATGGCCGTCGCGCGTGTGCATGCGGCAATGGCGGCTCTCCCCGACACCGACAACAGTCGCATCACCATAACAACGTTGTTGGCCGCCTACGAGTTTATCACGAAGGCGGAAGAAAAAAACAGTAATTCAACTCCATCCTCCTCAACGAAGAAGCGCTCCCGAGAAGACGGGGAAACGTGTCACACTCATGAATCTGCCGACACGGATGCAATCATGGATGAAGATCGAATGGCACTTTGGGTCGCGAAGCTCATCGCACGCGGATATATCAGAGGGTACTACTCACATGAGCACAAGACCCTAGTACTGTCAAAGAAGACCCCGTTCCCTCATTTGCAGGCGGCACCATAGTCATCAACAGTGCAGTAGAACGAAGAGCACGTCATTCGTTGACACAATCCTTATTCACTGCATCATTCACCTTTTTCTGAAAATGCAATGTTAATCAGCTGCGTGTATGATGAATGGACATTCGCGATTCGAACTGTTTGGGTTGGAAGCCGGCCAACCGCCAGTTGAACCTTTTTGGCTCTTCTGTCTCCGCCTTTTGAGCAACAGGGACGGGCAGTTAGGACAGGATAATAAAGGCCCCAAACAGTCAATATTACGATCCCACCGCAGGAGATTGACTGATATCGCTGCCACAAGTAAATGTAAATGCACTTTTGACTGTCCGCGTGCTTGAAAATGGCCGGAAAGGCTCACTATACTGAACCAAAAAAAAAAACACGTTGCTGTTCCTTTACAGTAACTTCACCAAGATTCGTGTTGGGGAACACTATTCATTTAAGCCCTGATCGTTCTCATTCACGTGGCAATGTAGCCGCCACATAGGAGCCTACCCATTCACTTGCCTCCGCTTGTCTCAAGGGTTCTTTGGAATAAAGCTCTTCCTCGCGTTCAATCATCACGTTTTTCATGTGACAACGTTTGCTTTCCTCTTTCACAGTCGCCATTGTGTTCACCCATATACTAGGATTGCCGTAACCAGGCGTTTTACAGTATACTCATTGAAACAGCCCGCTGAGCATTCTGCCAATGATTTCCCATCTCCATAGAAGCATGTCCCTAACGTGCAATTACAACACCAAGTCAGGCGTGGTTCGCTACCCAATCTTTCAGGTCTGCGATGGAGGAGGCGAGAGTGATGAGCAATGAGAACAAGCATATATCCGACTGCGCTGTGCTTCGGCTCCGCCGCTGTACGCCACCATGAGATGCAAACTCTAGTCCTTGAAATCTGACCCGCCCTTCCCTGCGTGCCTCCGCTGTGGTTGTTCATTTGTGGGCACGCGCGTGCGTGCTGGCGCGACACGTGATGCATAATCAATCGACCAATAATCGGATTGCGTCGCCGACGCGGTGGCGCGTTTGAAGTCAAACCAATGCAATACCAATGGCTGACTGTCGTGGCTGCGTGTGTGTGTGTGTGTGTGTGTCTGTGTGTGTGGAGCTGTGCGTGCGAGTATGATGCAGAACATATAACAATCACTGGGGGGCTGCTTCACGGCGGCCCTCTCTGAAGTGCCGTGCAATGCGCGGCCATTTGACTGAACTTCTGTTAAGCGTCATCCGCTGACTCGTGCGGTTGGTGTGCGTTTAGCGAGCGTGAGCGTGAGCGTGCGGGTGATCACGCGCTTTTTGAGCAGGTAGGCCGGTGCTGCTGCTGCTGCTGCTGTACGTACGCGTACGCGTACGCGACGTCCTACCTGCACTTCGCTCGCCCCGTTCCTGCGTTAGTGGACGGTGTCGATGGATGGTGTGAGGAAGAGCCTCGACGAGTGCACGAGCGACGCAAGCTGTGCGACGAGAGAGTGATGAGCAATGAGAACAAGCATATATCCGACTGCGCTGTGCTTCGGCTCCGCCGCTGTACGCCACCATGAGATGCAAACTCTAGTCCTTGAAATCTGACCCGCCCTTCCCTGCGTGCCTCCGCTGTGGTTGTTCATTTGTGGGCACGCGCGTGCGTGCTGGCGCGACACGTGATGCATAATCAATCGACCAATAATCGGATTGCGTCGCCGACGCGGTGGCGCGTTTGAAGTCAAACCAATGCAATACCAATGGCTGACTGTCGTGGCTGCGTGTGTGTGTGTGTGTGTGTGTCTGTGTGTGTGGAGCTGTGCGTGCGAGTATGATGCAGAACATATAACAATCACTGGGGGGCTGCTTCACGGCGGCCCTCTCTGAAGTGCCGTGCAATGCGCGGCCATTTGACTGAACTTCTGTTAAGCGTCATCCGCTGACTCGTGCGGTTGGTGTGCGTTTAGCGAGCGTGAGCGTGAGCGTGCGGGTGATCACGCGCTTTTTGAGCAGGTAGGCCGGTGCTGCTGCTGCTGCTGCTGTACGTACGCGTACGCGTACGCGACGTCCTACCTGCACTTCGCTCGCCCCGTTCCTGCGTTAGTGGACGGTGTCGATGGATGGTGTGAGGAAGAGCCTCGACGAGTGCACGAGCGACGCAAGCTGTGCGACGAGAGAGTGATGAGCAATGAGAACAAGCATATATCCGACTGCGCTGTGCTTCGGCTCCGCCGCTGTACGCCACCATGAGATGCAAACTCTAGTCCTTGAAATCTGACCCGCCCTTCCCTGCGTGCCTCCGCTGTGGTTGTTCATTTGTGGGCACGCGCGTGCGTGCTGGCGCGACACGTGATGCATAATCAATCGACCAATAATCGGATTGCGTCGCCGACGCGGTGGCGCGTTTGAAGTCAAACCAATGCAATACCAATGGCTGACTGTCGTGGCTGCGTGTGTGTGTGTGTGTGTGTGTCTGTGTGTGTGGAGCTGTGCGTGCGAGTATGATGCAGAACATATAACAATCACTGGGGGGCTGCTTCACGGCGGCCCTCTCTGAAGTGCCGTGCAATGCGCGGCCATTTGACTGAACTTCTGTTAAGCGTCATCCGCTGACTCGTGCGGTTGGTGTGCGTTTAGCGAGCGTGAGCGTGAGCGTGCGGGTGATCACGCGCTTTTTGAGCAGGTAGGCCGGTGCTGCTGCTGCTGCTGCTGTACGTACGCGTACGCGTACGCGACGTCCTACCTGCACTTCGCTCGCCCCGTTCCTGCGTTAGTGGACGGTGTCGATGGATGGTGTGAGGAAGAGCCTCGACGAGTGCACGAGCGACGCAAGCTGTGCGACGAGAGAGTGATGAGCAATGAGAACAAGCATATATCCGACTGCGCTGTGCTTCGGCTCCGCCGCTGTACGCCACCATGAGATGCAAACTCTAGTCCTTGAAATCTGACCCGCCCTTCCCTGCGTGCCTCCGCTGTGGTTGTTCATTTGTGGGCACGCGCGTGCGTGCTGGCGCGACACGTGATGCATAATCAATCGACCAATAATCGGATTGCGTCGCCGACGCGGTGGCGCGTTTGAAGTCAAACCAATGCAATACCAATGGCTGACTGTCGTGGCTGCGTGTGTGTGTGTGTGTGTGTGTCTGTGTGTGTGGAGCTGTGCGTGCGAGTATGATGCAGAACATATAACAATCACTGGGGGGCTGCTTCACGGCGGCCCTCTCTGAAGTGCCGTGCAATGCGCGGCCATTTGACTGAACTTCTGTTAAGCGTCATCCGCTGACTCGTGCGGTTGGTGTGCGTTTAGCGAGCGTGAGCGTGAGCGTGCGGGTGATCACGCGCTTTTTGAGCAGGTAGGCCGGTGCTGCTGCTGCTGCTGCTGTACGTACGCGTACGCGTACGCGACGTCCTACCTGCACTTCGCTCGCCCCGTTCCTGCGTTAGTGGACGGTGTCGATGGATGGTGTGAGGAAGAGCCTCGACGAGTGCACGAGCGACGCAAGCTGTGCGACGAGAGAGTGATGAGCAATGAGAACAAGCATATATCCGACTGCGCTGTGCTTCGGCTCCGCCGCTGTACGCCACCATGAGATGCAAACTCTAGTCCTTGAAATCTGACCCGCCCTTCCCTGCGTGCCTCCGCTGTGGTTGTTCATTTGTGGGCACGCGCGTGCGTGCTGGCGCGACACGTGATGCATAATCAATCGACCAATAATCGGATTGCGTCGCCGACGCGGTGGCGCGTTTGAAGTCAAACCAATGCAATACCAATGGCTGACTGTCGTGGCTGCGTGTGTGTGTGTGTGTGTGTGTCTGTGTGTGTGGAGCTGTGCGTGCGAGTATGATGCAGAACATATAACAATCACTGGGGGGCTGCTTCACGGCGGCCCTCTCTGAAGTGCCGTGCAATGCGCGGCCATTTGACTGAACTTCTGTTAAGCGTCATCCGCTGACTCGTGCGGTTGGTGTGCGTTTAGCGAGCGTGAGCGTGAGCGTGCGGGTGATCACGCGCTTTTTGAGCAGGTAGGCCGGTGCTGCTGCTGCTGCTGCTGTACGTACGCGTACGCGTACGCGACGTCCTACCTGCACTTCGCTCGCCCCGTTCCTGCGTTAGTGGACGGTGTCGATGGATGGTGTGAGGAAGAGCCTCGACGAGTGCACGAGCGACGCAAGCTGTGCGACGAGAGAGTGATGAGCAATGAGAACAAGCATATATCCGACCGCGCCGCACCTCGGCTCCGCTGTTGTGTGGCATTATGAGATGCAAACTCTAGTCCTTGAAATCTGACTCTCTCCCGTGCGCGCTTGCCTGCGCGGCTGCACGTCTGTTGCGTGTCTGCTGAGCACGTGGCTGTCGCGCACGGTCGCCCACGGTTGCCACGCTGTGAGTGCGTGTCTACGTGATGCCCAATACGACAATCTGTTGAAGAAAACCGAATGACCTACATGTGGAAAGTGTAATTTATGCACTTTACTGAAAGACAACGCTAGTGCGTGGCGTGCGGGTGCGGGTGCGGGTGGGTGCGTGACGTGGAGACGTGCATGGTGCTGACTGCGCCGCCTCGGTGCGAAGGGTGTACGGCGCGTTCAGCGCTGGAGGAGGCGGGAGAGTGATGAGCAATGAGAACAAGCATATATCCGACCGCGCCGCACCTCGGCTCCGCTGTTGTGTGGCATTATGAGATGCAAACTCTAGTCCTTGAAATCTGACTCTCTCCCGTGCGCGCTTGCCTGCGCGGCTGCACGTCTGTTGCGTGTCTGCTGAGCACGTGGCTGTCGCGCACGGTCGCCCACGGTTGCCACGCTGTGAGTGCGTGTCTACGTGATGCCCAATACGACAATCTGTTGAAGAAAACCGAATGACCTACATGTGGAAAGTGTAATTTATGCACTTTACTGAAAGACAACGCTAGTGCGTGGCGTGCGGGTGCGGGTGCGGGTGGGTGCGTGACGTGGAGACGTGCATGGTGCTGACTGCGCCGCCTCGGTGCGAAGGGTGTACGGCGCGTTCAGCGCTGGAGGAGGCGGGAGAGTGATGAGCAATGAGAACAAGCATATATCCGACCGCGCCGCACCTCGGCTCCGCTGTTGTGTGGCATTATGAGATGCAAACTCTAGTCCTTGAAATCTGACTCTCTCCCGTGCGCGCTTGCCTGCGCGGCTGCACGTCTGTTGCGTGTCTGCTGAGCACGTGGCTGTCGCGCACGGTCGCCCACGGTTGCCACGCTGTGAGTGCGTGTCTACGTGATGCCCAATACGACAATCTGTTGAAGAAAACCGAATGACCTACATGTGGAAAGTGTAATTTATGCACTTTACTGAAAGACAACGCTAGTGCGTGGCGTGCGGGTGCGGGTGCGGGTGGGTGCGTGACGTGGAGACGTGCATGGTGCTGACTGCGCCGCCTCGGTGCGAAGGGTGTACGGCGCGTTCAGCGCTGGAGGAGGCGGGAGAGTGATGAGCAATGAGAACAAGCATATATCCGACCGCGCCGCACCTCGGCTCCGCTGTTGTGTGGCATTATGAGATGCAAACTCTAGTCCTTGAAATCTGACTCTCTCCCGTGCGCGCTTGCCTGCGCGGCTGCACGTCTGTTGCGTGTCTGCTGAGCACGTGGCTGTCGCGCACGGTCGCCCACGGTTGCCACGCTGTGAGTGCGTGTCTACGTGATGCCCAATACGACAATCTGTTGAAGAAAACCGAATGACCTACATGTGGAAAGTGTAATTTATGCACTTTACTGAAAGACAACGCTAGTGCGTGGCGTGCGGGTGCGGGTGCGGGTGGGTGCGTGACGTGGAGACGTGCATGGTGCTGACTGCGCCGCCTCGGTGCGAAGGGTGTACGGCGCGTTCAGCGCTGGAGGAGGCGGGAGAGTGATGAGCAATGAGAACAAGCATATATCCGACCGCGCCGCACCTCGGCTCCGCTGTTGTGTGGCATTATGAGATGCAAACTCTAGTCCTTGAAATCTGACTCTCTCCCGTGCGCGCTTGCCTGCGCGGCTGCACGTCTGTTGCGTGTCTGCTGAGCACGTGGCTGTCGCGCACGGTCGCCCACGGTTGCCACGCTGTGAGTGCGTGTCTACGTGATGCCCAATACGACAATCTGTTGAAGAAAACCGAATGACCTACATGTGGAAAGTGTAATTTATGCACTTTACTGAAAGACAACGCTAGTGCGTGGCGTGCGGGTGCGGGTGCGGGTGGGTGCGTGACGTGGAGACGTGCATGGTGCTGACTGCGCCGCCTCGGTGCGAAGGGTGTACGGCGCGTTCAGCGCTGGAGGAGGCGGGAGAGTGATGAGCAATGAGAACAAGCATATATCCGACTGCGCTGTGCTTCGGCTCCGCCGCTGTACGCCACCATGAGATGCAAACTCTAGTCCTTGAAATCTGACCCGCCCTTCCCTGCGTGCCTCCGCTGTGGTTGTTCATTTGTGGGCACGCGCGTGCGTGCTGGCGCGACACGTGATGCATAATCAATCGACCAATAATCGGATTGCGTCGCCGACGCGGTGGCGCGTTTGAAGTCAAACCAATGCAATACCAATGGCTGACTGTCGTGGCTGCGTGTGTGTGTGTGTGTGTGTGTCTGTGTGTGTGGAGCTGTGCGTGCGAGTATGATGCAGAACATATAACAATCACTGGGGGGCTGCTTCACGGCGGCCCTCTCTGAAGTGCCGTGCAATGCGCGGCCATTTGACTGAACTTCTGTTAAGCGTCATCCGCTGACTCGTGCGGTTGGTGTGCGTTTAGCCAGCGATGTGGTGGTGTGACGGAGGCGGTAGCAAGGGTGGTAGAAGAAGTTCTCGACAGCAACTGTGTTGCCTTGTTTGGTTCGTCGCAGCGCAGTGGGAACGGGCTCTGTGAAGAAGGTGCTCACGGCTTTTTTGTTTCTTCCGTGTTCCCGATGGCTGAAATGCTGTCGCCTCCGCGGTATCATTTCACGTGCGGTGCTGGGGGTTACGACTTGCCGGAAAGAAACCACCGCAACAATGGAGGAGTAACGAAGAACTAATAGGATAACTTGTAACCGTCATCTTCACGAGAAATATATATATACACTAGACTAACTTTAGTACTGTAGTGTTCGTTTCATACAGAGCGACGAGTGGTGTAGGCCCTTCTCCGCTTTGGCAGCGCATATTTTTGAAGCCTGTTAGGGGAAACAGAAGGAGCCTATTTCAGCGTCTTCCCTTTCTACTCTCAGTCATTGCGTTTACCTCTCTTCTATTTTATTTTGACTGCTCGAACGTTCTTGCCCTCTTTCTGCGTCTCCACTCCTATTCTTTGTTTTCACACACCAGCAACACAACAGTACATTGTTTCTTACAAACATACATATTTAGATATAAATATCGAAGCATTTCCTTCATGTTATTTTGCTCTTGTTTTGCTTTATGTTTCATTGATTTTGAAGAGATTTCTATTTCCATATATTCCAGGTTGTTCTTCACGTTGTTCTACATATCGCCTTTAACGGGTTTTTGTCTCTGTGGTTATCTTGAAACTCAGCTGCCTTGTGCTTCATTATAGTCGGCCGACGTTGTGCAACAGACTTTTTTTTGGCGTTTTGCGTGTACGGTAGTGTGAAACTCTGCGGCTATTGAGAATTCTGTTTAGCTTTTTTCCCCTAAACTTGGAATCATCATTTCTTGATCTTTTTTTTTTTTGATTAGTGACGTACTCATCTTGTGTGCTTCTGACCAGAAACCGTGGTGTGTGAAAGGGAAAGCTCCTCTTTCGTCCTTCCTTGCATTGTCATCTTCTTGTTTCTTCGTTTGCTGGATCAAAGAGTAGAATCCTTTTTGTTGATCATTTTTTTGTATGGTATCTGTTTTCCGATTCAACAGTTCTTTTTCTCTTTCGATTGGCAGCAGCAGCAGCTGCACTCGAGAACGTTTTTTCGTCCTCTCCTGCCTTTTGTGGTCGGTTTCCGTACATCGTAGTGAAGGCTTTTTTCAAAACGAACAAGGTCTTCTATATATATATTACATAGGGCGAGGTGTTACAGTCACATAATTCTCCTAGAATCTTTCAAAAAAAAAAAGGGATAGCAACATGCCTTCGAACATAGAGAAGGCACGACAGAGAAAGTCGAGCGCGAGCACGTCTAGCACGCAGGCCCCTGGCAAGGCACCCTTTCCGAACAAGGAAAGCACGAAACGACCTCTTTCGCCGTTTCCCTCCAGTCCTAGTCTTCTTTACTCGGTACTTCTGCGGTCAGGAGCAGCGCGCGGTAACCATGGAAGGGAGCCGACGGAACGCGTGTTGCAGTCGCGCTCCCCCAGCAACAGCCACACCCCTCGCGCGACTCTCGAGCTGGAGTCCACAACCAACGAGGCGCTCCGTGCGGAAGTGAGTCGAATGTTTCCTTACCGAGGCGTGCTGGTGGACATCGCAACAGGCGAGGCAGGGCTGCCGCCCAACCTATCCACGCCACCACCTACCGCCTCCTCCAGTGGGCGAGGGGCCGCGTCTAAAAAAGACAGCGCACTGCCTGCGAAGCTGTGGCGTGCCGCGTTAGCGGAGCTGCACGTGTTCGACGAATGCCCCAAGACCGCACCAGGTCCGTCGACAACTGGGTCCACCGCGGCCTCTCGTTTGTCCTCCTCCACCGCAACGAATGCCGCAGGGGCGCCGCAACGGAAAAAAATGTCCGCTTCTACCATCGTGGTGAAAAAGCGACCGCCGCAAAGAATTGTGGAGGCAGAGGCCGCCGCCGCTGCTGCAGCACAAGCAGCACAAGAAGCCATTGCGTCAGCTCCACAACAACCTGCGCTCGACGTCCCCTTAGAGCAGCCTTTTGCAGAGGGGAAGAATACGACGGAGGGCAAGCGACTCTTTAGCGTAGTAACAAACTCCCAAGTCCCTGCAGTCCTTGCGCGGTTGAAGGCGTTGCTGGAAGATTTTTGTGCAGCGATCGAGCAGTGTCGAGTGGCGCTGGAGGAGCAGCGGAGCGGCCAAATGTCCACATGGGAGATAGCGAAGCCGGAGGACGACGGACGCGAGGTATCGGCAAACGAGGATGCTTCCATCTCTTACCCGTCCTTGCGGCGCAGATCACCCGGATCTCGACAGCGCGACAACCACACGGTATTCGTCGCAGATGTGCCGCTACGCAACCAAAGTGCGCAGGTGATGTCGGAGACAGCATCCCCCAACTCGATGATGGAGGTGCTGCGGGGCGACCACGGGAGCGGCAGCAGCAACTGCTATCTTCCTCTGACAGATAGGAGCATTAGCGGAGAGTCACCGCGCGACGTCGCGGAGCAGAGTGTGTGCGGGTTGGAGGCGGCAGACTTGCCGAAGGGAATTGTGGCACTGGCCTACATCATAGCCGAGTACCTACTCGCCCTCTTCCACCCAACTGCCACCTTCGTGGAGCTCGAAGAGGAGGCGGCGGTGCTGGGGAGTCAAGCGCGCAACGACGACCCAACGCAGCTGTCGGCATCGTCTCTCGCCCGCGGCGCCCATCCAGGCGCCGCCGGTGAAGGAAAACGATCCACGAGCCCGCTCCCTCGCACTGCTTACTCGACGACGCCGCTGACGAGGCCACGCTCCGGCGGCAGAGCATCGATCCGTGTCGCCGAGGTCTCGGAGGAGCTGTCGGAGCTGAAGGCAGCTGCGCACGGCTACATCTGGGACCGCATCACGACACTAGTGCGCAGCATTTCCCTTAACTCAACTTCGATCAGCAGCGATGTTTCTGTTACCGCTGCTGCTGCTTCTGGCACCGCGGAGATAAAAGAGAACGGCAAAGTCGCGGCTACGGAAGAGGAGCGCCGGGCACAGGCGTACGTGCAGCTTCCCTTCCTGATTTGGCTGTACGCCGCAAGCGGGCTCGCCACCGACGCCGCACGCGGACACGAAGAGGCCGCGGCAAAGATTGGCACAGGAACAGCCACGCCCCCTCTCACCCTTGCTGAGCTGCTGCCCACCGTTGATACGCTGGCAAGGCAGCTTCTTCGACGTCAGTACGAGCGTGTCCAGCCCACTGCCGAGACGCTGCTGACGGCCAACGCCTTTCTTGCCTCGACCGGCGTCAGAATGACGGACAAGGCCATCGTCGAGCGTCTCTTTCCTCTCCAAAGTGGCACCGCCGTCAACGACGTGTTAGCCTTCACTACTTTGCAATCTACGGCGTCGCTCCTGGGGCACGACGGCGGCGACTTGGTCGACGTGTCCACCGCGACCAACTCGACTCTCAACCCGGTGGCCACCTTGGCGAGCACGACGACCGCCTCGGAAGCTCTCCTGTCCACGGAGGAGGCCTTGTTGGGGTCTAACCGGGGTGCTACGGTCAGTGAAAGCTCTATGGCTCGAGGGGAGAGCGGCACCAAGGTGGGGCGGAGTCCGCTGAGACGCCTCCGTGGAGCCCTCCAATCCAGCACGGCCTCGCCGCCGAGTGGAGGGGGAACACGGCTGGGCCACTGCTCCTCTGCGGACGTGTCAACGGTGGAGATGTACCTGCGCTGGCTGCGCGGCAGGAAGGACTCCGTGGAGCGGGAGGCGGACAAAAGGTCAGGAGGCGCGACACCTTCGAAAGTGAAGGAGCGCGATACATGCACGTCCAAGGAGCTGACTTCGGCGCATACACGCGGTTGTGACCGCGAAGTCGGAGAAGGCGAAGGAGAAAGGGACGGAGGCGAAAAGAGCGGCGCGGACTTGACGGTCGTGAGCAGCCCCACCTCCAGCAACAGCATTCGAGGTCCAGGCGCGGCGAGCTGCGTGACACAGCGGCAGCAAGAGGAGGTTTTCCACCTTTCCTCGATGATGCCAGCTGCTGATCTTTCCCCGTGCGTGGCCCGAGTGGAGCTGGAACTGCACCAAGCGCGAGGTGCGCTGCAGTTTGCGCGGAAGCTTGGGACGTTGTACGCCACACAGGATATGAACACGCTGCTGCCGTTGTTGCCGACGCTGGAGAAGGAAAAAGGTAAGCTCCCCTTGTTGGAGCCTCCTCTCTCCGCCCGTATGGAGGCCGGCAGCGTAATTCTGCGTAGCAGCTTCGACAGCTGCGCCGTGTCCGGATCGCCGAACACGTTCGTTGGCAACTCGAGCCTCAGCGTGCCGACCGGGTACCGTGCGCTGCCGCCGTCGATGACCAGCCCCCTCACCGTGGCCAACTCCACGTTACTGCCGGGCAGACTTCCGCCGCTCATTGTGGCGCCGCTGCCACCGAGCGAGCGCCCCTCGGGGGGCATCCCCGCCATGTTGACGTCACGCCGCATGGCGACCAGCGCGTCGACGGCCACCCTCTTTCCCTCCATCTTGCCACCCAGCATGGAGTGGGAGTCGCTCATGGCGCATTTGAACATCAGCGCGGCCGCGATGGCATCGCTGAGCGATCAGTTCTTCGTCAGCAGCGCCCGTGCGCTCGAGGTAGCCTTCTCAATGGCCATGGTTCTGCTGTCGCACGTGATGGGCGAGGCGCTGCTGAAGGGCGAGCGCGCCGCGTCGGAGCCGTCGAATGCCATCATTGCTGAAAAATCAAAGAAGGGGAAGTCATCGATGGCGCCCGTCAAAAAACCGCTCTCTGTCATATCCGCCTCTAGCGCCGCGGCAGCAATGTCTAAAGTGGCGGAACCGTCGGGAGTGACACTGACAACGGCAGCCGGGCCACTGGCTGATGTGCGGCGGCCTCGGCCCCTCTCTTTCGATCTTGCGAAAGTATTTGGTTTTGGCAAAAGATACCGACGCTACCAACATTATTCCCTGCTCGTTCGCGACACCCTGGTCAATGCCGCGCTGAGCGCGCTCCAGCAGAAGGACGTGATCATCACACAGGAGCTGCTTCAATACATCGCCTTGGAGACCGCCATCTCGCATCACTACGCGCAGGTGCAGGAGCAGCAGCTGCCTGCGAGTGTCGCTCCCCCAATTAAGCCGAACGGCTGGTCTCACAAAAGCGACTCCGCAACGGCAGCCTCGGCATCGGCTCACCGGACGCGCAAGGGCACGAAGGCGCCTGCACGACATGTGGGGCAGTGGATGGCGTCGCTGCTGGACAACTCCACCAGTTTTGTCAACGTTTGGTTCAGTAGCTTTGCGCATCTGGTCGACACCACAAAGCACTTGCTCAAGGGTGATCACAACACACCAAGCTCGTTGAAGGACGCGGTTTGGCACCTTGCAGGTTTGGCGCAGTATTTCTTGCTGACACGAGCTAGAGGCTACGACGTGTACGGCAAGCGGAACCACCTGTCGGCGGCCTCGCAGCCTGTATATATGGACGACCTGTCCGCGATGTTCTCCTTATTCTCAGGCAACAGAAGCGGCACGTTGCGAGACAGCAGCGTGGCTGCTTCAGATCTTGTGGCAAGTCCTGCGCTGCAGCACTACATCACCTCACAGATACTTGAGCCAGCGGAAAAGGTACTCGGGGTGATCGTGTCCTTCATGGAAAGCATCGCTGAGGCGCTCACGGCGGACATGGACAGCGGAGCTGCAACAGAGCGCCAGCAGCGCGAGGGTGTGATGTTCGCTGAAACAATAAGCGAAGACGACAACGCCGCCGTCGGTCTTGCCCCGGAGGCCTCCGACTACATGGGCAGTGCGTGCGACTCACTGAGTCAGCTGAGCAGTGATGCCGGTGGGGGTGGTGGCGGTGTAGGAGGCGGGTGGAACAGCGCGGCAAATCGTTCCGAGGCGCAGGAGGCGCCGACGTGCTGGATGGAGCTTGCGGTTCATTATTTCCTCGAGATTGTGGACGTGCTGCTGGACGTGTCGCTGTACCTACCCGAAAAGCCGCTGATCATCTACCAACTCACCGTGGGCGCGTCCCGCATGCCTGCCTTTGCGTCAGACTTTTTGGACGTGATGATGACGGTTGGCTTCGCCGGGCTGCGCTCGCCGTCCATGTCGGCCACCGACTTCCACCAATCCACGACGACAGCCGAGGAGGGGGAGAGCACGGGCGACTCAGCGCTGGAGCGTCTGCAAGGGTTCTTGAGCCGCTACACCTCCCTGGTGCTGCAATCGGCCGTGACAGGGTTTACGGCGGAGGGGCTCAGCACGCCAGCGTGGATGGCCGCCGCGCAGGGCTCCCCGACCAACGCGTCCACCACGACGGGGCACGGTGAGGAGGCGGCGCCACGCAGGTTTATGACCACGTTGTTGGCTTCCGTCGCAGCGTCGCTGGCGCCGGTGGGGCTGGAGGAGATCGCGCTGTCAAGCGTCTTACCAGTGGCGGGGCAGCAGTCGCAGCAGCAGCCACTGCCAACGTCGCGGTCCACCGGAGCGTCAGCGAGTGCCATGGTAGAGACCTCCTCTAGCCCTGCCGGCCTTTCCTCCAGTACGCGCAGCACCATGTGGTGGCCTAGAGCACGGTTTCAGCGCTACCCCCACCTCGTTCGCATCCTGGAGCATGCGCAGCTCCTTTGTTTGTACCTGAACACGTCCCACGGCGACGAGAGCACCCCCTTGGCGCCAATTCTTGCGCTCATGGAGCACGAGGGCGACGCGACGGGGCGCGACTCCTCGCAGCGCCTCCGTGTGAGTGCGGTGACGACGTTGTTGAACACGTCGACTGGGCCGTGTGCGCAGCTGTTATCTGTGCCGTACGCCTGTCCACCGCTGACCATCGAGGCGAGCAGCTACGTGGCGAGCAGCGTACCCAATACGTCGCGCGAGCGGCCGATGTTCCACTCGCCCATCGAGCAGCCGCAAGGACGCTACTACAGCGCCGTGACTGGCAGCGCATCGCACCGTCTTGTTCTCTCGGACCGCGTGCTGCGCGAGGTCTGCGGGGGGTTGTGGATACGTGTGGAGGTGCTGCAGCTGCTGCGCTTCGCCGCAGCCCCGCTCGACACCGACAGCTTCGAAAGCTTTACAAAGATGGCGGGCGAGCTGTCGAGACGGGTACGGGAGAAGTCGATGCAGTCGCATTACAAGGCCGTGGCATCCATGAAGGCACGCGCGGAATCCGTTCTGCCCAAATCGTACGCGTCTACCTACGTGCGACTGCTGTTTCTGCGGTACGTGCAGGCCTTCTACGCAGACATGCAAGCCGTCGGAGCCACAGGGCACGCAGCGGGAGGCCATCCAGCGAACGGCGCCCGCGCCTCTGCGTCAACCTCGCAGGACCACGCCCCTCCTGAGCGGACGGAAACCTCAGCGAACACGAGTGCACTCCACACAAACAGCAACAGCTATCGCGCTCACTGGGCACTCCACATCGATCCGAACAACGGTGAGACGATGATGCGCTCCGTGCCTTCTCCACGCACCAATGCCTTTCTCACCAGCCCTTTGCAGAACCTCAGTCGGCGCCTGTGGACTCAGTACTGTTATCAGTTACTGGGGGCACTACGCGACCTGTGCTGGAACAGCACGGAGGCACACGAGACGGCCAACAACCTCTCCATCGCCTCTGTGTACGGGCGGCTGTTGCAGATGATCGGCGGGCGACCAAACAAAGAGGAGTACGAGGACGAGCACGACGAAGAGGAGGGGAGCGAGGGGGAGGACAGCCTGCTCGATGAGCCCGATTTCCACCTGGATGAGACGAACGTCGCCACCATCATCACCTTTGACCGATCACTGGCGCCGTACGGCACAATCAAGGACGGAAAGCCGAAGGGGTTTGCGGACTTCGAGTCGGCTTCAAGCGGTTCGGAAGGGACCAGAACGCCCACGACACTCGCGTCCCCACCACCATTTGCTCTGCAGACGCGAAAACCAGGCTCCCTCTCGAAGGCTTCGCGTCGCGACGGGCGAGCCACCATGACGACGTTGTACTCCAAGCGCAGCACACCGCCGCCTAGCACCGGTTCGCCAAACAATGGCCCAATACAGATCTCCGTCAACATGAGCGACCTAACCACCCTGCAAAGCCTCGAGCTGAAGCACCGCAACGAAATGAACTCGCTGCACGGAGACTCCACCGGTGACAATGGCGCAAGCGCACCCGTCAACTCCCCGCCTGTGACAGCCGCGGTGTCACCTCCTCCGCTGCTGCCGCAGCTGGCGTTGACGGGGCTGAAGCCGCCGCTGTATTTCGCCAGCTCCGGCGACACGGCGGCCGCACAGGAAGACGCCTACTTCAAAGAGCAGTCGAAGCCGCGACAGGCAGCAGAGGGAGAGGAGGAACGGCAAGGCTGCGTGACGAGCGGGTCGGTGATGGAGGCCAACTCGTACATGTTCGAGGCAGACGAAGGCAAAAATGGCTTTGAGGAAGGGGAGTTGGAGGACTTTGAGTTAAGCTCCGTCTCGCCGAAGTCCTCGCCGCAGAACATGAGCCTGACGGGGGAGCAGCCGGACCGTTCGCAGGCCAGGAGGCGCAGCCGACCTGACGTGTCCAGCATCTTTTCACAAGGCGATGCTGCCGCAAGCCTTGGGAACACGCCAAAGCCTCCAGGACTGACGATACCGAAGTTGGCCCTCGGCAACCTCGGCCCGCCGTTGTACTTCACCTCTGCGGGTGACACGGGTGTATTTGCCGAGGTCACGGCCACTGGATCGCCTGCGCTGCCCTCTGTGGTAGCCGTGCCGGCGCTGAACTTCAACAGCCCCGACGCTGCCGCGATGGGTGGCGGCTCACCGCCCCTTGCGAAGCACGTCGATCCAGCGAGACGCCCCGCTCAGGGTAGCACGACCAACGAGCCTCCGACGGAAAAGGCGACGGCGGCTTCCTTCTCCCCACCTCCACCGCCGCCTGTCTCTCCGTCCGTCACCACGAAGACCGTCGGGTGCCTCGCCTTGCCAAAGCTGTCGTTCGAAGCGCTGGGGCCGCCGATGTACTTCACCTCCTCCGGGGACACGGGTGGCTTCGTCGAGGCACAGGATGTCACGAACAGCACGCCGAGTCTGCCAACAGTAGAGAGGGTGGCCACGACGGTGGCAACGACGTTTAGCCGAAATGGATCGCAAGCATCTACAAACACGGCTTGCTTCCGCAGCAGTACGGCAGCTCAGAGAGCCCCGCCAGTTGCCTCGCCAACAGAGGTCGGCGGCACCCCCGCTGCCGCCGCCAGCCGCTACCGCGATTTCAGTTCTTCAGACGCCGCCGACGCTGCGAGCTCCTCCTTGACGTCGAGCTTTGGCGCGCGTGCGGCTACCCGCAAGGACAAGGGCGGCGTCAATGACGACACAGACAGCCGCGCCGCCCTCGGCAGCCAACCGGACAGCGACTCTTCCCTCGTTTTATCGGCCGTATCGGGCATTGAGGCGGCGCGACAGGCGTGCGGACGGAAGAAGGTCACGCGGCGCAGCCCTCGCCTCTCTGTTACACCGGTGGTGCCTCCGGTGGTGACGATGGAGCTGATTCTCTCCCTCTGCTCTATCATCCTCCAGCGCGACAGTGGGATGATCCAGTACGGTTACACGGTGTCGTCGCTCACACAGAAGCGTGTGCTACCTGGCATGTCTGCTTCGCAGAGGCGGTGGATCAACTCTGGTAGCAACGTCGCGGCGTCGAATGTGCCTGGCGCGTTCCCCTCAACGGCCTTCTTCACCGACAGGGGAATGGCGGCCAGCCAGGCGGATCGGTGGCGCTACACACCGCAACACAGCCCCTCGTCGTTTCACGTGATTCAGGCATTGCACAATTATCTGAAGGACGCGCGTAACACCTTTGTTGTCGACTTACTGGAGGAGTGGATGCTGGACGAGTACGCAGCGATGGAGCGGGCGCGCATGGAGCACTTTGAGGCGGAGTACCAGCCGCTGCAGCGCGGCGGATGCACTCGTACGCTGTCGTTCTCCTCGACCTGCCGCAGCGGTGCCAACACCACCACAACGGACGCGGTCAACCGGTACAACTCGGCTCTCTCGATGGGCCGTTTCGTGCTGCTGCGGCTGCTGCTTCCTCGCGCCGTCACCCAGCTTGTCATTCCTCCCAACGAGCGTCGCATTGGCTCAGGCGGCTACGGCTCGGTGACGTCGGGCACTGTACAAGCCATCAGCAATGCCGCCGCGGCACTGCCGACCCGCTGGGGCCGTCGCGGCCGTCACTGGCGACCCTCACCCGACACGAATACGAACAGCGGAACGGCCCGCAGCGCATCGGGATCGGCTGGATTTGGCTCGAAGTCGCCGTCGTCGCCTGGACGTGCCATGAGTGGGGCACTGGAAAACTTGCGTACTCCGTGGCGCGTGGCTGTCTACCGCACGGCTCAGGCGGTCTGCCGCTGCGACGTTGCCATCAAGCACCTGTCGCTCAGCGCACAAGGCAGCGAGAGCGGCAATTTGCCTGTGTGCCACGCCGAGGTTCTCACGATGTACCGTCTTCGTGGCCATCCCAACATCGTTCCGCTGCTCTCGTTCGACAACACAAAAGACGAGTACGTACTGATAATGCCCAACTACACATCTGGGTCGTTTCGGGTGTGGCGGCAGAAGCACTACCAACTTGGCTGTGCCGTGCTCTCGCTATCGTCAGAGCCAAACGAGTTGCATAAGGGCGGATCGCTGCTGCTGCGGCCGCTGTCGTCGCCCGCCTCCAGCTGCTCTCTCTTCGCAACCTGCGCGCGCACCCTGCTGCAGGTGCTCGACGCCGTCGTCTTCATGCACGAGCACCACATCCGCCACGGCGACATTAAATGTGACAACGTACTGATCGACAGGACGGACGTGGACGTGGAGACCAAACTGGACCCGCCGTGTCTGCCGCTGTCGGTGCGGCTGTGCGACTTCGGCTCCTGCGACACCTGCGACGACGACGACATTCGCAGCTTGAAGAACGACATCATGGCGGGCGCGGCGCGGTTTATGGCGGGCCGGTGGGGCGTGGGCCGCGGCACGGAGGCGATCCAGCCGCCAGAGGTCATGTCGGCGAAGCGGCGCTACACCCTCTTCCACCGCATCATGACGACCACCACCACCACCACCTCGGCCGGCGCCGCCAAAGCCGCTGCTCCGCTGCCCGTTGTACTGGAGCGGACGGACCGGGGGCCGTTTGGCGCAAGCATGTTGGCCACCTCCTTCGACCACCTCCCTCGTAGGGGTGCCGCCGAGAGCGTGGAGGGCGAGGAGCGCGCCCTGACGGAGCGACTACGCCGTGCCGAGCTGTCGGCGGACGTGTGGGCGTGTGGGTGTTTGCTGTACGAAATGCTCACGGGCCGCATGCTGTTCGGTGAGGCGCGACTAGGCCGTCTGTTGGTGCTGGCCGCCGCGGACGACGACGCCGGGCAGGAGCAGGGGAGTGGGTGGAGGCCGACCGGCTCCACGGTGCCGCGGGCCGCCTCCAAGGCCACCACCTCCACCGCGGATGGCGCATCGCAGGCACGCCAGGCCGCCCCCTTGTCGGCGCCGTCGTCGATGCGGCAGGCGTTGGATGAGTGGGAGCGCCACGACTTGGAGAACGCCGTCGGCACGCAGGTGGTGGACTTCATGTCGTGCCTGCTGGATCTCGACCCCCTACAGCGACCGAGCGCAGCGGAGGCGCTGTGGCGCTGGAAGGAGATTCTGATCAACATGGGCTTTGACGTGTAGAGGTGAAACGGAACACACGCCCGCATCAACACACACTTTAAAAAATAATAATTGCGGCGCTTTGTAAGCGTCTCCATTCTCATCAATGAGTCATTGTGCCATAAAACGTTCTTCCCCGTTTTCATTTTTTAAATAGTTTTCTTGTTACTGTACTATCTCTCCAATAAATGCTGATTCTTGCGAGATTTAAGAACAGTGGAAGAGTGAAGACGATGTATGGCTATCCAACGGCCTTTTGCCACTTCATGCATATGGAAGATTGCGACGCTGATGTGCAATGTTTTCGTTGCCCCTCTCTTTCTCTCTCTCTCTCTGTCAGACCTCTAGGCGTGCGTTGCTTGAGAGTGAGTTTGTCGACGTAACTGAAAACGCGTCTTCGCCTTTGCCGTTCTACTAGTAAAAATTAAGCTTCCACCGTTTCTTCTACAACGTTTCGTCGCCTCTTTTCGCGCGCGCGCCCGCACACACCCACACCCACCAACACACTTACGTGAACAACGGACGGAGCAAATTACACGCTCGTACAGTCCAGAAAGCACACCGGATAGAAAACATCGACATATAGAACCAGCAAAGAGCAAAAAGGGAGGAACAAAAGAAGGGAGGCACAGCTGACTCTTACCAAGTGAGAAAAAACAAAAACATCATCAACCACCCAACGACCTACCTATTCGTTTTGCCTGCCTTACTGCACACAACCCCTGCGTATGAACGAGGGTACGCGCTTCTTCATTACCCATGAACAGGTTCACTGATGCACTTCTGCGCACAGCACCCAACACCGCACTTGTCACACATTTCTGTTCTTCCTTTTTTTTTTCTTCGTTATTTCACAGCTTTCCTCACACGTATTACTGGTGCCCGCAGCTGAACTGCGCAAAACCACTTCGCCGTAACGCACGAATAGAGTACACGCATACACCAAACACACACACATACACATTAAAATCGACCGTTGCTGTTTTTTTCTTTCTTTCTTCCTTTATTGCTGTTCCACACGAGGAATTACATTCCCTTCCTGTCAAATGAGTTTTGTTTCAGACGAAGAAAGCGTCGTAGAGCGACCGCCGGCGCCGTTTGCGGCGCCATCGCACCCCACCGATCCATTTCTTAACCCCCGCCGCAGCGCAGCAGTTGCGCCTACCCAGCCGCGACCAGATCGTGACGTGACGGCCGTTTCAGCGTTACCCGCCGTGTCTGTAACTTCGCGGGTCGCCGCGAAGCGCCCACGACCGAGTGCACCAACTGCGGCTCCCGATGCCTCAGCTGTAGAGTCGAATAATTCGGCTTCTGGACGTCCGCAAGCGAGGAAGGCGCGCCCAACGACTACAACTCGCCTTGGCTCTTTGGGTTCCATCGTAGCCGGTTCTGCCGGGGAATTCGATAGAACTAGTGAGGGCAATGAAAGCGCATTTGCCGATCATGCGGGCACTGAAGGCGCATCTAACGGCATTCTGCAGGACGGCGGGGACTCGTCCGATGAGGGAGAGAGGGATGTCGAGGAGAAGGCGTTCCTTGCAGCGGCCAGTGCGACCGTACCTGACGGACACGGGGCTTCCAGCGCCGCCACACCGCATCCGTGGCTCGTTACGGATGCTTTTCACGTCAGTCTGTGGTACGTTCTGCGGTACGCCGGCAGCGCGTTGAGTACAGCTGATTTATGGGCGTGCCGTGCCTTGCTATCCCTCACAGCTGTGATGCCGCCTCTTCCATCGCCGCCGCTGCCAACTGAGGACAAAAAGACAGCTTTCGTTGATGACACAAACGTATCTAGCCTGCCTCTCGATGGCACCGCAGAATCCAAGAGCTTGCGTGCTACCCCGTCTGGCGCGTGGACATGGACAGGGACGGAGGAATCCGAGTTGCTGTTGCGACTTATCCTGCGCAAACCGCACGGCTTCACAGGGCGACACCTGGAAGCGCGCTACGGAGACTGGCTTCACATGCAGCCCACGCTGACTGCACTGACGGAGCGGCGCTTCCTTTGGTGGCCCTCATCCAGCGCTTCTGTAGCGTCTCCAACAGACAAAAAGGGCAATAATAAAGCGGCCGCCCCTCATAGGAGTCCGGTGGATGTTGAGAGCGAAGCTTTGGCTGCTCCGTCACCTCCGCACGATGCCCGTGCATTACGAAGCACCTCTCTCTGTAGTACTCCAATGATGGAGGAGTACGATGGGACGCGTGTGGCAAGGATGCTGCTGCAAGGTGGTGCCGTCGGCGCGGCAAGGCAGGCGGACGAGCCTGCCGGAGGATTGTGTTTTGTTTCCGAAGAGCTTGTTCGCGTGCTGCATGCGGTGCGGAGCACGGAGCTGCGTCTCTTCCTTACAGCACTCCGTCATGGCTGCAAAGCACATGCGACGAGGGAGGCATTGACGGACGACTTGCCTCCTCTTGTGTCGCGGCAGACGCCGAAGAACGCGAAGAACGGCGCCGGCGAAGACAACGCATCTGTCAAGTCATCGAATGCGGGACGAGTCGGTGAGGGCGTGAGCCCATTGAAAGACCACCATGGTAGCTTCAACGAGCCCATCTACAAGAACATGCCCCTCGGTGACAACAGCCTGTACGACGCCATTCCCGGGCGGAAACAGGACATGATTCGTTACGCTATGGAGCGGCGTTACTCGCTGTGGGCGCCCACCTCACCGGCCGTCGTTACCGGGGCATCGTCTGATACAGCGGCAAAAACGTCAACCGTCGCTGCGACATCGCGCTCCAGCGCTGCTGGCGGTGGTGGTGGCGGTGACACTGTGCAGAATAATAATAATAGAGACGGTCAACAAGGGAGAAGCACCCGGCGGAACGGCGGAGCCGCGGCAGGACAGTTCACAGAGCAATCTTCCGCCTCCGATTACAAAGGCGCGCTTTTTGTGAGGCGCTGCTTTCGTGACGTGGAGGACGAGGCGTTGCTCGTGGCACGGTGTTGGGACACCCACGTCGGGCCGGTGTACGCGCCTCACGCCGGTCTGAAGGCCCACCTGGTGTGGGTGACGGAGATTTTCCACGTGCTCACGGCGAACGGCGGTGCGGGGGTGGTGGGCCAGCAGAAGTTGAAGCCGCTTGCGGCCACCATGGCGGTTGCTGCACCTCCAACCTTGCTCATGCTCCGTCCTCAACTTCTCTTGCTGCTGCAGTCGCTGCAATCGGCTCGGCAGAAGCGCCGTCAAGCCGCACCCTCTCCTGCTACGGGAGAACATGAAGCACGAAAAGGACCGTCTCTGCGTGCGACACCAGCATCAGCAGCAGCGGCAGAGGAGAGCGATGAAACGACGGTGAGCGCTGATGTTAACCGTGTGCCGTACGCCTTGCTGCCGCGGTGGTTTACAGCACCTGTTACCCCTCAGGCGGCGTCTTCTTCATCCCTTACATGTACGTCAGCCCTCACGGAAAAAAAGACCGCAAAAGCTTCTACCAACTCGCACAAACTCGACCGCCCTCCGATAATGTTGAATGATGAATTGTCGGACGAGGAGATCATCTCTTCTACCCGGTCATTCCACGTCCCGGACACCGATGAGGACGGCAATTCTCGCAGCGGCGTAACATGCGGCGTGCCTCCCCCAGTGCAGCTCTTCGGGACGACGCCGATGCTGCTGGAGTACCGCGCAGCCCTGCATGCACACCGCGCGCTGTACGACGTGACCGATGGTGCCGCCTCGGCAGCGCAGCGTTTCCGTGGACGAAATGAAGCGTTTGTCTCGCACATGTACAATAAAGTGATCGGCGCCGTCCGTGCCGGCGTGGCGGCGGTTCAGCGGCACCCACTGAAGCATTCTTCTTCTCCGACTCCGCCCTCCGACGCGGCGCGCTTCGTCTCACCTTTTCCTCCGCTGTCTACCGCACGTCAACAGGCCTCGGTTTCGCTAGACTCGATTCTGTACGCGAGAGGAAACCACGCGGAGCACCTGCTCGTGTTTACACCTCTCTATCGTTGGTTCTCGTGCCTCGAATTGCTTTACCAGGTTCTGCAAAGCGCCCATCGCTACGCGGAGGCGAACGAATGCTTACGTTTTCTCCTCTACGAGCCAGTCTACGTGCTGCACCACATGCCGGAGCTTGGTGGCGGCCCGTCCACTTTGGCAGCCAGGGAGGCTGCGCGTGCTTCTCGAGGCCTCTCGCCTGTCACCTACGCGTTTCGCTACAAGACGCACAAGCGCGGCGAGTGGCTGTCTCGCCTCGCGCATAATATGGTGCACCTGAAACGCTACACCGAGGCGCTCACGTTTCTGGAGGAGGCGCAGACCGGCTTCCGTGAACTGACTGGGAAGATCACCGAAATTGCGAAGCTGAAGGCACCGTTTGCGGACCCGACGAACGAGACGGCGGCGGCGCTGTGCGGTGTGCTGACGGGCACCTCGTGGGACGAGTCAATGCTGCCTGTCACGGTGCAGCGCCGTGGCCGAATGCTGCGTGTGCTCTGGTCCTCTCTTGCCTCCACCGCAACTGCTAGCGACGACGACAAGGGCAGCAACGCCGCATCGTCATCGTACCCCTGTTCCTTGGCCCTGTACCACGCCGTGTGGGAGTACATCCGAGATCGTTACTGCCGTCGCCATGACCGACTCGAACTGGAGCGATTGCTGGCGATGCTGCACCGACGCTTGCGACGATGGACGCCACTCGCGGCCCATAGCCAGCTAGCAACACGTCAGCTGACGGATGTGGCCGTGCAGCGAGTGAGGGGAGTGCGGGATGCGCTGGATTGCATGCTGTGGCGTGAACCAAGTGAAAACACACCCGTGATTGGTGGTGCACGCGGTGCAACAGCGCAGGCCATCAGCGGTGCCGGTGCCGCTGTCCAAGCTCCCAACAGTTCGCGTCGTCCTGCGCTTCCGGTCGAGCTGTTCGTGCTCGAGCACTTCTTGAAGAAGTGGAACCAGCCGGACCCGAACGAGAGGCTGTCCAGCGTCACGAGGAAACGCCAACGCGACAATGAAGCACGCACTGTTGACCACGCCGCGGGTGCGGAGGAGCGCAACCACCCCACAAATCGTAGTGGCGGTCGCGGAGTGTGGTGCGGTGCGCACTGCGAAGGACGTTGGATTCGCTGCCTTGCCCACGCGCTTTTGTGGGACTGCTACTGGGCCTATCCTTCTGTTTCGCGTCAGAAGGCTGATGCACCGCCCGCTACGAGGCAAGTCGATGGCCCTTGCGCTGCAGACCACGATCTTCTCTGGCTCTCCGCCTTTCAAGATGGGCCGCTCGACGTCATCACCCCTGTGAACTTTCTGCTGCGCCGTCGAGCGTTCATTGCGGATCGCATTGCTCAACTCGAACGCTGCTCAAGGGAGGAACTTCAGAGTTGGGTTGCGGCACACATCAAAACAGGCGGTGAAGAACATGCGCAGCAGCGGGGCGCATCGACGTTATCAAAAGAAGCAGCCATCCGACAGGAGTACAGCAAGACAGGGAGCCTGGAAAGCGGTTTACCACGTGCTGGCGATGCTGACGTGGAAGCGGAGAGTTATACAGAAGAGGAAGAGGAAAGCGAGGAAGAGATAGTTGGACGCGGCGGCACCCGAGGTTTTGGCTCGGCGAAGTCAGCAGCCAACCCTAAAGGTGACGTCCGTGGTTCCATAGGAACTTCTACAATTCCTGAGGCGTGGAAGGTACCGGTGGGTTCGCTTCCCTTGCTTGACATCTTACGCGTGCTACCTCTTCCTCCTCTCTGGCGCCTGCTGCGGTGTCTGTATCTCAGCCCGGTGACGGAGGGCGTTCCGCTTCGCTTCTCCGGTTTTCCTGATCTGGTTTTCTGGCGCTGCCATGGCGAGGCGGAGAGAGATTTGGACCAGACAATGAAACTGAGCGATGCACTAAACGGCTCTTCCGCTCACGCAACGCGCACGGTGCCGGCCAGCATCAGCAACAACGCATCTTCTCCCTCTCTCTTCTGCTTGATGGAGGTCAAGAGCCCGAGTGACACGCTGAGCACGAAGCAGATTTCGGTGAACGACATTCTTTGCCGATGCGGCTTTCAGGTTTGCGTTTTGCGCGTTGACGCCGTCCATGACAACGGCGAGCCCGTCAGCGCCAAAAAGTTAAGGTAATCTTCGAGCTGCTACAATCGCATCTGCTGACAAACGTTTTCAACCCTTTTTTATTTCGCTGCTGTGCTCTCACCAACCAGATGACGCTTTAATGTGAAGGTCAAATCTGTACCACAACGAAGAAATGCGAAGAACTGCAGTACTATAGCAAAACAAAAGCTGCTCCGAAGGGTTTTTAATTATTTTAAACAAAGCAATGCTGCTGACGCGCTCAATTCAACGCGACAGCGCGATATTTCTATGCTAATGAACCCGTATTAGGGATGTCGCTTAAGCCGCTTCTCGTTTTTCTTTTCTTTTGCGTCTGTGCGCTTAGTTATTTCTGCTTCCCATGCGTTCTTCTCTCTACCTTTCTATTTCGTGCCGTCCATCTGATTCGTTGCATGCGACTACTGCCTACGTCAACACTGTCAGGATGTCAATTTGCGCGTGACATCTCCAAAAAAAAAACGTCAAGGTCGAATCTGGAGCCCAACTGCCGAACGGAGAGAGAGCGAGAGCCTTTCTCTCATCGTAACTATAAATACACTAACAGAACGTTTTGTTGTTGTTTCCACTACATCTATTTTTTTATTTCCCTCTCTAACACACACACACACCAACGTTGCCTGGCTTTTCTTTATATACTTCAATTAACCGAGAAGCCTCACCTGGAGATTGCTTCTCCATCTTTGTTGTTCGCCGCTCCTTCTCATTTTACTAGGTCGCCTTGGCGCCTGTTTTATATACGTCCCCCTATTTCCTTTTCTTTCTGTCGAACAGGTGGAGAGCCGCTCCGACAACACTACACACTATCACTAGAGCCGATCTTTCTTGCCTAACATGCATCAGCGCACTCGTGCTCGCGCCACCACTCTCTCCCGCAACTCTATCGTTCCCTTCATCCTTCGCGCTACGGCGCGACTTCGGCACCCTCTCATCTTCACCTTCGGTGCTCGCCGGCATCGTTGTTTCGGCTTCGCGTGCGCCTCCGCCGAGCAGCCTGTGCTTCGTCACCTCGCCTCGCGTCCCGCTGTGCTCTCCACGACTCTCTTTTCCACTACACTGTCTACTGTGTCTGTCACTGGTCCAAAGTGTTCGTCATCGCAGCCGTCGATACGCGCAGCTCGCTCCTCGTCGCACACCACCGACTACACCGCAGCGCTGCGTCTCAGCAGGATGTCTGCTGCTACCTTGCACGCCGGAGTGCAGAGGAACGGCATGCCAGCCAACCTGCCTGTGAATGGCACCGGAAAGCCTCCGCAGCAGCCACACGTCGTGGTCCACAATCTCGGCGAAGGGGGCGATGCGGGGGTCGGTGCTGAGGGCGTGGGTCGTGCTGCTGTTGCGGGGGACTTCCCCGCCCCGCCGCAGCAGCACCGCCGCCGTTCCTTCCAGGATGCCGTGGACGTGGTGACGAAGATGACAAGCCGCAAGCCGAACAAGTGCCCCGACGCCTTTGAAGTCACAAAGCGCTTCCTCGACCGCCTCGGCTTCGCGCCCATCTTGGAGCGCATTCGCTTTGTGCACGTCGCCGGCACGAAAGGAAAAGGGACGACTTCGGCCTACACAGCAGCCCTGCTGCAGGCCTACGGTTTCAAGGTTGGTCTCTTCACCTCGCCGCACCTGACCGACTTGCGCGAACGCACGGTTGTGGACGGACGATTGCTGGACGAGGCCACCTACGCGCGGTACTTCTTTGAGTTCCTGGACAAGTACGAGGCGCTGCAGTTCTCGAACAGCCAGCTGGATCGCGACATTGCGGCGCCGTCCCGCGCGAACTTCTTTCGTTTCATGTTTCTCTTCTCCTTGTACGTCTTTGAGCAGGAGAACGTGGCCGTGGCGGTGATGGAGGTGGGGCTAGGCGGTCGCCTTGACTCGACCAACACCGTGCCTGCCGAGGTGAGCGTTATCACTGCACTGGGCTACGATCACATGGAAATTCTGGGCAACACGATCCAGGAAATCGCCAGCGAGAAGGCAGGAATTATGAAGCCTGGCGTTGTCTGTTTCGCCGCACCGCAGGTCGACCACCCAGAGACACGACAGGTGTTGGAAAAGCACGCCAAGGAGGTGGACGCGCCACTTATCTTGCTGGACAAGGACGTGCTGCCAATCCGAAGCTGGCCGCGGCTCGCCATAGGTGGTATTCACGCCGTCGAGGACAGCAAGCTGGCGTTGATGGCGGCGCGTCGCGTTGCCAATATCCCACTCATATTGCCGCTGGACGAGGTGGAGAAGAGCGTCCTCCAGACGATGACCTACGCTGGTCGCTCGCAAATTGTGCCGATTGACGGTGGGGCGGACACAACCCTCTACCTGGACGGCGCCCATACACCGGAGAGCATCGCTGGTGCCACGGAATGGTTTCTGGAGGCGAGCGCGGCGACGACGAAGGACGCGGCTCCGCGTCGCGTGCTCGTCTTTTACACCTCGCGTAACCCAAAGCGGATTTTGAAGGCGTTCATGCCGTACGTGTCGAAGTTCTGCAAGGTGGTGGTCGCGCAGATTGCGAATCCGCGCATGTCCTCGCACTCCGCCGACCCGGGCGACGTTGACGGTAGGATGAGTCAGTCGAGGGAGGAGATGGTGACGACGACGGAGTGCTGGCGCAGCATGTACCGCGAGGTGCCGTGTCTGCCGTGCGCGTCTCCCTTCGACGCGTTGGAAGACATTTTGGATTTGGTGGTCCCGGCAGCGAGTGACGGCGAGGACGCATCCAAGCCCGCACAGGTGTTTGTATGCGGCTCCTTCTACCTGGTGGGGGATATCGTGAAGCTGGCTCGCACCTACGAAGCGGGTGAACGTCGCCGAGAGTGAAGAAAACGGCGTTGTCGTGATGTGCTTTCCGTTGCTCTTGAGCTCGGTGACGTGTGAGAGCACGTGGAGGAGGTGAGTCGAGCAGTAGCGAGCGATCAGTCAAACTCAAAGAGCAGCCAAAGGTATCGTGGTACTTTCTTCTTCCTCTTCTTTCTGGTCACTTCAATTTGTTGTCCATCGCTGCAATTTCCAAAAAAAAAGGTGCAGTCGCAACGAATGACATGGCGGAGCGGTAAGGAGGGTAACATCCTTGCCTACCGTTCATTGAAGGGAAACCAAATAAGAGCAGAAGAAAGCGTAGATCAGGAAAGGGTGACATACGAAACACCACATGCTCGTGGACAAATAGCAATAGCGGACGTCAACGTAGCTGTTGCACGCAGTTGCTTTAACGCCTTTCCGCTAACTCTTCTCCGGTAAAGAAATAAATAATAATAAGAATGGCGCTTGCATGGTTTTATGTTGCGATACGTGAACGTGTCTTTGAGCGTTTTTCTTTCTTCCAGACAAACACACAAAACAAAACAAAAACGTAGGATACGTGATTCTTGTCTCGTGCGAGTTAAAATGTCCCCAAAGCCGTTTTGCGTTGGAATGGTGGACAATAGCAGAGATCCTCGTGAGGGAAGAAAGCAGTTTGCGTACGTGGCTTTGCTGGCGGTGCGCAGCACGCCACCCGCTCAGAGCACGAGGACCAGCTGACCTTTAACGTCAAGCAACTGATTTTTTTTCCCCTCCATCTTCTTATTGACTTTCGCCTCTCTCGTTAGTGCTCAGTTTTTGGCTTTTTAGTTTTTCTATCGCTACGCAGTAACGGCGCTCCGAAGAACGCTACAAAACGAGCGGTAAGAAAACTACAGCAACATCATGTTCAGCGTCGTTCCCACATCCGCGGTGCTGCCGGCTGAGAAGGAGTTACACGAACTCCTGGCTTCTGCGAAAGCCACCGCAGATGCAATAGTACCCTACTTGACGCTCCACACGCCTGATGGAGCAACTGAGGCCTGCGCTATTCGAAAAGTCGCGTCATGCCAACGTTTCTATTCTGCTCTCCTGCGCAGCGATGGGACGCTACTGCTGCTGACTAACGCTGCTGCCGGTGACTCGCTCTCGTCCCTTTCCACGAGAGCAGCGCGTGTCTCCGTGCTCGACAGTGGCGGCGAAGCGGTGCAAGACGTGGCGGCGGGTGCGAGCCACATCGTCTACTGCACCGTGTCCGGCGCCGTCTACAGCTGCGGGTACGACAACACCTACGGCCAGCTTGGCGACGGCACAGTGTGGTCCTCGTCCTCGTCATTTGCTTCTTCCAATGGCGCACGCACAGATGAAGTAAGAGACATTCCAGCTCTCAGCGCACCAAAGCGAATTGTTGGGTTTGGTGGCGACGGTACCGGGGGCCGTTTGAGCGATAGCTGGGTGGATGCAAGCGTTTCTTCGTCTGCGGAAGGCGCCGCAGGAGACTCTCAAAAGGCAGGTGCGCAGCCGCTTGCCGCCGCCGCCGCCGCCGTTGCAGAAGCCTCCCCACCGAAGCGCTACGTGCCTCCTGCGAGCAGCCGCCGCATTCGTCAAGTGGCGTGCGGGTTACACCACACACTGCTTCTTACGCACACTGGACGCTGCGTGTACGGGTGCGGTCGCGGTAACCGCGGCGAACTTGGCGGTGCCCGGGCAGTGCTGGCCCAACCGTCGTTCCGCTCCGTCTCGCTGCTGTTTGGCCTGGAGATGCGCCAGGTGGCTGCGGCGGACGCACACAGTTTCGCCTTGCTCGAGAACGGCCTCTTGTATGCGTTTGGGGACAACACATGTGGTCAGCTGGGGCTGGGTCACACGACGCGTGTCAGCCAACCCACTCTTGTCCCTCTGCTTGGGCAGGCGGTGGCAGCGGTGCGTCCTCCATACCAGCCCCTTGATTCAGAAGCTGCCACAGCATCTGGCTCCACCACACGTCCTTTGCGGTTGGATGAGAAGGCGTACTCGTCCCTACGTGCGGCGTACGGGTCGGCAGAGAGCACCTACTACCCTTTGCGCGTGCCTCGCCTGCAGGCCGACAGGATAAGGTTCAGCGAGGCAGCCTGCTGCGCATCCGCTAATGCCGAAGTGGACGATGCGCAAGTACGGTGGGTGCACTGCTGTGGGTCGTGGACGCTGCTGGAAACGAATCGGTGTGATGTGTGGCTGTCGTGTGGCACCGCACTCACACGTGGAGTGCCGCTAGCGGCGCAGGCGTCCATCTCTGGCGTGCCAGCCACGCAAGCGGCTCGCATTGATGGCTGTGGGGTACTGGGCCGTCCTTTCCTAAAAGGAGACAAGACGGTGGCCTACCAATTCTTTCCCGTGCGGTGGCCCTCGTTGATCAAGACGGAGAGCAGCAGCAGCTGGGACGTGCGGGTGGCGCCGCTCGACTGGGCGCACGGGGAGATGTCGAATAAAAGCAGTCCTAGTCGTAGCCTCGGTGCGCAACGCAGCGACGAACTTGAAGAGAGAACTGTCCCCCGGCATTGCACAACCACCCCGAGCGAGGCCATAGCGATCCACAATAACACTTCGTCGGAAGCACCGCACCGACCCAGCGACACGGAGCCGAGCCTGGGTCTCACGAAAAAGACGGTGAGGGGCGAGGAGAACTGTAAGGGTACCCGTGTGTGCCCGTACCCCACCTCGTTGTTTGTGTTACTCGGGGATGAAGAAGACGGGGCCGGAGCTGCGAAGGAGCCGGCGCGGGATGTGCACACCGGCTTGTTATCGTCGAAGTTGCTGGTACAGAGCGGCGCGCCAGAGATAATAGCGGTGGAGGTGCAAACGAAGGACGCCGCGGCGTGGGAGATTGTCACGGGACGCGCGGCGGACGCGGCGGGGGCGGCAAGCGGGGTCGACGTACCGGACCGTATACCGTCTGGTGCTTCTCTTGTGGGGCTGCACTCCTCTCATGGACAGTTTATTCCGCTACCCACGTATGCGCTCTTTGTGTGAAAGAAAGAGTGTCTATTATGTATCATCGAATGGACGACCGTCTCCGTTGCATCCCCCACGGCAGTACCGCGCGAGGCCGCAAGGTGAATGGAATGTAAATAGTGCTTGCATGTAGCAGACCGGCAGTATTTGTACGTGACGTTTCTTTCTCTCTCTTTTTTCCTCCCCTCTCCTCCGATGTCGACTATCCGCGGATTCACGTCCGGCAAGGTATTTTTAACTGATAAAACATGAAAACAGCGTCAACAACGCCAAAGAAGTAAACTGGATCGTTCAAAGACACAATGGTGACACGTGGAGGAGATCGCTTCTCAAGAGAAATACGGAATGCAACACCGAAACGCAAAGCAAAAACCCTTACCCGACAAGCATAGCAGCACAACGCTCCGAGCTTTTCAGTTATGTATACATCTTTTTGGAACAAATCCGCTCGACACCTCCCTCACCTTCCTCCCGATCTCTTCCTGTTGTTGTTGTTTTTACAAACGATGGAACTATTTTCACATCCCGTCTCAGCAAAACGTACTAGCTGCACGACCGCTCTCGCTGTTGTGGTACACCTGGGTAGAGATAACTGACCTTTAACGACTCACACGCTTCCAAATCTACGCGCACTCTTTGAGACACTCGAAGAGGAAATATCAACAACACCAACGCACAAAAGATCTGCAAGAGGACGCGAGTATTTCAAAGCACTCTTGCCGAGTTACGAGCACCAGCATACTGTAGCGGCACGACGAGCGCTGTTTGTTTTGTTGAATTAAGTACAGAGAATCAAAGCACAACTGCTTTGCAACGAAGGCATTGTTTCAACATTCCTTTTTTGTTACCCTCTTCTCCTTCGACAATGACTTGCGTGCTTCGCCTCACGTTGGTGGCAACACTGGTCGTGGCACTGGTGGCCCTCTCCGCTGCGTACGCGAAGACGGATTCGGTCGCCGCCTCTTCTGGGTTGTCTTCCAGTGCAGAAGGAGTGGACTTGGAGGTGGTGCTGGTCCAAGTGCTGCACCGCCACGGCGCTCGTGCCGGCACGCCGCGGTTCAACACCTCCGATATCTGCACCGAGGCTCCGTGCGGGTACCTGACCTGGGCCGGTGTCAAGATGCTGCTGAACACCGGTGCCTACCTGCGTAAACGCTACAATGAGGACACGACGGTGGTGAACACGCCGCTGTTTCCGTCGCCGAGCTACAACCTTGATGTGTCCTATAGCCGCTCCTCGGACGTCCTTCGCACCCTGCAGAGCGCCGAGGCCTTCCTGCGCGGCTTTTTCCCGAACACCACCAGCCTCTACGCGGCCATCCACACGGTGGCGGAGGCTACAGACATTCTGCTGAACAGCAATGTACAGCCGTGGCTGAAGTTCTTCTACTCGAACAACAAGCCGTTGCTGCATAAAGTGTGCAACCCTCTGACCGACAAGCTCTACCCTGACTGGACGGAGATTACGAAGATTGGCAAGGAGGTTTTTCTTGAAGGTTTCTGCAACGTATACGAGACACGCTCGGACTGTGTGCGCACTCTCTTCGACATTGCCGCGGCGAAGATGGCGGTCGGTGAACTGGATAAGTTCCCGCTGTTGAAGGCCAACTATCAAAAGATTCAGAGCATCACGCGCGTGCTCTTCGCTTACGAGTATCACTACGACCATACCGACCCTCTCATGTTCAAACAGGGTGGCCGCGGTCAGCCTTTCCTGAAGCAGCTAGTGCAGAACATGGACAACCAGATCGCTGGCACGAACACGTACAAGCTGATGCACTACAGCGGACATGATACAACGCTGGCGCCGGTCTGGGGCACCCTCGGCGACGAGTCGGACACGGCCATGCTGCCTCCATTTGCGCAAATTATGGTGGTGGAGCTGCTCAAGTCCAAGTCGACGGGCGCCGAGCAGGTGCGCGTGCTGCGCGGCGCGCCGGGCCAGTCCCCTGACACCAACTTTGTCTTCGACTGGGACAATTCGTGGAACTTGCGCTGCATGAACTCGTGGGGCGCCACCTACATTGCAGATGGACACACCTGCCCGTTTGAGGACTTCAAGCGTTACATCCGCTGGTCGGAGCCTGGCGACGCGCGCGGCTACTGTTTCCTCGATCCCGATTCTGTAGCCATTGCAAACTGCCCGTCGGGGAACAGCGCCTACGGTCCGCTGTCCAGCACGTGCCAGTCTTACCGCGCCGCCTGCCCGTCCTTCGCCTGCACCAACGGCTACACCCTCGACGGTGCCTCCTACCAGTGCGTTTGCTCCACCGACTCCTGCCTGGGCGGCACGTCGACCCGCGCCACCACCAGGCCGGGCACCGCCAAGGCGAAGGGCGCTGCCAGCGCGAAGGGCACGGCTGACCAGACAAAAATGAGTCACAACAGCGGGCTCAGCGCGGGTGCTGTCGTGGGGGTTTCCCTCGGCACCTTCTGTGTCGGCGCTGTCATCGCAGTCGCGGTGACGACAGTTGTGTGCGTCTGCGCGAAACGCCGTCACCAGAACGCCACAACGAAGCACGGTTTTGTGGCGTTGGACGACGGCCGGAGCAATAGGATCGAAGCGCGCGAGGAAGAGAGTGCCTAAATATCACTGCACGACCAAATCAAAAAGACTTTTTCTCGGTTTTTTTTTGTCTCTCTTCTGTTTTATTTTTCCTTTTCAGCATGGTTGCAACAAGAAAAGGGCGATCACCGTTGACGTTTTTGTCGAAGAGACGGTTCCTCTTTTCGCCACAAAGGAGCGTCATCCAGTGCTTTATCGCGCTTTCTCTGCACGGAAGATCTAAACAACCGCAAAAAATCAGGTCGAATTTAGCTGACGTGTGTCGCGTATCTTTTCGTTTTGTTTCGCACACTAACTACGAAAACGCCATTATTAGTTTTTTATGCGTATCACATAATCCTCTCCAGAAGTGTTGATTGTTATTCCGTTCCTCTTCGGTGCAATGAATATTTTTCCTTATTCTATGAATCCCCGCAAAAAAACATGAGAAAGGAGCAGGGAAAATACTCACGTCAAAGAATGTGCAAATGAAAACGTGTGCATCTCCTACTCCGACAAATACTCGGCATAAGACGTACTTACGTTTCCTGACGCGCCACATTCTGCGTCTTTTGAAAAGATATACATATAGTTACGCGGCTCTCTACATGTTGTCGTGCAGGTGTAAGCGGGAGAAGTTGAAAAAACGCACTGATACAGTGCGTCGGAGAAAAGATGAAAATCGGCGAAAGCCTCTAAGCAGGACAATAAAGCTATTACTCAGATATGTATGTAAAATTCAGAGGATAGGAGCAGCAGAAATAGCATTGCTATATGCAAATGCAAAGATCCCCACCTGCAGGCCACTAAAGTGACTGAGAACGATTACATGGAAGATAAATCGCAACGCTTTGTAAAGCTGGATATTCGTTTGCTTCTTCCACCCTCCCCCCCCCCCCCCACCGATTACCCTTCTGTACTCTGACAACGCGAAAGCTGCGCTTGGCCCGGTACGTTCTCTTTCTGTAGCACCAAATTTGGTTTCCTATTCAGCTCTTGGCGCCTGCAGTGCTACTTGCCATTGAAGACAGCATTTCGTCGTTCTAAAAATACCTGTCTCAAGTACACAGCAATCCTTTAGGATTCTTCTCTCCCATTTCTTTCACCTTTTGATCACACATGTCGTCGATGAGTGTGTGTGTCTACGGCCTCTCGGCCCACCATCTGGAGACGTTCTTTGCCGAAGAAGCTGTGCGACGCACGCAGCCGCTAGTGGCGTCATCGGCTGCCGACTTGCGCTTTGGACTTGTTGGCGGTGCAAGGGCTTTTGGCTCGTGGGGGCGCGGTTGGCCGGTGGTGCTGGAGCGGTGTCGGTGCCAGCGGGAACCGTGCGCGCTGCTCTCGCCGTCTCACCCTTCGGAGGCGCCGCAGCCTTCTCACAACATCAACGACTTCGTGGAGAGCGAGCACTACGTTGCGCACGTGGACATCTCAGCCGAAGAACTTGCAGGTTTCCAGAACGGTTCTTCTGCTGGCGTAGCTGCTTGTGATGGAGATGCCGACGAGTGCCACAAGCGAAACAACGGCAGCTTTAAGTTTCCGTGCCGACTGGTGATTCTTGAAAATGCCTTTTTCTGTGTCTCTTCGGCTGCTAACTCCAGCATCTGCGCCACCCCCGGCACGGTGATTGCCGGTGTGGATCAGCAGCACACTATGCCCTCCATCCTCCAGGTTACGGCGGTCGCACCGGCGGCAAAAAGGAACTCGATGGATGCAGGCGGCACACGCGTTCAGTGGTGCGGTGTGCTGGACGTGCGCCCCGCGACTACGATCTTCGATGCGGCTGCGGTTCCGCCACCCTCCACTGCTGCGGGCGACAACTCACAAAGGAAGATGGAGGCGGACGAAGCGGCAACCGTGTTCTTTACCTCCACTGGGGAGCAGTTCGTTTTCTTGCACAACCTGCCTGACCTGCCACCGCGGCCACTGGTGTACCCGGTAGAGCGCGCTTCCTTATCGTCCGACAGCTCCTGCCCTGCAGCGGCAGCTGCCGGGAGTACGGAAGACATCCCGCCGTTTTGCGGCTGCGGGAAAGGGGGCCGCGAGGGCGCTACGGGTGGCGAGCCCGGTCCGCTGCTCGCCCTCACCTTCTACGCGAATGATCCTCGCCTCCCGTACGATCGGGCGGCGTGGGTGGCGGGGCTGACAGACAACGTGCGCGAGGTCGTGCAATACCGCGAGCGCGAGGGCAAGGAACCGACGCCGATCACGACCGTCTTCTACGTGACAGACGTCCGGCCCATACCCGAGGGAGGCAGCTGCTGGTGCCCGTCTCACCTGCCCATGCCGGCACCGCTGGAGCAGCAGCTGCGGGAGGTGAGGAAGAAGCGCAGCCCCAACTCTTCTGCTGCGAGTCCACCGGCGTCTCCTGCGTCACGCGTTTCGTCCGACGCGGCTTCCAGCACGCCTAGTGCGATGCATCACCACTCGCACCGTGATGGCCCGCAAAGGGCGCCGCGTGATGCGGCGCTGGCAGCGTCTGTGGCATTTTTGGAGAAAGGCTGGTGCGTGCGGCCCTTGCGTCCCGCCAAGCCGGTGCTGCCAGACATGCGCAACACGGACGATCATGGTCGCCCGCCTCTGAACTCGAATCGTACGCAAGAGGCGTGGACGTGTTTGTTGAACCTGCGCGAGCTGGAGGAGTTCGGGATTGAAGTGACCATCAAGGTGCCTTACATGGTGGAAGGAACTGTGCTGCACCTGAAAGGCACCACAGTGATCTTCTCTGGCATGTTGCAGTCGAGCACGAGCGGCACGCTTCTGCTGTCGGTCTTCTGCCCTGCACCTGCGGGCACGAAGAACACGGAGCTGACCTCCTTGTGGGTAAAGCTGTATGTACAGTACTTGCTGATATTTCCTTTAGGCGAGTGTGCGACGCGTGGCCCGCTGGAGGTGGCGCGCTCGCGCGAGACCTATGCTCGCCTGACTGTTCCCACGCTGGTGGGGCATCGCGGGCTCGGCAAGACGTACACGCGTTCCCCTGCGATCTGCGGTGCGCCTCCCCTCATTATGAAGTGCAACGAGAACACCGTCCCGGCGTTCCAGGCGGCCCATGCCCGCGGCTGTGCGATGGTAGAGTTTGACGTGATGCTGTCCGCGGATCGTGTCCCCGTGGTGATTCACGATCCGGTTATTGAGCTGCTGGCGCTGAAGCGCGATGACGCGTGCGCGCCGCGCGGATCGCACGAACACGCCCCGGTGCGCGCCGCGGTGCACAAGCTGAGCGTGTCGCAGCTGCGTGACCTGCACGCGCAGAGCTGCAAAACGCTCGGCCGCGTCTTCCCTCTGAAGGACATGCTCGCGCACCACTGGGAGAGTCTGGTGCGGCTGGCTGCTGCGCGAACGGCGAAGTGGACGGGTCGCGGTGACGCCTCCAGCGCCGCACAGCTGCGCCACGACCCCGTCATTGGCAGTGCATTGATGCATGGGGAGGACTTCCCCAATGGAGTGCTGTCACTTCGCCAGGTGTTGGAGCAGACTCCGCCGTCTCTCCGCTTCAACCTGGAGGTCAAGTATCCCTTCCAGCCGCGCTGGGACTCTAATCTTTTCTTGCAAAGTGACGCGTTCGAAGTGAACGGCTTCGTCGACGCCATTCTCCGCCTTGTCTTCGAGTTCGCCGACAGCGGGCGCGAGATCACGTTCAACAGCTTTGATCCAAATATCTGCCTCGCCTTGGCTCTCAAGCAGAGCCGCTTCGACGTTTTCTTCCTGAGCGACACTGAGGAGCTGCGTGACTTGAAGGACTACCGCTCGTTTTACATCGAGGGTGCTATTCAGTTTGCGACGTCGCAGCACTTTGCTGGCATCTCCATGAACGCAGGGACGCTTCTCTCTGCTGAGGACATGTGGGTGCTGGAACGGATTCCTGAGACACCGATCTACTGCCATGCCGAGCGCGGCCCCGTCCCGACAGATTTCTTCAATGCGGATTTAAATCCGTCGTACAACGCGGCGAGTGCGTCCTCCTTTTCTGGGTCCTATGGTCGTGCGATGGTGGCCGAGATGCACCGACGGCATCTGAAGGTGTGGACGTGGGGTGGGATGAACAGCTACTTGTACTTCACCTACGCACAGGCGACGAAGATGCGCGTGGATGGGGTTATTGGAGACCGCATGCCCGTGTTTTCATCGTGAGCTTTTGAACATTCGCAGGTGTATCTGTGCTGTGGCTACTGTGAGCGTGAGGCAGCGAGTAGAAGACTTGCCAGCTGCTGATGTAGGGAATGGCGCCCTCACGAAAATGCCCCCATCACCCACCCTTTTTCTTTTTTGTAGCATTTGCGTCGTCATCCGTTTTTATTATTACCGTTTTTATCGTTTTTCTGCGGAGAAGGACTCAGAGTTGCTCCCTGCCTGTCGATTGGGGCAGTCTGAAGTCTCTCAGCAGCGGTAAAACAGCAAAACGTGCGACTGGACATCAAAAACAGTTTTTGGTTTGTTTCTCACCTCCCCCTCTTCTGCTTTTCCTTCGTAGCGACCGTTTGTTACTTCACGAACGGTGTAGAGTTATCCGTCGAAAGCCTTTTTGCCCCCATAATTCTCGGCGGCACGGTTTTCTCTTCTTTTAACGAATTTGTTGAACTCAATAACAACGACAACGACTGTGCGACTGCCTCAACGACTGCTGCGTGCAACGACGCGGAGTGGAAGTGAAGGGAGGAGAAAGCAGCTGTCTTTTCTGATGGGCAGCGTGCCACGTTCGTTAACGGATCAAGCGAAGCTCGACACTTTTGAAGGCATCACTGCGGCTGCTGACTTGGCGCTACACGTTTCACGTTCTGTAGCTTTTCTTGGATCTGACCATCTCTCCTCCCGTCTCTTTTCCTTGCTGGCTCTTGATTGATTCTCCTCAACCAGCGCTTTCTCCGTCCATAGCAGCGCTTTTTCCTCCTCGAATTCCTCACCCGCACACTTAAACCAAGAAGACCGCAGACAACATTTCGCCCTCTCTTACAAGCCCTCTTCCTGCACATTTACCGCACGTGGTGATCTGCCGCCTTCCGCACTGAAGAGAAGAAACGCGACCGGCTACTTCCTTACACACACGCACACACACACACACACTTGCTAAGATGGGTCGTGGCATTGTCTTCGCCGTTGCGTTGTGCGCGCTGCTTTCGGTGGTGAGCAGTGGCACAGTTCTGGCCGCCCCTGCTTACAAGTTGGAGTTGGTGCAGCTTGTGCACCGCCACGGCGCCCGCTCCGCGCTTGTCTCGTACAACGAAACCAAGATCTGCGGCACCGAGTTCCCCTGCGGTTACCTGAACTACCAAGGGCAGCTGATGCTGCTGAACTTCGGCAAGTTCCTACGCCACCGCTATACCGAGGACGCGTCGGTGGTGTCGGAGCCGTACTTCCCTTACGATTCCTACAACTTGTCCATTTCGTACACTCGCTCGACAGATGTGCTGCGCACGCTGCAGAGTGCCAATGCGCTGCTGCGGGGTCTCTTCCCCGATTCATCCGCCTACTTTCCTGCTGTGCACACTGTCGAAAACCACGAGGATGTGCTGCTGCACAGCTCAATGGTGCCGCTCATTCGTGCCCGATACAACTATGCACAGCAGGAGGTGCGCGATGTGTGCGACCCGGTGCTGGACAAGCGCATGTCCTTCGAGACCCTCCAGGCGACGGCCGCAGAGGTGCACTCGCAAGACTTCTGCTCCAACTACACCCTGCGCTCCGCCTGTGCGGAGACGCTGTGCGACATTGCGCATGCGTACGAGTCCACCGGCCAGCTCGACTCCACGCCGTTGCTGCGACAACACCTCGACGACGTGTGCGCCGTGACGGCGACCAGCTCATACTTTTACTTCAGCTACAACAAGAGCGACCCCGTCCACCAGAAGCAGGGGGGGCCGTACTACCACCTGACCAAGACGTTGGTGCGCAACATGCACCTGCACCTGCACCACAAGACGGCGCCGCCGTTCAAGCTGTACGAGTACAGTGCACACGACAGCACCATCTCACCGCTGGCCACCTCGCTCGGCGACAACTCGCTGGAGGCGATGCTGCCGCCCTTCGGGACGGCCTTCATCGTGGAGCTGCTGTCTGCGGCAGAGGGCTCCGCCTCGTCGAAGTCGTGGTACGTGCGAGTGCTGCGCGGCCACCCTGGTGTGACGCCATCCACCAACTTCACCTTCGCCCTGAACCACTTCCCGATGCGCTGCATGAACGCGGAGAATAACACGTACGTCGCCGACGACAACGTGTGCCCACTGGCCGACTTTGAGCGCTTTGTGGCCTCCACCGCGCCGACGAGTGAGATGGGCACGTGCTACTTGGACCCGATCCTGAACGGCCGCATGGACTGCCCGGTGGACGCCGTGGGCGACAACCGCACTCTGTCCTCGGACTGCCTTGTGTATCGCAAGCTGTGCCCCAAGTACGCGTGCGGCACCGGCTACTACCTCGACGCCGTCGACTACGGCTGCCGCCGCATCAAGGCGACTGAAGAGGTCACCGAGTCGACCGGCATGTCGCGCGGCGGCATTGCGGCCCTGTCGATTGCACTCTTCATTGCGGGCACCGTTGCGGGTGTTGCCGGCATGGTGCTCAAGAAGCGTTTCATAAAGCCGAAGAACGGTGAGCAAACGCAGGCGTTTATCGAGTGACTGCGTCCATCTTTTTCTCTGTTGTTGTTGTTGGATTGTGATACACGAAACAATCAACCGACACGTACGTACGTGCGTACTACAGTTTTATATAATCTCTTCGGTCCAGCATGCTTCTTGTTTCTATCTTCTTTTTTTCCTGTGTGTCCGCACCTTGTGCTTTGTTCTTGATTTCTTTCGACCCTCTGCCGTTGACACGTTCTGTTGTCCCTGTTTCAAAAGGCAGAAAAAGAAGGCAGCAATGGAAACTGTAACCAGCACGTCGTCAACTCCCCGCATCAGCGCATCCACCGAGACCAAACAACAGCTCCGACATTTGCATCGCTTGTACACCAACGTGTCTCATCACCAGAGCACGCCGTTGAAGCATCTAACCTCGTTGTTTAGCGTGTGATGACCAAATCCGTTTCTTCGCTGCCGCACCTTCATCATTTGTTCTTCCTCCCCCTCTGCCTTTTGCCTACGTGCGGGAACAGGATGGGTCACTGTCCCTCCCCCCCCCCCTCGCGAGGGATACCCCTTCGATAAAGCCGAATGTGGGATGTCGCGCGCGGGGGATGGTAGATCGGCCCGTGACAAACACCGTGCCTGCGTCGAGGAAGAGGACTGCTCCCCAGCCTTGCAGCGACGCGTCCGTCACCAATGTCGTCGATGGCGCGTCTCCAGGCTGCGGAACGTGCCGGGTCTTGTTGCGCTGGAGGTGCTGCAATAACTCCGTCGCAAAGCGCGTGACGTAGGGAGACAGTTGTATCCGGGCAGAAAGGGTCGTCTCACCGCGATTGAGGGCACTCAGTTTCCGTCGGACAAACTTGAGAAACATGTAATACCGGAAAAGCCGAATGCCCTGGATCGCAGACCAAAAAAACGCCCGCGACGCAAACACCTCCAAATCGCCCACGCACATGCCATCCCATGGCGGGGTCTCGCATATGTGCCTCCATGCTTTTTCCCCGATGCGTACGGACCTAGCGGAGTGATCGAACAACACCCCCACGAACGTGTATGTCGGCACTGCCACCGCACATTCACCTATCGTGACACGCGCCTGTCGCGCTATTGTCGTCACCCGCTCGGTCCACGCAGCCACTGCGTCCCATGGTCCGGCGATTCGTACGTTGTCAATTCCAGACATGGATTGCCAAGGTTGCTGGGCAACAAAACTCGTCCGCAACTACCGACGGCACTCTCGCCATAGCCGACGTCAACAACTGCATCAGCTCGGGGCTCGCGACATACGCCATCGGCAACCGCGCCAGCCCCACCAATGAGCCATCCCCCATGCGGCAACAAAACGCCGCGCGCGCTTCCTCAAGCAACGGAATCTGGTAAAAGGAGGCCTTCAGACCGAGGTTGAGCGGCAACCCCGCCTCGAGGCAAAACGTCTTCAGGCTGCGCAACAGCGATGTCCGCTGCTCCCAGGTGGTCGCCTCGTACGTGTCTGCCGCGACCTCGTTCACCTGGTTCCTCAGAGCTGACAGGAGCGGCGGTGCCGCCCCTTGTCCGTCCCAAAACAGCCGTGCGTCGTTCACCGACGCTCCCGCCGGGAGAGTCTTCGGCGGACGACACGCGACATCCATGAAGGTGGTAGTCGGAACGAGCTTTGCCAGCTCCGCCTCGAACAATCGCTGGGTCTGGGGTCACGACGACGGCCCCCTCCCGGTCGACCCCCCCCTGGACCGAGCGGATTGCGGGCAAATCATCGACTTGTGTCTGATCTTGCCACAGTTGTAGCATATCACCGCGCTCCCTCCATGTGTCGCGGCCTTCGGCTTCCCGTTGTCCTTTTTCCCACCCTGATCAAGAACTTTTTGTAACGGGTCGAAGTTGTAGGCGTTCTCCTCGCACGCCTGCAGGAACTCCGTCTCCGTCATCCGGTAACCGGAGCCGTGGGTGCGGTAGAACAGAGTGAGACTGTAACGTCGGCCCGTGCCAATGGTGTCCGACCACTGCGCCGGGTCCACGACCGCGAGTTGTACCCATTTTGCCAGGTTTTTGAACGCGTCGATCACGGCGGGAGCGCGTGCCGCCTCGTTGCGGAGAAAAATCTTCTGCAACTGTTTTTCTATCTCCCAAGGGTTCATACCCTCGAACCAGGGGCGCCACGTGCTGACGTCCATGGGGTCAAATCCCTGCCGACCGCTGGCGACGCTGGCCTCCTCATCGTCCAAGAACCGTATGCGCGATTTCTGTGCCGGATACCCGTGCTCTCCCAAACCCTCATCCAAGAGTTGTGCGCACAGCAGGCGAGCATGGCGCAGCATCAGGGGACTCTGGAATTCAAGTCGACATCCTATGCGGACACAACTGCCCGAAATACCGATGAGCTACGCGCTTTTCGAGACGCTCTCTTGAAGCTGCAGGCTAAACCTACCTCCTTCCCCCCACCCATGGAGCATGCGTGGGAGGCACCGCGGGATCTGAGCCAATCCGACGCCCAAACGTGTAATTTCCTCCATCAAGCGAGCGGTCGTCTCACCGCCGCCCTCAGCCCCTCCGGCTGTCACCTCCGTGGACAAGTCGCGAAGAACCCCTTCCAGGTTCTTTGCCTGCGTGTTCGCGGCCTCGAGCGCATCGACACGCGCTAAGGTCCTCCCCAACTTTTCGCGCTGCTGCTCGTAGCCGGCGCATTCCCGCTGCACCTCCTGGCGCATCTGCGTCTGGGTTGTGAGCGCCATGGTGCTCTCCAGGTGGTCCACTGGGGCCTTTAATCCCTCCTGGGTGCTGACGAGCGTCCCCCGTTCGGCAAATACCTGGCGATCCAGTTCCTTAGCCTTCTCCGCATATGCGCGGCGCAGCTCGACCATGTCACGCTTCGACGTTTCTGCCTGTTGCTCCAAGGACCGCATCCGCTCCGACATCACTACTAGGTCCTTCTGGAGACCCGCTGTGGACATCTGAGTGTTCATGGCTGCCTCCTGCCGTAATCCAGCCACTTCGTAAGCAGCCTGCTGACGCAGAGACGAGATGTCGGAGTGAATACGAGCCGCATTCAATGCCGAAGCCGCGTTGGCCGCCATCCCCTGATAGAATGCGGCTTCCGCAGCGGTGGACACCAGCCTTTCCCACAGTTCCGTTGTCTCGATCCGCACCCGATCGACAATGTACCGGAAGTTGGTTCAACCCCTCTCATAAGGCTCATCGGTGAGAACGATGTCGCTCCCCCACTTCGTCGCCTTGACTTCGAGTCCCCGCGGGTTCGTGCCGTCCTCGTCGCGGATCTCGAGACTCGTTTCGCACGTCCCGCCCTCGGGGAGGTTCTCGTCAGCATCGACCCCCATCTTGTTCCACAGCGCCGGGTCAACAGGAACCAACGCCATTGTGGACAGGTAATGCTAGGAACTACGTGTGCTTTAAAATGCTAAGATTATGATTATGTGCTAATTATGAAGCTGGCGAGTGAATCTTTTAGACATTTTTTTTTTCCAGAAGACCGGAGTCTTCACACTGGCGGACATGACTACCCAGGATGCAAAACCCACAGAAACAGGAGAGTCACGACCAACAGGCGATAGAAGTAAAAGAGAGTAACGTGTATTTCCCCAAATGACTGAGATCGCCGGATCTCATCCGTTGACTCTATTTTCTTTCTTTCTTCCGTTCCTTCTATTCCCCTGGCAAGCACTGAGAAAAGTACGAAAAAAAGATCGTTTTCCCTACCCTTGGTAGGATCAAATATTCCCTGTAATAGGAGTGCTGGAGTTTTTAGTTGAGCACTAAGTGAACAATCACCGGAGGTTCTTGCGTTCACATCTCCCTGCGCAAGGCTTGCAGCAAGCCGCGCCTTTCTTGCCACTGGAAGACAGTGTTGGCTTCGACGCATCTAGAATAAGTAGCGCAGAGACCGAAATGCCAGCGCGGCCCTTTCCCCTCGTCGCTCAGCTGATCTCTCTCTCGCGATGTCGAGGGTTGGTTTTGGGTTCGAGCGCCGTTCGCGCGGTCTTTTTGATAGGGGAAAAAAGGGTCCAGCCGGGAATTGAACCCGGGACCTCTCCCACCCTAAGGGAGAATCATGCCACTAGACCACTGGACCGTCGAGCTTGACGACAGCAGCTGTATTCTCTCAAGTTGAATTAACAAAACGCCCAGTTGGCGAGAGTTTGCCGAAGCGCAGTTGGTCTAGTGGTAGAATTCTCGCCTGCCACGCGGGAGGCCCGGGTTCGATTCCCGGACTGCGCAGTCCTTTTCGCCAAAGAAAGAGGGAGAACAGCGCACCCCCGCCGAGCAACACCAAAAGTCCCCGTTAACACAGCGGCTGCTTAGCTCAATGGCAGAGCGCCGTCCTAGTAAGACGGAGGTCACGGGTTCGATCCCCGTAGCGGCCTATCCTTTTCTCGTTCGTTTTGCTATCGAGAAAGGATGCGCAACGTACCTCTGGGATGATGCTCCTCACATTCTTGGTGTGGACTTCCAAGATCACCACGAGACGGTCCTACAGACCTTCCTGAAGTCCCAAGCAGCACCCACATATACTCTACAAAGCATTCAAGCTATTGTCGAGCACATGAAACAAGAATGCTTCGTCTTCTCTCAAGCACCGCTCGACATTCTCAAAGATCAGCTGAACAACCGGCGTTGGAAGCGCAGATGAAACATGCGCTGGCTCTCGAGGCGGACAGGTATCGCCACGAGTACGAGCTACGCCGTGAGCAGCTGCACAATGACGATGCGCTGCAGCGTAGCAACTCGGACAACGACGCAAAGCTGCTCCAACAGCAACTCGATTTCCAGAAGTCCAACCTGGAAGACCGTGAGCGACGCGTCTCCGCTCGTGAAAGAGAACCGGAACAGGTGAAACGCGCGTACGCAAGAGATCGAGAAGCCTTGGACACCAATTGGGACGATCTCCAGGAGACGGCGCAGGAACGGATTGCCAAGCTGCAGAAACAGGGCAATACCCTCGAGGCGGAAAGGGTTCAGTTGGAAGTCGAGAAAAAACTGGTCGTTGACCAAAAAGCC